ATTTTTTACCATATATTTTTACCATACCTATGCAAGAAATTCTGAGCCACCACCACCATCAGATTTTTGCCATAAAATTAAAACTTTTGTAATGGCATCTTGGTGTCATATTAGAGTTAATATATAAACTAAGGATGCTTTAGCCAAATACTTCAGATCTACATTATATGAAAACCAGTCGTACATAAGAGATTTTCAACGTACCTTTTTTAAAGAAGTTTCCTGTTTTTCATGAAACGCTGACTTCAATAAAGTGTATGGTTTAAATCTGTAGTTAGTCCTAATAGTGTTTATTATGCATCACAATCAAAACGAGTTTTAACTTTATGGAAAAGTCTCATGGTGGTGGCCTGTACTGGCAAGCGCATTCCGAGAAAACATTTTGGGGTCAGGCACTAAAATGCACTAAAGAAGTGTAACCAATTTTTTGAAACTTTTTTAATCAGTCGCACTGAGGCGTTCCTATTTGCGCAGATCACAACCTGCTTCCATATTCTCTATCCCTTGCTATTGTCATCCAGTGTTTCCTATTTTGGTTGTCCCGGTTCGAAGTCTTCGATTTGTTTGTGCTGGTGGTGGCTACACCCATCCATCCTTTCTCTAACCATTCCGCCACTCTGTGCTCCCACCACGTTGTTGGTCTTCTGATGGGCCTCTTCTGGCCCGTGGTAGCCAATCTCAGATCCCTATCGTCCATCTGTCGTCTGTTCTTCTGGCGACGTGGCCGGCCCATCTGAGTCCTTTTTCGATCACTCCACTCGATCTCTGAGTCCCGAGAGCTGGCACATATCCGTACCTCTTAGGTCTTGGTCGAGCTGCGTCTCCTATTGTGCTCGACGAGGTTCCGAATCGGAAACCAAATGGGAAACTATAAGGAATCAAATCAGAACCAAACAGGAACCAAATAGGAAGCAAATAGGACCCATCAGGAAACAAATAGGGAACCAATAGGGAAGCAAATAGGATCTATAGGGAAACAAAATAGAGCCAAATAGGAACCAAATAGGAGCCAAATAGGAAAGCACACATAGGCTAGTTATGAAGTGGTTAATTGGTACTTTTTTGTGGCTACATTGGGATAATAATTACGCATCCTACAGTAGCAACATTAATGCTTTGAACGGATTCAATTTAGTCATAAGTTTTGGCGAAACAAGTCTCAGGAAAGGAATCAAACATTAAGGAACATTGTTGTTTAGTTTTCTTATTTTCTTAGTAGCGCAAAAAGGGTTGCCACTGTTGAGTGGATTCAGACAAACAGTCTTTTAGCCGCTTTGCCACTCTTTATGGAAACAGCTTTGAAATTTGCGATGCTCACTTGTTTCTTAAGTCTGTTGGCGACTGCGGAACAGATCACACAACGGCGCCAAGAATCTTTCTGGTCAAAATTCACGTTTCACATACCATTCGTAGTAAAAAATGGCGCTGATTCCGAATCTGAAACTTTTTTAAAAAGCGGTTCGACAGTTTTTCTTAAAAATCAGATTTACCCAAAAATCCCAATATGGGGTTTCTAAAGAGCACTCTAAAACAAGTATTTCAGGATGGATCGAAAATCCCCGGCGAATTTTTAGAGACTTTTTTCTGGTCATTTTAGGACCAAAAACATCAAAATCGATTGATTTTGAGGTCAGATAAATCGTTTTTAAGGTCGCGATGGGTAACCTACCGTGACCCGCGCACAATAGCTTAGGATCGAATTCTAAAATGCAACCAATTCAAAATTTACGTTTGAATTTTTTGAACTTTGCCTTTTTTTATTAACGTTATTTTTCTGCATTTTTGTCGTTTCTCATCCAAAGCAACAAAAGTTAAGTTTTTTAAGTTAGTACCTAAACAGATCGCTTTGTTTGCAGAATTTTTTTAGAATAACAACGGCGGATGGGCAAGTGACGTGGAGCGAGCCAATAAAAGGACATCTAGCAGATTTGGGTTGGTCTTTCGTTTTTGAGTTAGAAAACAAATAAGCTTTAGCAGGAAATGCAAAATTGAAACATTCAAATAACCAAATGCAACATCAAACATTTAAGTAACCAGAATCAAAAAGAATAACGTTTACAACATACTTTCGAGCATCGTAAAGTAAAATTTCGTTTTCATTACTTCGTGAAATCTTCGGCATAACGGCCCATATATTGAATGTAAGCTTTCAAGTCCTTCTTCAGACATTGAGCCCAGGCATCTATTTTGCTTCAAAAAGAGCGATTGGTGCTTCAGCGCAACGTGAACTTTGACAGATTTTCCTCGGATAGTTGCCTTTTTGAGCATTTCTAAAACCTCGTTGGTTGCCCCAATCATGCTTTCGATTTCATTGTCATCCATGTTTTTTCGTTGATCCGATACGCTCAGAAAATTTTACAAATGCATCTAAGAGTAAAATGTATTGCGGAGAATTGATTAATCCTTTAAACTCATTAGCAAGTAGGTAAAATTTCTTCAATTTTGGACCGTTTATATAGTCCGCTTTGTAAGTTTTAAGAAATCCCGGTTTTTTTCTTGGCCGATAAAAATCATCAATTTCAGATACCGTTCCTGAGCTTCGTATCTCGGCTTCCATCTCTTTGTAAAGCGCGTTTCCTATGCCAAGCTTTATATGAAGAGAACTCATTGGGTAGGTTCTATCGGCCATGCATACTTGCGAAAAACGCCAATCCTTTATTCGGGAAGCTTTTGATCAACCTTGAGACGGGCATCAAAATCCTTAATCGTTTGTTCTTGATAGTTTTTACGGTCAAAGCTTTCCATTAATCCCTTTTCTTTTCTTATTCACCAAATGTGGCACCAAATGCATGGGAAAGTTTTGAAAAGACCATATAAACTCGCCAAAACTTAGATCACCAGTAACAAATAGCTGGGTCTTCATTCGACTCAGTTTCTCAAACACTTGTTGAAACTGCTCAAGTTTTCGTGGTTATTGTTGCCCTTTCAAACGGCTATAATGAGGTAATCATAGGGCGATTGTGGTTTTATCGATCGGTCAGGAATCACCAATGTAATTTATTGGGTTGGGGAGCATGAGTCGGCGCCCAACTTTAAAGGGACTTTTTGCACACATAAAGCCTTCTTTAAACATACGTTTGGTTTCATCAAAAGGATCCACTATTTCTCTACAAAATCACTTTTGAGAGATTCCACAAAGCTTTTCTTTCGTGGAGTTTATGAACTTCCAAACGCAGCTGGTTAAAATGGCAAAGAGTCCGACTCATCATTTGAACAGTTTCTTTCACATAAACCTTTTTTGGTGTTTAGATAAAAAAGATAGAGCACATTCAATTACTTAAGTTGCCAAATTTGCAGGAAGATCCCACCAATGGTTTTTTCTAGATCACAGTTTGTAGTTTTTGTGAAAAAATGGCTTTTTCTTGAGCGGAGGCGCTGTTTGAATTTTCTTTTAAATGTCATTTTGTAGAGAATTAGTTAACCATTCTACTCATATCAAACGCATATTATTTGACGAAGTCGAATAGAAGTTTTAGACATTTTTTGATTTTCGGCGCCGACTCATTCTCCCCAACCCAATAGTTGTTTCAAAGCCTTTATCTCCGCTGCGAACAAGCCGGATTTTTTTTCTTGCGTTGGGAGATTTTTGAGCCAGTATTCCACCGCACTCGTTATGTTCTTTAAAATAACAACATGTTGCTTTATCACTTATTCCACTTTTGACCAGAAATTTTTTTCCTGATTTCGCCCGTTGTGCCTCAAGAAACTCATACATTCATTCGCTCAAATATTTGCCACTTTATATTACGTCGTTCACACGTAAATGTCTTTGCAAAATATTAAAGAAAACTTGTGTTCAGAGAGTGGACAATTCATCAGTCGACATCTATCGTTCAGAAAGCTTTTTGGGAAGCGTCGCAGCGTTGTCAAATGTAGATCTCTTTAGGGTTGAGTTGCTGAAAGTTCACTTGAATGGCACAAAAAACGTTTAGTCGATTTTTTGTCAATGCCTTCGACGGAGCTTATTCTCGGTATACGACAAAGTTTTTCTGCCTTCAGTTGTCGTTTCCTTACTTGCTCAGCGTTCACGGAAGCGTGGTTCGCTTTTGGGTTGGCTACGGGATACGAATGTCATATACTCCCTGAGATTTATTTTCTCGTTTATTATTTTCTGACTCGTGGTTTGGATTTTGTAACGTATCGGAATACAACGAAGGTAGGAATTTTCTAAAGCTTTCAAAGCCAACAGTAGATAAAAAACTTTGTTCCAATCGTTAGAACTTTTCGAACTTTAAGCTTCGTTTCGTTCAATTGAAAAATTAACTGTTCTGAGCAAAAGTATTTGAAACTAAGCAGTTCAATGTTAATGAAATTTTTTTCACTTAAAGAAAAGCGGTAAGGCGGGTCGTACAGAGACACTGCTGATGATTAAGGTAAGAGAAATCATTAGTTTTCAATTTAATAGTGGTTTGTTGATCGATTTCCTCAACTTTTATATGATGACCAGTTCAGCGTTGAGCCTTATTCACACCATTTTCTATTTTGCGCTCAAGCTCTTTATCAAGCTCTTTTTCGGCTTGAATGGGGGAGTTGTATTCGTGGCTTATGAGTTGCTTTCGAATATTTTTGCTACAGCGTGATAATACTGTAAGTCTTTAAGGAGGTCACGACAAATTTTGTTCAATTCCACTTGAGGTTTGACGTTGTATAATTCAGGGTGATCTCGTTGATTTGTCTCAGGAAACTAAAAATGAGAAGAACAAACTTCAAAACAACTCAAGTCCTACAAGCGACAACTATAATGAGCACTTTTGAAATGCGAAAAGCTAGTACTACTTTCTAGTGTGCTTTTGATGTACAAATAAAGTTTATTCGTTTTTTGTTAGTTTAAAAAATTTTTAGGTTACCCGCATTTACACTGCAGACATACTTGCTTAACGGTCATATACCTGATACACCAGACCATACTTAAGTTTTAAAAAGTAAATTTTTTCTGTTGTTTTATTTGTAGAATTCTATTTCAATAATTTATGGAAAAAATCTCTAAGCATAGTAGATTATTTGCCAGCAGGAGGCTTATCCGTGAAGCAGACAAGTGAAGCGACAAGTCCCTTCTTTGCCGGATTGGCCTGTAAATCGGAATTCTCGGAAAGTTGTTATTCAGAACAAAGCTTTTTAATCAAAATTTTTGGCTTACTTCTGAATAATTTTAAAAGTTTTGTGATTGTTTTCCATGTTTACTCTTTATCAAAAGTGTGTTTGCTAAAACTCACCTTTTGTACACTGTACCACTGTCCGGCTTGACAGCGGAACTCGCTTTTGCGTGTCGGATTCGGTCCCTTCTCGACATCTCCAAACGAGTTACGTGAGCTGAGATCGTTAACCGTATTCACCTTAAGCTTGGTTGTGTGCAAAGCTGCTGATAACAGAAGATCAGAAGTTTACCTCATCGAAAAAAATCACAGAAAGGGTCGATTGTTGTGGGGTGCCGTTTGGATTGCACACCATCGACGCCGCCATGCATCCATTTGCTTTGGTGCTAGAAAATTTTGGCTCTATCCTATTGGGTTGTAAACTAAGTCTTGACTATGTACATTTAAATTTAAAAGAAGAGTTTGAAAGTACATAGTCAAGAATTAGTTTGCAACCTAATAATAACGTGGTCTTTTTAGAATTTGAATTTGAAAAGGCCACATTATTAGGGTAGAGCCGAAACATTTTCAGTTGATCACGAGACCTGTACTGAAAAACGATGGGCGCATCCAGAAGGGCACCCGGTGGGAGACCGGCTATTTCGTTAGCCTTCACATGAAATTGAGCGAGATCCTCGTCGCAAGAAGAACAACCTTAAAACAAAACTTACTATTTGTTTTTTATTTTATAAATCTTTCAATGATCAAACTGAGTCTTGCAGTGAGTGTGTTTTCAGTTTCAGCTCAAGTCTCAACGTATCGATCACCTGGGTCTCCTCTGAAATTTCGCTGTAATGTACTTCAGAATCGTTTCAGTACTTTAAGGAACTATTTTCATTGATTAACAGAAAATCTTTCTCACTCACAGTTGAGTTCGTTGACATGCGAAAGTTGAGTTGATCAAACAAAACAGAAGTGAACAGATAAAAGTCAAGCGACGAGTCATCTTTTGATCCACCAAAAACATTTATGCTTTCAAAAAAGTGTATGATTCAAAAATATTGCCAAACGAGATAGATCCGACGGACGATATGGGAAGAGACGGGGTTATAGGAAACAAACACACACTGACACCCCATCTCGTTTAGTTCGTTTAGCATATTTGAGCACGAATTTCTCTTTCCAGGCGGCTGTCAGAGCTTGTCTCCTCCGAACTTGCCATATTTCATTGCCATCTTTTTCGATTTTTTTTTCTGAAAATAGATGTAATATGATGCATTTTGCTTCAAACAAAGATGCTGAGCAAAATCGTTTGAAAATTGTCAATAAAGTTATTTTCCTTTTCAAGTCCAGAAAAATCATAGCTTACGGCCAAAACATCACCAAGTATGAAACACTGTATACACATACAAAAGTTTTTATGTTTCATTTGTTTGAACAAACTGTTTCATTATTTGCAAAATTCTGTCTGATAATTTATGAGAGGTATATCAACATACATACGACGTTACCATTATGAACAAGTTTTTTATAAAGAAGTGAACGTATTGGCAAGAAAAAGTGGAATTTTAGAGTGGGAAAATGTGTGAGGTGTGATTGTGTGTGAGTAAACCTTTTCAAAAGTCTTCTTGTTCAAAATAAAGATAAAGAGAATAAAGACAAAAATAAAAATAGAGATTCGAGAACTTTTAAAAAAGAGGAAACGAATCACTGAGATTCCTCAAATTCAAAAATTATGGGAGAATAGAGCATTGATCAAGAACTACTAAGAAAAATTTAAAGTTAATGAGTGGAAGGTAAGGGTCAAGGTCTTTTGTGTAGTTGACAATTTTCAGCTTGGTGCTTCGTTCCTCGAAGCCTGGTCGAAGAATCAAGATGAGGCGAGAGATACTGGATGTGCATACAAGTATACATACTAATGAAAAGTGAGTGCAAAAAGCGGATTTAGGACTGTTGATAAAATATGAGCAATTTTTACAGCAATAAACTCAGGTTCAATTACCCAAGTTCAATCAGTTAAAGTTTCAGGTGCTCTATCAAATTTTTGTGGTCCGAATCAACCGGGTACTAGTAAAGGACAAAAGAAACGATTGTCGATGAGAGGAATCGGATGCAATCGACAAATGCTCAAGATGCCCAATGGATTATCAGGTGATGCATTCAATTTACAGATTTAGTTTCACTTTGGACTTTCACTTTCACTTTTTCCCCCATGTTTCACCCGATAAGAGCAAAAAAACTGCCACAGGCATTTTAAAATTTTCCAAAGTTAATGTGTCTAAATATTATTATATTGTCAAGATTTGTTTGTTTCAGTTATTTTATAAAATTTGTAACATTTTTCCTGTCACTTTCACCACCACAACTTAATTCTTTCAAAGAACTTTATGAGAGTGCAGAGATGAGAGGCAAATTTACGCGTAGAAATGAGTAGAATAAAACAACAGAAATAATTCAGCAAAACTATACTAAAATAAAGTCATCAAGTTTTCGTTTTGATCAATGAGCAGGATCCGGGACTTGAATTTCCTTATCGATCGTCTTCAAGAGATCCTGAAAATGTTTGAGTTTTCTGTTTATTGTACCATGGAAAGTTACAGTTCCTCTGCCATTCCCATCTCATAACTTCTCACTTGCATCTCTGTGTCGAAAATTCGAAAATGTGAAAGAAATTTCTCAGCAATGTGCTCAAGTTTTTGAAGATTTTTTCTGAAAAGAAAATGGCTAATGAATAAATTTTACATTCACTTAAGTTTCTCTTGTCGATCCAAGGCTTCAGAGAGCTCTGAGTTTTCAAAATGATCCAAATTTAGTGACATTTTCTGAAAGCAAATCTTTGGTATTTTCTATGAGCTTTTTAGATTAATTAAGAAAAAACATACAACTACATAGAAAACCAGTGAAAAAGTTTTAAAAAGTGTTCAAAGCCGCTTAAAAGTTGCCTTGAACAGGATTCAATGACTGAAATAAGTCAACGAAACTTCAGCAATTCGAAAGCAAAAATCTTTAGAGATCATTTTCGTGATCTACGATAAAAATATGCAAAAATACAAGTTCTATTTTGGGACTTTATATTTTAAAAAGCAATTCATCTACTAACCTCTTTAAAATCTTCAATATCCCTCAAAAGTTTTTCATATTTCTCTCGGAAAACCCTCTCATGATCATCGATTTGGGGAAACGAATTCTTTTGGAGATCATTGCGAATCTTTTCAATCTGAAACTTGCGCTTACTTTTTATTTTTCTCCTTCAATACCCGTCGTATCGAGTATGAGACTGTTTCGCAGTTTTGGTGCTGACTGCAGTTGCAAGACTCGCAAATCTAAAGCTTACTACGTCTCAACTGAGCCTAAAACTTTCAAACCTTTTTCTGGCAGTCTTTGCAGTAGAACAGTTCATTGATCAGCTTCTAGACGGTCACTTTTTATTTCATTAGCTTCATTTACCCAACCTCTGTCTGGCATTTATAGCACTTCTTTGTTGCGTTCAATTTCAACTCCTTGAGCATCTCAGGCAACTCCCGGAGAAAATCTGAAAATAAAGCTGTAGATTTTTTGTAATTAAAGTAACTAGGAGTAACAATTTCCCAAAAGATTTTAAAAGAACCACTGACTATGAGCTACATCCAAGGGAGGGCTAACTTTGACTTTCTACCCTGTAGTTGATTTTTCCTCGATTTCATCGCATGTCGCCGATTATCCTTACAAATTGGACACACTACATGCCATGGGAATTCCGGGTCATTCGATGAGGTGCTCAACTCCAGGAAACAACGATTGCAAACAGCGTGTCGACAGCACAAATCATACGGTTTTCGTTGCTCCAAATCAATTACATCTAGAAAAAATGAAAATAATTGCTTTTGCTTTTTTTCTTGCAACGAACACTCTTCTCGGCACACTGGGCATTCGGGAGTTTTCATGACCTGAAATTAGACCATTTTTTGAAGAACTTCTTCATTTTCTAGCATCAATAATGTTTTTCTTATTTCAATTTTTAAATATTTATAACGTTTTTAAAGCTTTTAATTTCTTTCTAATTTTTTAATTTCCAAATACTACCTTTGAAAGTAAATAACCAGCTTCATTTTGTGCTGCAGCAATCGATGGATGATCGAGAATCTCTGAAGTTTAAACGTCAAAGATTTTCTCCACATTTACCCAATAAATAATAGACGGGCACATCGAAATTAAAGCACTCCCATTGATAGGAACATTTATGTGTTCGATTTGCCTTTTCAATCGGTTTCTCGATATCCCAGCACAGCTTACAAACGGCCACTCCGCAGCTCAAATGACGAGGACTTTTCGGGTCGGAGACAGAGTTTGAAACTGAACTACGGATACCTCTCGATAATGTGGAACCGAAAAACTTGTCCATGGTATAGAATTTTTCATATAGTTAGACAGATGGATTCTAATGGAAAATTTGTTTTTGGGACTAAATTTCGATTTCACATTATAGAGTTCTACATTATCTAGAGTCGATTGTATATCTAATCATTAGAAGCTTAAAGGGGGGTATTAGTTGCGGCCGGATGACCATAAAAATTCTTTTAAGGCAACCACCTGTTTTAATATTTTAATATTGCTAATTTTATTATAAAAGGAATAAAAATCATCCGGCTAGAGTGAATCGGTTTACAAATTTTTGGAGACGTTGCAAGACTCGCGTAGTTCATCTATAAGGTAAGTGCGAAAGCAAAGCAAAAGTCGCGCACCATGTTTTCTTTTTGTTTTCTCTAGACTTCTATATTTCTGGTTTTTAACATCTCTAAATGCCTTTTTCCAGATGGAGATTTTATGTTTAGATAATGCAAAAGACACAAAAGACCATCAAAACACCCTAAGCGACCTCGATTGCTTTTTTTGAGGTCTTTTTATGGTCATCCGGCCGCGATTAATAGCCCCCCCCCCCCTTTAATAGAAATAAAAGCAAAAGACGTCTTTGCTTTTATCCAAACTTACATGGTTTCTTGCACAGGGAACAGTTTAGCGAGTGAAAAATTCGTGACTGGCTTTCCATTTTGGTGAATAGGGAAGTGAAAAAGGAAAAATCCATGATAAAATAAAGGATTTCTTGGAAAGATACGAGAAAAATCGAGTTTCTTTTTCCATAAAGACAAGAAAAGAGAAAGCGAACCGGTCCATCACTTTCAAAAGTGCTTTTGCTTAAGCTTAAGAAAGAAAATTAATGAGCAATGGAAAATTAAAAGTTTTATGTTAAAAACCATTCGTCTAAACACTTATTCTGCTTTTCTGCAAATTTTTGCAATTGTTTTTCAATTCAGCCAATTCGAAATAGTGAACTGAATGAGATGTCGTGTGTGTTTTCCGTTTTGCTTTTATCATTCATCACTTTCAAAACAAATAAATTAACAAATTCGATATTCTATTTTTTTGTCTTTTTGCACCCGAGAACAATCACAATGATGGCCAAGAAAAGGAAACCGATTTCGATGAAGGAAATTGTGGAAATTCCCATCAAGACACCCAACAAACCACCGAGATTTCCGATGAATGAGTTGAACTGAAAGAGTTTACAGAACTAAAAATACTTCCAACTAACATTTTAGTCATCAAAATGTATTTGCTTAAATAGATTTTAAACTGTTTCCATTAGAACTCATTCATTCTTAGCCTGTTTCTTAGATTCTTAGAACTTCGTCTTAACCTCATTAACTCAATCTATTGGGTTGAGTCACATGTAATTGACCGCCCTTTTCAAATAAGCATTTTGAAAAGACTAATTTACCAACTAAATTATGGTTTGTTTAAATCAATGTTTATATTCTGTTTTAACATCATTTAAAAAATCTGGGCCTAATTTGAACAAAATTTGGAAAAAAAGCTTCATTTTTCACAAAATCATTTGATCAACCGTACTGTAAAGATAGCTAAGGGAACAAGCCGAAGTTTTGGTAATAGACCTAACTTGTTGTGTTCGATTTTTTTCCATTGACACCAAAATGGGTTTCTTGGGAGGAAAGTGTTCTAATCGCTCATCGTATTGTCGTCATTTCTGACCACTCAGCTTCTTGTTCCCCAGATAAACTCGCAAAACTAAGATCTTTCCAAGCATTCAAGTCATTTTGCAGAGAAAAATAGTTCTTTCTAAAAAAACAAATTATAAGTTAATTGGTGAATTAGTCTTTGCAAAAAGCTCATTCAAAAAAGGCGGTCCATTTCATGTGACTCAACCCAATAGCACGTCAGATTCTTAGGACTTCATCTTAACTCAATCAATATCTTACCGACATCACCGGCACCTCTTCAAACAATTGAAAGCCGAAATCAGGCAAGAGAACCCGAACACGAACGGTGTCCTGTAGATGATAACTTTGAATGAATGCCGTTTTAGTGAACCTTATACGTAGAGATACAGGCGCTCGTATTGAATGTCGGATCAACAACGGCACATTGGGGCTTCTGAAAGTCGATCATAGGAAATGATTCTTAAACAAACAGTTCTTAACACACCTTTGCCGTGAATACAGATTTAGTCCACGAAACAGTGTAGGCACGATTTGCACAAGGCAATGGACAGACACAATCTTTCCATTTTGATGGATCACCCCTCTCGGCCACTAGATCTTCCACGCATTTTCCTGAAAGTTTAATTTAAATTTTGTGGTAGTTACTGTATTAAATTTTGCATGACAAGTCAAAATTAGCCGCCATTTTTTTGGTAGAACAAACTTTTCTCCAATGGACACGGTTTAGCGGTTTTATCCATCGGATATCGTGGGTCCATACAACTACAGCTGACTAAAACAGCTTGTTGATAGCATGAACGAAGGCAACCCTGTAAAAAATAGTCTTTTAGTATGCCTGAGTTAATTTGGTAAATCTATCGGGTTATCTGTCTGAGCGTGTTGAACTCACATCGGTTGCATATGAGCCCGAGTAGAAGTACTGTTTCACTTGACTCGTTTCAGTTACACATCGACCATATCGGCCACCCAGCCGTTGATAAGCTGTCTGAAAAGGGGAAAAGTATCAATAATTACAACTTAGCTACATCAAATATAGTCTTAATTTAACTTAAATGTAGCACTGTATGTAGTACCAAATAGCACATCTTGAGTAAATCCCAACCAATTTAGGAAACAGTTCAGCTTCACCGCCTGGTTGTGCATTGTAACGAACGGACTCAGAGAAAATGTCTTCTTCAGCCGGGTGTACAAATACCTAAACAAAATGAAGGTTTAAGGTCCACAAAGCTCCTTCAGTCACTTGAATAGCTTCTGTGTCGATCCAAGGACAATTCTCCTCACTGTTCACACTCAACATAGCTTCAAGGCCTGAAAAAGCTGAAATTATATGAAATCTTCAGCCTCTTGATCTGGTTTAGCTTTGTTTTAAATCAAAAAATTGCTTGATCAAATTGTTTTACTAACTTCCAGCTTTCCCACTCATCCTGGCCAGATACTGTGCTTTTGTGTTGTTTCGATGATTGAAAGTGAAACAATTTCCCAGCGTCACATCATTCCATTTCAGCAGATCTTGCCTGAAATTTATTTGTCAACATTTACAGCTGATCTTTGAGTAGAAAAGAATTTGGTATTGAAGATTTTGACTCCAAATTCTTCGAACTTGAACTTTTTTTGGATTAACTCACTGTAAGTTCAATGTTCTCTCCTCATAGGCAACCCATTTGAACATGTCATTGTAGTCCCAACTCTTGTCACCTCTAGAAGACTTTTTGTCTTGATAAACCTTTCTTTTTCACCTTTCATCTTCTGTCTCTAACCCCAAAATGAACGGCACCATGTCTTTGATGTTCGTCGGATTGCTTACAAGGTCTTTTAGGAGCTGAAAAGGGGTAATTTGTGGAAGGCTAATTGAACTTCAAAGATTTGAAGTTAAAGAATTTAAATATCAAAGTAATAAAATACTTGAATAACATCATCGCTGACTGTGGCATCTTCACCGAAAATGAGACGAATCGCGTCGTAGACGATTACAGCTGGAAAATATTTACTTGTTGTTAGTATTGTTAATAGTGTCTTTGTAATAGTAGATCTGAATTTATTCGACCCACGAATGTCACAATATTTATTCGTGTAATCGGGCGAGCAGACACACGTGAAATCGTCGAATCCGTCAATGCATTTAGCCTGAATTTTGTTCATTTATTATACGTACAAGGTCTGGCTGGCACTCACAAACCGCTTTATCTGTTGCATTGCATTTATCGACTGGGCAATTGTCCGGATCTAGAAAACGGCTGTCTTAAATTTAAGGTTTTAAACCAACTCGTCTCGCATTTATCACCAAAAGTTCCCGGTTGACAGTCGCATTTCATCCATGGATACGTTGGAATGCCGAGTGGTCGATACTGAAATTGACTTACCTGATACTTGTTAGTTGACAAGTGACAAGTTGAGATCGTATTTTTTCAGCTTAAGTTTAAAAAAAAATACAGTAAATCATAAGATAAAGAAACTGAGCTTTATTGAAAAGAGCCAGTAAGAGACCACTTGGTATCGCTAGAATCAGTTTTTTCCTCTAGTGCAACACTATCCTCATAAGTTCCCGCTATCACTCACATTCGAGCACGATCCACCCCAGAGGCACGGTTGTGGATTACAAAAATCAAAATATATGTCGCAATTCTGTCCCGTCCATCCAGCCTCACATGTGCACTCATACGTTGAATTGAAGCCATCTTTGTTGATTGAGCAATTACCATTAATACATGGATTCAAGCCTAACGAAGTCCGACACATGTTGGGAACTGAAAATGACAGATTTTGTGTTAATTAATCATAAATCATTAACTATTTAAAGCTTATGAGTTACGGTTAATCTTCAAATCACTAACTACTGCAATCATCGCCCGTGTACCGACTGAGACATTCACATGTGAAGCCCGGGGAGTCACTCTTCTCGACACACATTCCACCATATTTGCATGGATAATCAGCTGGATCGGCTGGTTGGCAATGCAATTGAACTGAGGTTGAATTAAAAGGGATTTCGTTCTCTTCTCTCACTATCACAATCTTGTCCAGTCCATCCGGCTTTACAGTCACATTCGTAGAAATTGAAACCGGTTGTGTTTCGGCAAACACTCCCGTGACATGGATTCGGGACACACGCTTGTTTAGCTAAAATTGGTTGAGTGAATAACTATAGTATATTGTTGTATACCGACAATGAACACAATAGCCTGTACCCCTTAAAACTTTGATTTCAACTTGACGTTCAGTGATGCTCCTCTTTAGCTATAGAACTACAGAACCTCCCCCTTAATTGTTGAAGTTTGCTTGCAGCAGAATACTAGCAAAAGCTTGAAACAACCAAAATTGTGATTGCCGAATAAACAACAAGCAATGTTCGTTTCACGCTTTCAACTCTACTCACGTAAAGCACACGTTGGCCCTTGCCAATCTCTTGAGCACAAACATGTTGTCGAATTTCCTTTGTTCTCCACACAAACACCACCATTTGAACAAGTAGTTGGTGTGCAGAAAGTAAAATCAACTAAAACATTTGCTCCATTAATTAAAAGCTGCCCAATTACAAATATCCGCATAGTTGTAGCATGGTCCACGGGGGTTCTTTGCTGATGGTGAATAAGACATACCGCAGATCTCATTGGCACTAAACATAAACACAAATCTATATTGAAATTTCCAGTCACCCACCCAGGGTAATCGGTTTTCCCTTTTGGTGTAGCTTCTTGATTACATTTCGTTGCACAATCGTCCAACAGTGAACTATTACCACCATCGGTTACAAAAGTTGTGTACATATAGCATTTCTTTCCAGCGACACCTATATTAACATCGAAACTTAGTTTTTTGGTAATAAAGAATCATTGCTATTTTTAGCCTAGGTCATAATCCATGATGTTAAACCCAATTAAATCACTTACAGTATGACTTGTACGTGGCACCATCAATGACCTCCGTTTGAAACATGCTTCTGCACCTAAAAAGAAAGCTTTTGATTCACTTGATTCAATTGTCACTAAAACCCAAAAATGCACTCTATATTGTACATAAACTTTGGCTTTTGTAAGCATATTGAATTGTGCATAGTAAATCTCACAGAGAAGCTGACGGTTCTTTCCCCATATCTTCCACCGTGCTGTTCGTGTCACCAGCCTTAATCTTGATGCACGGACTGATCGTCGTGTCAGCATCTGAAATGTCTCAATGGCCGGATTTTAAACGTAAACTCTAAATCTCATTTCCAACTCACTTGTCAATGTCGCTGTATCACATTTTGCCCCTTGCCATCCACTTGTGCAGTTACAGTAGCTGAAAAGAAAAAATGAAAGCAAATTGGATTGATCCAACGATTTCTCTCCACTGAACAGCATCACACAGGCTCCGTTGACACACGGGGAATTGGCACAGATATTCTCATCTAAACTTAACTGATTGGAAAGTAAAGATTACTGGAAGTTGATGCTGGCATATACTTGGACATTTGGACATAATATTTTATTGTTCGTTAATCTACGACAAATGGTTAAACATTCAGACCATTGACTTTATTTGCATTCAAAAGCACTATTTTATGCATGCTAAATTTGCAAATTATTCGAAATAAGCTCACATTGACACCGTTCACCCATCGCATTCGTTCCACAATCACATTTGAAAGTGGTTGCAGTGAGTGGAGTGCATGTACCACCATTCCGACAAGGGCTCGAATCACAAATTGTACTTACTAAAAAGTGAGAGGAACATTTTGAGTGTTTAATTTCAATTTTTGAAATTTGGATTTGCTTTTTTGTCTTCACCTTACAAAATCTACTTCGATTATTGGCAATCTAATTGATTAGATCAAAATTTGGGGCCCAGATCTTCAAACTTTCAATTCAATTTGTTTACATAAAGATAAAATTTCATCATATCCAAGTTCTCCTCCCTTTATTCCCACCTTGTGTACAATCGGTTCCCGTCCATCCACTCTGACATTGACAATCATAATTGTTGATGTAATTGGTACATGTTGTTGGTCCCACCATTCCCTTACCCAATACACAACCAGGCAACACACATTTATTTGTGGTGTCTAAGATTAGATTTTGTCGAATTTCTCATAAAAACAAACTCGATGCACAAGCATACACCTTCTTCGTGTAAAACATGGCTAGCAAGAGATTGTCGGCCGTTCCATCGTTGCACAACTAAACATAAAGCTATTGTAAATTTCCAACCTCACTATAAACTTCGCATTTTTTGATTGAAAGCAAATTAGCTATTGTCCAAGTCAGAGGTCAGTTCTTTCTCTAAACCAACTTACCCCACAATAATTTGGCTCGCAATCATAATACATGGTATTTGTTGTATCGTAGTTGTTGTCGATGCAGAGAGCATAATTGGGACAGCCAACTGGTGGTTTGGTTGGATGATCTGCCAGCTGTAAAGAACATTGATTTTATTGATAAGACTCAAATTCTTGACCAAACTATATAAAGATGCTTAATCACATTTACAGAAGCAAGTTGAAGATATGCTCATCACTTACATCCAGTAAATGTGTTACTAAACATCTCTTTCAATGTAGTTGGCTAACGGTTAAAATTTCTCAAAGTCACTTTAAGTAACCGGAAATCAAACTTTGAGTGCTCTAGAAATTTCAAAAAAGTTTTCGTTGACTAACTCTAATTAGATTCGACTTCAAAATCAATTCTTTACCATCAATTCAACCAATCTTTGAACGACTGTCAACGTATCAAATACAATTTTAACTCGCAAGTTGCACAAACCGAGCTCCGCAATCACTCACCCCAAAGCATTTTGCCACTAAAATAATTAGAAGGAATAAATTTAATGCAAAGTGCATTGAGTCGACTAAAAACCCGTTAAAAATGAGCTCTTCTGATAGCTAAAACCACTTTTAACGCCTCCTCCCCCCGCCCCTTGACCGTATTTGTAAAATTTAGAACACACTGTGCTCAAAAGAGCGTATTTTTTGTCTTTCTCCTTTTTTCAAAGCTCGAAGCGTGTACTTCTTCATTGTCTTTTTTCTTTTCTTCTTCAAAAAACCAGTGGGTGTTGAAAAATGACTCCACTCTACGCACAATCGTTTAAAGATTGTCGTTTTTAAAAGAATTCAGTCAAAAATGGACATAAATAGGCAAAGGATTGCACTCGAAAAAGAGAAAACAAAAGAATTTTCCGATTTCCTCATTTCCTCGTTTTTTCTCTCACCATGGCATTCACAAAATGGTCTTTTCTTTGCCTCTTTCAGAGATTTTCGACCTTTTTGAAAACCAATGCATTATTCAGTCCACTTTTCTAAACCGTTTCCATTTTACAAAGCGACTGAACTTTTTTTCTGGGATAGAAAATCAAAACTCAAAATGTACATGAGGAAAACAATTTTACAATTACAAGACACCCATTTACAATTTTGCTACAGAAAATATGTTAAAAAAATTGAAGTACGCTCATACCACCCAATACAGTAATACATTTTTTGAATTTAAACAACATTCTATTCCCAGGGTAAGGCGGTTGGAGTACAGGCCCTCTCCTTCCCTGCTGGACCGGGCTAGGGCCGAGATTTTTCAAAACCGTCGTGAGATTTTATTATGGTTTTTTTATTTAAAACACTACTTTTATTTTTCAACTAAGCTATTCATGACACAAATTTACCACCAAAAAGCATCAGTCGATACTGACCGCGTTTATCAGCAGAAAAATTACAAATTTTGAATTGATAAAGTGTCTTCTTCGTTGTTCAAGTAATTCATTCCCATTTGATGAAGGACTACTCTCGAGGATCTAAAAGTTTTCCAATCATTTAACTGTTGATTTTGTGAACAACATTGTAAGTGAGATTTGAAGAAAAGTTACGAAAATGGCAAACAAAAATTTATCATAATCCTTTTAAATCTTCTGTAACATGTTCAGACTCGAAAAAAGCAAATGACCCCAATGCTCTCCGACAACTTCATTGTGGCAGAGGCATTTGCCTGAGTTACTGTGTAGGTGAAAGTTGGAAGGCCACACAGAAGGGCCTCCAGCTCGCCATACCCTTCAAATTCCACCTGTTACGAAAAGCCCGTTATTTTTCTGTTAGGTTCTCTCGTTGGCAATAAGTTGTTGAATATTACCTAATCTGTTGATCTGTTAAAAAATTGACAGTGAAGCATTTTTACCGTGTCATAGTGAGCTCTCACGACAAGATCAGTTCGTTCGCCAGTCAACTGATTCAATGGACCGAATTTCAGCTTTCGATGAGATCCTAAAGTTTTAGTAATTTTTCCAAGGATGATCCTAACTTTGTGCAAAAAATGGGCAAAAAAGGGGGAAAGTGAGGAGAGAAGAGAGGCGGATTTTTGAGGATTTCCGTTACATTTGCCATAAACCATAAAACGGGGAAAGAAAAAACAAAAAAGAATTCTTGACGAGAAGTTCTTCTATAAAAGTCACTTTTATTTCTTGAGAACTCTCTAGTTTTCCACTTTTGAAACACTTTGAAAAATGATCGTTGCTTTGATTACAGGTTTGTTGTAGTTACATATACACTCGTACATATACTTGTATTACTTGGGTTAGCAAGTTTTCATTGGCAATTTCATTACAAATTAACAAAATTACCGTATTTACCTGTATGAATGTGCTTTATAAAGCTACCAATGGACTTGAAAGTTATGAAACCAAGGAGTCTATTTCCAAGGAGTCTATTTCGCAAGTCACCTTTCCTTCATAGCTTTCTTCATAGCTTTCTTGTTCATAGCTCAGCTTTCATTCATCAAAAGAGACTAAAAATTTGCTGCCTAATGGACAATCCAATACTGACAATGTTCCAAAAGTTCCATAAAAACACATAGGTTAGCCTTTGGGAAATCTCAAAAACTAAAACTCTTGTTGTGTGATGTGATCTCTAGATCGCAATCGACTGGCCTCAAACAAAAACCTCCTGCTTGAAGCCTAGCCATTAGATCGGGATGAAACTTAAAAGCTAGGCAATGCATGCCTGAGTATCATATTAAAAATTATAAAAAGCTATGGTTTGCTCTTTGATGAAACAAAAAAAACAAAAAGTGTTAGCAAGAATTAGTACTCAACCTAATAAATAGAAAAGGAAGGAAATAAGAAAACTACTCAAGAGATTAGCAAAAATTCTTCAGGGTTTTGCCATTTCGATCACCGCTCGCTCTGGCGAGGGACTCGAGAAGACAAAGAAAGAATGTGTTGCAGCTGGGATCAAGGAGGATAAAGTGAGTTCAACTTTTGATTTATAAGTTAAAATTATATAAAAGTATTAAAATTGCATTCTTTTTAAATTAAAATTGTATTGTATTCAAATAACTCAATCCAGGTTGTGATCACTGTCGGTGATTTGATGTTGGCCGAAACGGCTGAGAAAGTCGTGAAGAACACAATTGAGAAGCTTGGATCGATCGATGTTGTGGTGAGTGGATTCACTTGGTTTTTTTGCATCATAATATCTGTTTATGCAAAATAACTAAATAAATAAATGCCAAAAGAACCAAAAGTTGTTTAATGTTTGTTCAGATAAACAATACTGGTTTCCTCCATTTCGGAGCCATTTCAACGTCGACTATCGAAGATTTCGATAAGCAGATGAACTTGAACTTGAGGAGGTTTGGATTTAACAATAAATAAGGTCAATAAATACTGAAAATGTACAAAAAAAAACCGGTTTCTAAATTTAGTCTTCATCAATTGACCCGTCTCGTCATTCCACATATCTTGAAATCGAAGGGAAACATCGTCAATGTGAGCAGTGCGGGTTCGCAGATGCCGGTGAGTAGTGGAAATGAAATAATACAACGTCGACTGTAGACACAACCTTGTTGTGGACTTCAGTTGCACTTGAAACTATCAATAAAACTATCAATTAATGGTTAATGTTTAACGTTTGATTGGACGAAAACCAATGCATGGTAATAGAGCACAAATTCTAAAATGTGCAACCACTATAATTGTATGTGGTTTTATGCTTTTAATTTGCTAAAAAAATCAGATTTTTCAATTTTAGGTTCCAGGCTGTGGCTTCTATTGTATGTCAAAAGCAGCTCTTGATATGTACACAAAATGCTTGGCACTCGAGTTAGCACCACAAAGAGTTCGAGTTAACAGCATCAAGTGAGAGAATTTTTTATGACTAGTATTGCTTATCAATTAAGTTAGTGTAAAACTAAAACTTTGACGTGATTTGCTCTAACTTGAGTAAATAAAACCCAAATTTTAGCCCCGGATTGGTGATGACAGAGTTCTCAGTGAACGCCGGTTTGGCCACTAATAAAAAAGAAGTGAGTTCTTTCTGAGTATAGTTGTTAAATAGGTTTTTTTCTAAATCTCTGAATAAAACCTCGTTCTTTCAGCGATACAATCAACTCGGCGCCACAAACCCAATTGGACGAGCCGCTTCACCGGAAGAGGTACTGGATTTGTATGAAAATGAAATTTAGCGTTTTAAGATTCTGAAATCTAAAAATATAATAAAAATTAAAATATTTTTAGTATAAAATCCTATTTCAGATAGCCAAAACAATCTACTTCTTGGCTAGCAAGAGCAGCGCCTTCACAACGGGAACAATAATGATCAGTGATGGTGGAAGATTGTTGGGAACAGCTCCACAATTGAAATAATAACAAAAAAAGAACCTCACTGTGGTAATCTGATGCTAGTCGAATTCAAATTTATGCGCTGTTTTAATATTTAATTATTGTCCTAACATGAGAAATAAAACAGTTTTTGGAGTATTTTATAAGTCAAATAATCTTTGGAAGTCTCCTTGAAAAAGCGAGACAAAAAGAACAAAAAGAAACACAATAAGTCAGGCAAGTTAAAAATAATTTAACTCATTCTCCAACTATTGCAGATTTTCATTTGATTAACTGCAAGTGTTGTTTTTAACATTGTATCTTCAGAACACCGAAAGAATCAGGAAACAAGTGGACTCATTTATGTTTATCATCGATCATTTTCCAATTTCTGACTGTAGTACATCTTTTGTGTTTTGGTGAGTGCGAAAAAGAATTGTCTTAGAAAAAAATGAGCCACAAAGAATTGTAAAACAAGTACACTCATTGCAAATGTTTATCACCGAAGGCATTCTCCATTCTAATTATGGAAGCAACACTTCTTTTCGTGATTTTCTGTTCGACGTTTACACTGTGAGATTACAGTACAGGGCATGGCAATGCGAATTCCTACAGACTGATCAAAGCAAATGGTCCCACATCTTCTCGATTTTTGCACGGTATTTTAACGCTCAAGCCAAAGACAAGCAACTTTCCTTGTTTATAGGCAATACAGCTTGATACAAATTTTATACAATCAAAAACTTGAGTAAATGAAAATGTATACGTTTAGATTTACCTTTTCCATCAAAACTTAGTCAACTTGACTGGTTTGTACGGTGGCTTTTTGAACAGGCAAAGTGGCACGAGGCTTTGTCCGTCTTTCACTCAACAAGAACACGTAAGTGGTGCTGAAAAATGAAATGACTACATTTGCCTAGCAAAAGTTTGGCTATTTTGTCAACGTTGACAAGCATAACAGTTTCAATGGCCAACCATTGCACTGTACAACATCCTTGCCACAGGGCTGTCCACAAAAGAAATGAGCCCATCGGAGAAGTGACATAATTCTGTCCAATTGCCACACCTGTCGCCGAACTAGCGCCGGCAATAAAATTGCTGACCATCTGAATGATGAGGGTACATGGCCTGCTATCTACCCTTTCTTGGGATCTGCCTACACGCTTTGCTATTGATAACTGCGTCATCTTATTGCTTCAAGATATTATATAGCCAAACATTATCTAGCTTTGTTGTCCTATCAAAGCTGTTTATCATCCTCATTTCTTGTGACTACATTTGTTTCCTTTTCAGCTGCTTTGGACCCAAGCACTTGTTAGCATAGCTCCCAATGCTCTATAATACTCAATACAAAACTGAAAACACATAGTTGTACCTGCAGAGCCAACTTGTATCCTTTCCTGAGCTGATCTGCTTTTTGAGAGCTCATTTGTTGTCGCCCTTTCTGCAATTGTTGAACTCTCCGATACAGCATAATAAAAAGAGAAGCCATCAAAGCAGGCATCAAGTGGAAGAAAAATTGCTGGTGGTAGCACCTGACCAATAAAATCCCTTAAATTTACTCAATCTCTTACTTGAGTGTAGTAAATCGTGGCCTCTCCACAGCCACCTTCAGCGAAGTAGAAGTTTTGCCCGTCGGGAAGAAAAATGGCATGACAGCCAGCTGAAAATGAGGTCATTGGCCGAGAATGAAGTTGCAATTTTTTAAGTTTTGAGAGAATCTATTAGAGTAAACTTGCATTGTACAATAAAAAAATATTAAACATGAGTTTAGACCTGTTACTGGCAGCCCATAATTTTTTCTTATTTAATGCCTTTAACATTGAAAGCATTTTTGAATGGGGTTAAATGCTCAAAATCACATCTTATGATTAAAAAACTGAGCACACAAGCTAGTCATTTGGTGATGTTTGCCTTACCCAAAATTATTACTTTAACTAACAGAATCATTTTATTGTTAACTTCAAACTTACGAAGCCCAAAAGCGATAAATGATGCAAGCGGACAGAGCATCATCAACAAGTATTGAATGACCGCCGTTCTCTCGTATTTATGATGATAGACTCCATCAAAAGCAATCGCAAAGAAGCGATTCATTCCAAGGAACAACTAAAGAATTGGTGCTTAATAAAACAAGTAATATACGAACCTTTGGAAAATATCCCATACAAACAGCTGTATTGACAAGATCACCGAAGAGATAATCGACAACTGGGAGCTGATAATTCAATCGCCTGAAAATTTAGTGATTGATAGTAAATAATAATTAGAAAGAAATCGACGACTGCCTAATTTATCGAGGACCTATACTGATTAGGGGAAGGGTCGGACACATGACAAAGATGACCCGCTGCCAGCCAACTTGTGGCCTTGCCTCCCCCTCGCGGTACGGGTACGTTGTAAATGATTACATTATTGTGCAAGTTAGAAATCTTTTAAAAGTGAAGTGAAGATTGATTATTTGGATCGGTGCACTGGAGTTGAAGTTGAAGCCATCAAAAAGAAACCCACCAAATAGCACAGGGCACCGCCCACAACAAATGACCGGCATTAACGAGAATGTAATTGGAGAGATCGATTAGGAGATAGTGTCGGACAATGCCTTGGGATTGAGATAAAAATTATTATATTTGTTTAGGTATTTGAATAAAAAAGATGCATTCTACAAAAATGCTCCAATATTCAAATATAATACCTCGCAGAAAAGAGTTCCTCGACACAACGACGATTCCCGTGACTCCAGCCGTTACTCCGAGTGTGCCAAGCTGTAAGCTCGGAATGGCTCATGGGTAACACTACTATTACGATTCAACTAGTTCCTGCTAAGTTAAGTAATTTAATTTCAGTTGAAAAACATGCCGAAGTCAATCAATCAACCCAATCACCTACCAGAAGCATGCAACATATTTGAATAGTGTTTTCCGTTTGGTTAAACGGGGCGTCAGCCATGAGTGCAATGAATCAATAGAATATGTGAAAACGTTGCAAGTTAAAAGTCATGACACAAAGTTGGAAGTTGTGAAGAAAGTTGTGAATAAGAAGAGTTGTAGTTTGTGGGAAATTCGCTTGTAACTTTCCCATCACCCAATAAATCGGCCTTTTAGTATGAACTCTGCTACCATGATCGAGCTTTATTACAGTTCGTTTTGCAAATGTTGTAGCTTTTTGGTGGCTATAAAATCTAAGTCTAAAAAATAGTCTTGTGGGACTAAATTTATTGAATAGGTCGGTTTCAAAAGTAAAACCACAAAGCTGTAGAAAAATCCCAACCCAGCATATCGAAAATGTTTTCTTTTTTAAAAGCTTGATTGTGGATTAAAATCGTCCGGTGGTATTTAATGGCTCACCGACAACCCAATCTTCAGAGTCCGCCTTTCCATTATTATCAGCCGTGCGCTGTGCCAACTCACCACCCACAAAATCTAACATTTTGTTTTGCTAGTTGTTGTTTATTTTGTGATAAATATTTTGTTCTATTATATTAAATTTTACACATTTACACGTGGTTATAATTCGATATAAGTGTTTGAAAAGCTTTTCGAAAAAAGATCTAAAAGAGAGAATAATGAAAACTCACTCACTTCTAGCAATTACTAAGAGGATAAAAATTGTTCCAGAATCATGATTTTGTCGTATTTTGATGCAACACAAATACGTTTCAAAAATCTGACCTATGAAACTTAATCGCTGAGTTGTAAAGCCACTCTTATAGTGAGATTTGGTTCCACATTCCCAGACAACAAAACACGATGAGATCGAATGAAATGGGTAATCAACCTTTTAGTGTAATTTGCAAAATTCTTGCTGTACACAAAAGCCAACAAACTATGAGTACACAAACAAAAAAATGAGCAATTTTGTTGTCCATATTTTCTTTGCTTCTCCTTGTTATCTCAGGTAAATCGAGGTGATTATCCAGATCATTTAAATGCGTTTTAGATCCTTTTTTCCATTTTGGCTTTAGCTTTTTTCATTGGAAACACACCCTTTCCAGTGTACCAAATTCGTTTAGACGTTTTGGATCGAGTGCAAAGAACTGAAATCGAACGAAGAACGAATCGTTAGGTCTAAAAGTAATGACCATGATGTTGCAAATTGTTAAACAACGATAAACTTTTCAAGTTTTGCTTGATTCGAAAGATTTTTTATATAAAAAGAATTATTGTTAAATATTTTGCAGCTACGGTCACAAATGAGCTTTCCAAAATAATTTGTTGTCACTAATTTGAACAAATAGAAAGAGTGCTTGTTTATGTTTTGTTTTGTCATTTTCTTCTCTCACAAAAAACCGTTTATCGTATGAATTTTTTGTACGAATGTGGTTTCCAAAGGTAAATTGATTTCATACGTAATTTTCATGTTTCTAGAATGTTTTTTGTTTTTTACCGAAATAAACTCTTGTTTGCTCTTGTCATAGATCATAAAACTGACCTCTTTCCAAAAAGCTTCAGAAAAAGAGGAAAAGAGAGTGAAAAATTGTGCAATCTCCTGAAATTTGATGCTAGATAAGCCTTGAAAATTGGCCCAAAATCATTTCGAGAATGGAGTCTTCGTCAAGTTATTCAGCTAACGGTAATCTCTTCTTCGAATTGAAAGATTCCAATGGTAAATGGCCCGAAAATTTCATTGTAGATCACTTTGAGATGTTTGAAATCAAAGAGGTCAGGGGATTGTTTTTGCAGAAACCAGGTGACATTGGAAAACTTGTGAATCACATCGACAAGTTGAACCTCGATGTACTTTTCATCGATTGTGGGAAATGGATTGATTTCAAGAAAAGTCTCACTTTCCTCTTGAGTCACCAATTTTCCAATCCCAATTGTGTCGTCGGTTTGTACGGCGAGAAACCGAAAGAATTCGGGTATGCCCCGAATTTGAGACAGATCAAGAAAATCTTCATGAAACAAAATGGAATTCGGGCTTTGGAGAACGACTACGAGACCGAGGATAAAATGGTGGGATTTGAGTGTTTCCTCAAAACTATGAATGCCACTTTGAAGAGTAAATTTGAAATTTACGATTTTTAAAATAAAATACTTAGTTAACAGCCAAAATTCACTTATATGTTTACTTGAATAACTTGTAGTTTTAAGTCAATTTGAAATTAAAAAATGATAATGTTTTCTCAACTTTATCCTTTAAAATGGAAATTTTGAAATTTCAGAAACACTTTAGGTCAGATTTTTGTTGGAGAAGCTTGACATTGAGGAGAAGGGAAACCACTTCTCAAAGCTTCCCATCAAAAATCTCCTCGAGAATAAATTCTTCGAAAAAGAGACACCAGAAGGGGAAAAGGCCACCTATTTGGTGTACGAGTTGGCGAATTCCTCGTATTTCGTCTCCTACACCAATTCGGCCTCGATTCAGTGACACTTGTTTGTCTGTTTCTTTTGAATAAACATGTGAACTGAATAACTTTACACGCAAATTTACTTTTTGAGATGCAAAGTAGTCATAAAAAACTTCACGAGACCCAAAATCTCTGTTGATTTATTCATTTCAAAAGATACACCCATGTATTTTATTTGAACATTTGCTACAACTAAACTTAAAACTGAAATTTTGCCCTAAAAACTTTTCGATTCCAAAAAAATAATGCCATGACCTAAACTGTATTAAGCTTGGATTCATTTTTCTGATTAAAACATGATTTCACCTCAAAAATTTGTCCACTCGGCACATAAATCGTGAAAATTTGGTAGATGAAATGTGAAGCTTTCCTTGCTGGAACAGAGCTTTGAAATAAACGTGCACATCCAGCTACAGCGACATCACTCGAGATGGTTTTTTTGATCGAAAGAGTTTTTTCGTTTCTTCTCTCGAATATCAAGTAGTAATGGATGCTCCTGGATCTTCATTTTCTGAAGATCGATTTAGATTTCTCAATCGAAAGATGAGATCGAGATTTTAGAAAGAGACTTGAAAAGTCCCCTCGGAGATCACCTCTTCGTCGAAGGTGATTCCATAAATTTGAATTTTCACATCAATCGAGTCGTTTTTCTTCGCCGAAAACGGCTTTGTCAGAATCAGCTCTCGATTCGATTTGTTGCTTTGGAGTAGCTTGGGGATTTCGAATAGTGGAGTTGAGTTTAGGACGGTTTTTTATAGTTCTGGTGGTAATTTCGAGTAGGTGAATATCATATCTGAAAGATCGTAGAAATGTTGATTTGGGAGTAATTTGGAAATAGTAGAATCTTAGACGGATAGGAAATGTTAGGCGTTTAGGCGAATGTTAAAGTGCCCAAACGAATGTGCTTGGTTTTTCGGGACAAGCTGCAACTTTCCTTCCATTTCTAAAGTGGGGAAAAAGTTGAAGCAATTCATCAAAGACAAACCGATTTATACATATGCGCTGCTTTTGCTTAGTATTTGACTGGTGGTTTGGGGAGGGACTAAAATTGGGACTAATTGATATGAAAAGGAGTCACTGACATCATCATATGGATAATCATATTCCTATGTGTAATTGTGTCATCTCTGTGTTCCCTTGGCACATTTTGAGCGGAGTGCATTGAAGGTCTAAAGCGAGGATTAGATTAATCAAGGTGATACTACTTAAACTAAAAAGATGAGTCTGATCAGCTACAGTACTGGACAATGAATTATCATATTTAAAAAACGATCATCACTTTCGCGCGTCTGTTACTACCTTGTCTTTGATTTTAAACTATTAGTGTTATACATTTTTTGAAAGCTCTTTTCAAGGGCTACACAATGGTAATATTAATATTTAGAAATACGGTAAAGACAAGGGAGTTACAGACGCGCGAAAGTGACGATCTTTTTTCAAATATGATATTTCATTGTCCAGTAGTGTACATTGCAGACAGCAGCAGCTGAAGTTGGTCTCTGTTACTTGTTACCCTTTCAATCAACTAAATCATGGGTTTCCCCCCTAAAGCTTTACAAATAGAACTCACCCGAAACGAAGAGAATCAATGAGAGAATGATTCTCATTTCTGAAATCTTCTCTTTCTCAGTGTTCCCTTGGCAACTTGTTTTCAGTTGAAAGTGACCATTTGAATCAAAAATTGGCTTTACATCAAACTCTTTAGTGAATCGACATTTTCGGATGTGGCGGATGTGATTTCCGTGTCGATTTCTCATATCGAAACGGTCAGAATCAACTGGGATAAACAAATATCACGGTTTTGAAAACTCAGTCATAGTTGAAATGTTTGTCTTCAGGAAGACCCCTGACAGCCAGATTACACATCGATCTGTCTGGATCCACTTCCATTCATGATCACTGGTGGACGACTGTCGGATGCAAAATGCAACTTGATGTTGGCGATTGATTGAGAAACATTACTTGGATTACAAGAAAACGAAGAAACTTGACGTGATGAAGACGGTCCCTCACAGTGTTCTAGTCCACTACCATGAACAATACACAATACCAAATGCTTAACAATCAGTTTTATCTCTTTCTCACTTCATATTTTCAGAAAATTCTTTCTCGGGTCTCGGACTTTCTCGGACAAATTCGAAAGCTCTCCCATTCTTGAGTTCAGGTAATGCATATGAGAGTTACAAGACCCAGTTCTGTGACTTTACCTGTTCAAGTCCTCGAGGAGAAGCGAAAAAAATTCTGTTTGAATGTATGATTTCTTTTGTTTTTCATCTATTTATTTGATTTTTAATAAATTATTTTTTCAGGAGCTTTGTAAGGCTTATCGGCTCTCAATGACTTTTTCATCGTTGTTAGATTTGTTTACCAAATATTCTTAACTGTTAATGCAAATCGTTGCATGCAGATTTATCGAACCACAAACAGTGTACAGACACGTTGAGTTTCTCCATCTCTTTTACGGTTCAGGTCCCCACGATGTGTAGAGAACCATATCTCCATTCTCTCCACAATCGTTGCACATATTCGACCAGGCACCCGAGTTCCAGAACTCCCAGTTGGTCACCCCATTATTGGCATCTCGTTGTGCCGGTGCCCCATCACAGCCATCTCATCCCCAAACGTTTTGGTGGATGTACCAATTGCCCGAGTCACGGGCCTCTTGACCGTTGTTGTTTGCGTAGCACCAGAAACACGTAGTGTCCCAATTGTTCACACCGAATCCCCAAGCGAGTGCCTAAAAGTTTGGAAATGTTTCGCAATCACCATAACTTATGCATAGACTTTAACACCAATCAACTGGACACATAAATTTGTTGAAACGGGATGTCAACGACAAATTAGGTTGACGGGAAAATAATGCAAATTTTTAACTTGTGCTCTTGGGAAAGTAATGGCAGACAAACAGAGAAAACCGTGATAGTAACAGAGAAGCAGAGTGTGTTTGCTTACACAATCATAATATTATTCGAGAACATTTGTTCATTTGTTATCAAAAAATGACGGAACAAAAATTCCTTCGAGCTGCTTTACTCGATGACTTTAAGCTTGGAAAATCTGCCCGAGAATCGCATAATTCTATTTCAAAGCCCTATGGCGAAGGTAATATTAGCGAAAGCCAATGTTATCGATAGTTTGAGCGATTTCGAAGTGGAAACGAGAGCCTAGAAGATGAGCATCACGAAGGACGTCCTCGAAAGCTGGAGGAGTCTCAACTTTTGCAAATTTTCGAAGAAGACCCCACTTGCACCACTCGGGAGTTGTCGGAAATGTTCAATGTTCATCATAGCACCATTGAAGAGCATTTACATTTGATTGGGAAGCGAAACAGATGCGGAAAATGCGTCCCACATGAACGGACCCTCAATCACAAAATTGCCCGTATGAACGCTCGTCCAATTTTGATTCAAAAATCAAAAGCGCATGATTTTTGGAAATCAATGGTTACTTCTGACGAAACGTGGATATCATATGATAACGTTAAGCGCAAGCACCAATGGCTATCACCAAAGCAGGCCCCGGTTGTCACGTCAGAACCTGGTCTGCATGGAAAGAAGTTGATGTTGTACGTATGGTGGAACTATCGAGGATTGGTTTATTTTGACTCAAAACTGTCACAGCTGAACTTTACAGTGAACAGTTAGAGCGTGTGAATCAAACTTTATCGAAATCTCGACATGACAAATTCGGTTTTTGCACGATAATGCAAAACCGCACACGGCAAAGATGACCCTCCAACAAATCGAAGAGATGGGCTGGAAATTTCTACCTCACGCCCCAAACAGCCCTGACTTGGCCCCATCAGACTACCACTTATTTGGGTCTCTAAGGCAGTTCATCTCCGATCAGCTGTTCAAGGATTCCCAGGAAGTCGAAAATGCGATCACCAACTATTTTTCGTCAAAAAGTCCCCAGTTCTTTGATGATGGAGTTATTGAATTGAGCAAAAGATGGTATGATGTCCTAAATGATAATGGAGAGTACCTTTTATATTAATCCTCTTTATTTATTGTTTTTTGAAATAAAAATTCGCATCATTTTCCTGTCAACCTAATAAATGCTCACACTCTATTATTCATCTTACCTGTCCCGGTTCCAATGTCCACCAATCATCATCATCTGATCCATCACCAGTGATTGCATCATCGGCTGAGGCACATTTCAAATACATCGAATTCCCCATCTTATTCGTCACCACCACAGCATATTTAGTAGTAAATGTCTTGACGAGATCTTGAATGGCTTGACCGAAATCGAGTGTCCCGCCACCACATTCAACAAGGGAAATGGTTGAGATGAGAAGAAGGAGAAGACCAAATTGGGTCATTGTTCAGTGGTTAAATCAACTTGATTCGGCTTCCAAAATTTTCTCTCCACTTAAATACCAAACCGAACAAAAGTGTTTTCGTGTTTTGATTGCAGAACTTTTGTTATTTCTGTTGGAAAACCAAAATATTGCTATTCAATCTTTTTCCATTTAAAATGTTTACAAATTTATTCTATTCAAAAGAAAAAACCGCGTCAAAATATCCAACTGTTTGGACGTTAATGTTGTACATAAAATATTCTGTTTTGATTGGATTCATCCTTTGATGAATAGAATAGTTTACTTTTAAGTTTTTACCTAGAATACTTAATTCTTCTTTCTAACAATTGTTAGAAAATTTTAAAACAGTTAGCTGTGCTCTTTTCAAATTTTAAACCTCTGTGCAAGTGATTTGTTACTATCAGGTTGGAAAGAAAGTCCTGGGAATTTTTTTTACTTTTGGTTTATTAAATTCCTCGAACACGCGACGCAGCAGCCGATAAGTGATCTTGTTTACATCAAGCCTCATTGATTGACTACACAGAAACCCAAATGAAATACTGCTATTTTCTTGCTTTATTTTTTATTTCTTTGGAGCTGCTCAGGAGCTTCCCGAGGGTCATCTTCGGCATGTCATTTTGTTCTTTGTCAAGAAAAAAGTTCCAGCCAAAGAAGTTCTTGAGAAAACCAATACTATTTATAGTCAAGGTTCAATAAGTTTATTGACAGTTTATAAATGGTACGATCGTTTCAAAAGAGGAGACTTTTCCATAGAAGATGCCCCGCGGTCAGGTCGCCCGACTGATTTCGATGAAACAGCTCTTGCCGCTCTCTTACAAAACGATAACAAACTGTCTACCCGAGAATTGGGAGAGCAGCTTTTAACCTCCCAAACAACAATTCAAACGCATCTTCACTCAATGGGATATGTCAAAAAATTTGGCTACTGGATTCCCCACAGTCTGTCTGACTTGATGAGATGGCAGCGCCTTTCAGCCTGCCCATCTCTCAAGATACAACCGATATTCTTTTTTTGATTTCATTAGAAAAACCAATTATTTTTCTGCAAAATAACATTAAAACGGGTTTAAAAATATTTTATGCCTGGATTTTCTTGAGAGTATGAAGTCGGGTAGTCAAAAAGGGCTAACTCGATCATGCGGTTTAGACACCTTAGCTAAAGAAAACCTATCTTCGTGTCAATAGATAAAAGATAGAGAAAAAAAGTTTGATATTTCGCCAAAATTTCAGAGAAATTCATTCAGCCAATTTTTCCGTAGAGTTTTTTATAGATTTTTACGAAAAAGGCGTTTTTCACTCTCGAATTTGCTTCAAAGTCAACCGAAATTCATTTAAAAAGATGCAAATTGAACAAAAAAAACACTTTTTTTATAGAGCAAACTATAGATTAATTCGTGAATTTGTTACTTTTTAACAGAAGTACGAAAAAAACGAAAAGACTTATGCATCAACCTAATAGTTTATGCTTTTTACATTAACCATCAACAACTTTTTTTGTAACCAACATCAGCATAACCATAACCTTCATCATCGTTTTGCACGCTTTCTCCCATGCGCTAAAATTACGCAACAAAAGACCCAGATGATGCTTTGTGCAAGACTTTTAGTAATGGCAAAAATTGATTGCTGAATAATCGAGGTGATTTCAATGAAAAGTTGTCATTTTAATTGGTTCAACATTAAGAGCATCAAATAAGCATTTATCAGTATCAATCTCAAATTTACGATCTGATGTTCTTAGGCGTTGTCTCCATTGGTCCGATTGTACTCGATGCATCGCAGTGCAAATTTCGGACACTCTTCTTCATCGCTTTGGGTATCTAAATCAAAATTGAAGTGATGAGGGACAAAAAAGTTGAAATGGAATAAGCTGAAAACTTTAAGTAACACTACGTCTTTCCAAAGCGGCGAAACGTTATGAGTGATTTGGGAGCAAAGTGTTGCAATGAGATAATTGAATGTCGATTCGGTTCCTAAAGCATTTTGAGTTGAAAGTTGACAAAATGCTTAATAAACCGCTCAACAAATACTCCTCATTTGTTTTCAAATTTACACCGCAAAGATTTGGCGAGTAGAGGGTTTTGGGGAGATCCTTGGATCCCTAAAAGCAGAGTTTATACAAATTCTTGAACGATTATGTATCAAGTTTCATTAGTTTCCACAAACCTTGAAAATCTTAACATGTTCGAGTGAGAAAACGTTCTGAATATCAGCTCCCTGAATGAGCTTGCTCTCATTGTAGACCCTGGCACGAATAACTAAATTAATTTTTACAATAAATTAATTAAAAACGAACTCCAATCATAACCACACGGTGGAATAATGATCAATGGACATGGGCAAGGAATTGGACCAATTGGTGGAGAGAATGATGTTTGTGATGTTGTTTCAAGTGGGAGGACTGTGACTGATGGGACAATCAAGACCCCAAGAATAACGAAATAAAACATTTTTAGAATAGTTGACAAGTTGTTAGAACTCAAATTTGCCCAACTTACTTTATCTTTTTATAGCGTACCCATATAGTGCCCTTTTGTACGGGAAATTTGTTTTCCAATGCAAATCCATGAGTTTACAATGGCTTTTGAGTGCTTATTTGTAACAAAAACACTTTTTGTTATCTTCACTTTATGTTTTCTGGCAAAATTTGACTTGCTTTTGTGTTTGGTGTATGTTGGGGAAATATGTTTTCGGTAAGTTCACCTCACTCAACATTTTTGTTATCATCAAATTTGAGTACAAAAACAAATTTCAAAGTTTATACATTTTAACAGTTCATAAGCAAAGTTATGGTCCTACTGGTTCACATTGAGGTGCACTCTATGAGGCTTAAGAATTGAGTACTTTTTAGTTGATTTTTTCATTTACATCGCTTCCAAGTGTTAAATATCCAACTAGCCATATCAAAGCCGTCAAAATTGACTTCATGTGAACAAGAAGTTTATAATTTTATATTGAAAATTTTATTTTTAGGAAAGAGCCAGTTTTTTGATCCTTCAGTTATCGTGTATTAAGATCCTCTCGAAGAGATTTCAGCAGGAAATGGAGTGATTTCTTTGACCCTCGAGGAATTTTCAGGTCAAGGAATTCACGTCCTTTATCCATGTGGGTAAGCGATTGTTGGATTTTTGGTTTAAAGGAGAAACTCTATCTGTGATCCTTGTTCTAAATTTCCAGTTCTTAAAGCACGTGGTATGATTCGAAAGCTTTTTTTATCATTTGTTCTCAAGAATTGTGAGCTGAATTGATTATTTTGTAAACAAAATCAAATTTTTAGAAAAGTTTATTTAAAATAAGTAAACTTGTGAATCGAAATGGTGAAATGAGATTCGTTAACATTTGAACACAGCACCTGAGATTTGAACTTGAAACAGAAAAATGGTGAACAGAAACGATTTAAAGAACCCAAAGTCACTTCAAAGCATCGTTAATAAAAAACAAAACAATGCCATCAAAAAGCCGTTATGTAAACAGAACGAGGCATAAGTTCAAATGAGGTACACGAGGTTTCTGTGAGTCCCTTGACTGGGATCTGATTTCGTGTTCCATCGAAGCCGATTGGCCGGAGAACTCTTTGTTGTTCGGGCTCTTCAGTTGGTTCAACGTTCAGAGAATCGATAAATGAATCATTCTGTAAATTAGTATCATCATGTTTTTACTATTTAAAGTATTAAAGTTACTCTGTTAAGTCAAGTTACTCTGTTATCATTATCTGTTATCACATCACTTAACTCAGATATTACATGTAAATGATTTAAGTATTACCTGTTGAAATCTTATGAGTTCTTCAAGAACTTCGACAGCCATCGGCCTTGATGAACGATTGAAGTTTGTACATCTAAATATATTCATGATAAAATTTCATACTTGACTTTATAACCACCTCCTAATGATCTCTCGAATCCCTTTTTGACAATTTGGTGCAATCAGTCTCTTCAACTTCTTTTGTATGATGTCTGCAAAGAAATCATATGGATTGAAGCTTCCCCGTGACCCGTATTCCAAGAAGACGATTCTAAAGAGAGTTTCACGAATTTTTTCTTAAACAATATGAAGTAGTATTGTACAAATATCTTTTGCTTTGAAAGACATTTTCAACTCTTGACCTTCTTTCGATGATTTCCCACAAAACAAGCCCCAATGCATACACATCATTTCGGTGAGAGGCCTGAAATGAGACTCAATTTATAGGCTCAACTGTGTTTTCTGAACTGCTGGACTTAATGGAAGTACGGATTCTGTAGGACAACTGTATATGCATTGAATGCAGTCACCAACCTGCAAATCGTCACCCTCTCTCGATCGTGTGGGACTCATATAGCGTTGTGTTCCGGCAAAGCTACCCACACAAGTCTTCTCAATGTACTTTGCCAAACCGAAGTCTCCGATTTTCAAAACAAATTCCATTGTGACAAAGATACTGAAGAACTTTTGTAGATATTTAAAAGCTATGTACTTTTCAGGTTTTATATCACGATGGATGACTTTATGAACGCGAAACATGTAGCCGAGTGCATCGAAGAGTTCTCTACTCCAAATGATCACCGTTTTCATTGAGTAGATGATTGTAGAGTTGGATAGAACTGAAAAAGCCTATTTAACGTTTAAATTTAACTTACGTTCTCCTAGATTCCCCCGCTGACAGTACTCCATTACTATTCCAAAGTCATTAGATCCTTCAACAGATTCCATATGAATCAAGCTGACAACATTTGAATGTTTCAATGTTTTTAAGATTTTGAATTCTTGTTTGAAACGATCGAGATTGGCTTGAGATTCGGAATGAGCCTTCTTTTTTAGGCACTTTTTGACAGCTGGCCTGGAAATTCATTTTTTAGAAAAGCTACAACTCTTACGGATTGTGTCCAATCAACTCGCAGACTTTTCCGAATTCGCCAACTCCTATTGGACGTTCCTCGTATGTTTGCTCAAATTCGGCAATCTTCGAAGGAGATTTGAACTTGAACTCTGAAATTTGAACAAAATTTATTTTGTATTCAAGTACCTGATCAACTTTCTGTGCTTCAACAAGAGATTCCATCTCAACTCTTGTTTGTAATGGAGTTGTCTCTTCCTCGAGTTCGAACTTTATTCTTCTGTAATTTATAGTAAACAGAATCGGTAATTATTTAGAGTACTAACCTACCAATAGCTCTTCTCTTGTGTATGATCCAGAAAGCAAAGGAAACATAAAGAGAAAGCAGTGCAGCCACGAGTAAAATAAAAGCAAAAACGAAGATTAGTAATGTTTTCAGAGCATCTCCTGACACAATCGGTTTTTCACTTGTTGTAGTTTCCAAGTCCGTCAAAATTAGTTGGCAATTACCACCAGCACCAATTTGTTGAATACTGAAGCAATTGACCAGTAAGATTCTATTGACAAAACACTCACCAACTGCAAAAGCTCTTATTGTTTGACTTCCAAAAAGTGATTGCCTCTTGCAAAGTCTCGTTTTCTTCGAATCGCTCAAATATTTGATTGACGACAGTCTAAAATTCAATCATCAAAATGATCTTGTTGTGTAATACCTGATCAATATTTGAATCACATGATGGACAAGAAAGTTTCAGTCGACCCTTTTTAATATCGAGAAGCAACAGTTGTTGATTAAATAAAGTACAATTTAATTTTGTTTCTCCACCTAGAATTTATCTGACTAGGTGCTCAGAAATTTGTTTGCTACTTGCCCAAGCATTACCTTTGAAGCCTGGAATCGATTTTGTAGCCTGTAAATATTTACTTGAAATGGCTAAAGCTAAAATTGTATTCTTACCTGTATGAAAAACTCGACGCTTCCATTCTCGTATTCACAACGGAATTTCTTATTGTTGACTTGACTCCATTTGAGTGGTATCTCACTTGATGTGATAAAGAAGCCATGACTAAAAGGACGTTATGATGAGAATGAAGTACAATGTTTCACCTTGGATGATAATTTTCCCACAGTTTAATACACTTCAAGTGATTTGTTTGATTAAGAGCTGGATGGGCCCTGAAGAACGTTTCGATTAGCCTCTTCAATTTTTATTTTCGATACCGGATGTTTTTGACTTCATCCGGGTTAGGTAATTTTTTGTTCATTGTACATCTCTCAATCCATTCTTCATTTTCAACAAACAACTTAATCTTATTACCTAAATAAACTGTGTTTCAAGCATTTTATAATTTTTACGTTGAATCGACGACGACGTTCGACATGGGACAAAGAAGTTCTTCAAATTGGCAGTCAAGGAATGATCTTTGTTTCTCAGGAAAATACTTTCTCCAGAAAAGATTAAATATTATACAATTAACATCGGTCTAGACTTACCACGAACAAAAAGATAAATGGTGTCTCGTAACTGTTTTCCATTCTTCTCTTTTACAGTGCATGAATATTCGCCCGTATCCGTTGTTTTAAGATTTTGAATGTGCAATTTCACTTGCTAAAACAAATTTTTGGAACACCATTGTCAAAGTCTACCAAATCTTCGTGCTGAAATCTCAGTCGACTATCCAGCTCCTTCTTTGAAAAACCTTCAAGTTCCATGTTGCCCTCATATGGATACTCCCAGCTATAATAAGGAATAAAATTCAGTTAATTTAGTTAGTCAAGAAACTTACAATGGTTACCCTGTTACAAATGGAATACAAAAATCTACAAAATTACAGCTACTGCTTTAGCAATAGTTATAGTTAAATCTTCACTCACCGCACGTACGAGCCAATAGGACGAGCACATTCCAATGTCAAGTTTTCACCACTCACTTTTTTGATGTATCTAAATTGATTCTCATCGAATTTTGTTTGTTTGTAAAGATGTTTGTAAACTAACCTAAAAGAGAACTCATTTTCCGACATAGACTTCTCGCTTTGACCAGAATCTATTCCAGTCCAAGGGGATTTTTTGAGATCAGAGATGGGAGTAGTAAAAGAATAATAAAAACAAATTTATTCAACGCATTTCTTCTTGTCATGAGAGTTGCATTTTTTGAGATGGAATTTGATGTATATTGTTGATCAGACGAAGAAATGAATCAAATGCTGGAATTAAAAGTCAATAGCTATTTGAATTACGTAAAGAAATCAGAAATAAAATGACAAATGGCGACATTATCGGGTAAAATAGAGTTTTATTTAGATTGTTTATATTTATTTTGCATGTACTTGAGAAAAATAAAGCAAACAAATGAAAACCGTTTAAAAATGATCACATTAAGCACACAATTTCATCAAAGAAAAGCACAAAAGAGCTGTTTCTCATTCCCAACATCAAGCCAAGAGGAAAAATTGAAAAGTGAAATGATCTTGTCACGTCATATCTTAAACATTGAGTCTATTTTTCTTGAGAGAGTTTCAAAACAATAAACTAGTGAGGTTATGCTTTTTATTTCAAAAGGGTCTAGAGGTAAACAATTTATTGTTCGAAATTATTGATGAACAATAAAATGCTTAGCCAATAAAGACTTTTTTCAAGAAAGAGCACAAAAAATTGTTGCATCGTTTTCGGATATTGATCGTATTGCAGTCTTTTTCACGATGATAAGAAATTGAGCAAAAAAGTGTCGAAAAGATCCACAATTCATACAATGTGTCATTGAGTCTCACATTTGGAAACTTTTTTATGATTATTCAAAGCTCATCGAAGTTCTTCAAGGGCCTCAAACCGTTCCTACACGGAGAGTTCTCAACGTTTAAGGCTTCAAAAACATTCTCGGATGAAAAAGTACAATCTTCGGCTCAACAAGACAAACGAGAGATCAGAAAACATTAGAAGATAACAAACAGTTACTTTGTTAATGGTGCCAAAACAATCAGATCAGCTCCTTTTATTGTGCCGACAAAATGGGGCTCCGCGGTTGTTTGTTATTTGTTGTTTCTCTTGTTATCTTGTTTCAAAAAATATTTACGTTAAGAAGGTTCGACTTTCACCTAAACAAATCCTCTCGCATGTACTGTCCAACAAGTTACGAGTTCTCTCATTCTTGAGGTAAGAGTCTTCAACACAAAAATGTCAGTTAGAACTTGCGCACTTGAAAAACTGATCATCTATAAGTAATTTACTTCACTTACTTATAAAATTGTGAGTTGCTTCTGAGAGTCTATTTGTTGGCCTAGCTTGGCAGTCAAAGCATTGAATTTGAACTGAACACTCAAATGTGCTTTTGGCGATCAATTTCTCGGCCAACTCTTTTACAATTCCAATTTTTCGCAAAAAAAATCAAAAGATTTGTGTATTTCATTTTAATAGTACATGTGAAATCAACAAAGATTTTTTAAGAGAATCGTCTGTGTGCAAAAATACCCCATATGATAGATAGGGCGCCCATATCCAGACCGATTTGTAGCCAATAACACGACGAGTCAAATCGTTCTTTAGTTTTCTTGGCGTAGAGTCAACCGTCAACCTTTTTTGATCGTCGTCAAATCTAATATATTTTTGTTTGTATCAAGAAATTTTTTTGAAACTTCTTAGTTTTTTAGACAATGCAAAAAACTGCCTTTTTGAGTGCTCTTAGTAAAACCCTTTGTAGCATAGCCGCCGAGTGGTTAACATGCGCATCTCCCAAACGACAGGAAGTCGAGGGTTTGAATCCCGCCCGTGTCAAAGTTTTTTGCTTTATGTTTCAAAAGAGTTTTCGAGCATGGGGAATTCATTTCATTTCTTTTTAGGGTTTTTATGCAAACTCACCCTTCCTTGCGCACTGGCATCGAGTCAAAATCTCTTTTGTGTTCGTCTTCAGTGCCAATGTTTGAATCACTTTTGATGTATTGAAATTGATAAATGCAACGGCAGAAATTAGATCATCTAAACACTTTAAAACAGGGATATCCCCTTCCTCAGATTGGTTGATTTGCCGACGGCGTTATCTGCGGCCAAAATGGGACTTCAAACAACTTTATACAAATAAAAATATTCATACAAAATTACTCAAATCCTCTGCGATTCAATCAAATTTTTATGATAGCGGTTTTCATTTCTCAAAGTATTCCTCCTTCTACATCGTTCCAAGTGAGAGATCCCAAAACGAAAAGCGACAAAAGCGATGAGTGAAATGAATAACATGAGAAGTAAATATTTTATTTTCCCATCTTTTTCCTCATTCTTTGTAGTATAACCTGCCTCATCGAATTCTAAATCAGCCCATGCTTGGCGATGTTCTTAATAATAACGTTTTAGCCAGAACTTGAACTACGTTTAAGCAATAATAAGGACAGTTTTTGTTTTTTGCTCAAGTCCAGGAAAAACCCTGTTCAAAATCACCCCACCTTTCATTACATCACACTCCACTTGTGTAATACATGTTTTGTTCTTTTGACTCAACCACAAATACCCATCTTTGCAATAGCAAGAATTTAAATGTGCTATAAGAGTGCAGGCCTAAACGATTCCTTTTTGATATTTAATGTTGAATTTCGATTTTCTTACCTTTATTTCTTTTCCGAGGCAATACTTTTCACATTTTTTATCTCCTCCATTTCGTCTCTCTTCGTTTAAGTCAGGACAAGGGTCTGAAGAAGTTGTGTTATAATAAAAATCAACATTTTTGAAAAAGTTACTTTTCTCACCATCCTTCACTTCAACATCGGCTCGTGCAATCAAAAAGAGACAAAATGAAAAGGAAAAGAATAATAGGAATCGCATTGGCTTATCCATTTTGGTTAGAAAAAGAGCACGAAATTTTGTTTGTACACTGAAAAGCTTTAAATTTTCTTGCGAAAAAGATGGGACAAAGATAAGAATTTCTCAATTTTTTTGTTTTTGCGAAGAGTCTTTCCATTACACTTCCTTCCCCAAGAGCTCAGTTCAAATACTTCACTTCACTTCCGGTTTTAATTCAATTCATATCTTCTTTTCCCCAAAATCTGTAGTTGACTTGAAACTTGAAAATAGTAATCTCTGGGGAATCTCGATCCTCTTCCTCCCCTTCTCGTCAGTCTAATTATGAGCTTAGTGTCCTCCATAACAAAATTTGTCCCTTTCCCGAAGCTACACTGTAAATAAAGTCTTTTTTGGAGTAAATCTTCAGCCTTTACTAATTTTCTTCATCTTACTTCATTTAAAAAACACTTCGAAATTTTCAGATATGAACACCTTCCTCGCGATTTCTTTCTTCTTCGTGCTTCCGATTGTGATATGTTCGATGAGCCGCGGTTGAACGGACACGAAATCCCGCAAAACGTTGAGATGACCAAGGTCGGTAAGAGTGCGACCGAGATTTGCAAAGAGATCCACGTGTGTCAGTATTGATTTGATTTCATTGATTGATTTGAATTCGTTGGTTTTAGTGCTCAGATAAATTAGTTTCATTTAAAGTGATTCAAATGCATTCTGAACAAACAATTAAACACACGACAATGTTTATAAAGTACCATCTTTAGAAGCTTTAGTTTTAATACTTTTATTGCTCTCACATGCGGTTCTTTCACTGGTTTGTGTTGGTTACAAGTCACAATGTTGTTTTATAACGTTTATCAATGTGGACAGAGAAAAACTTTAAACTTGATACCGAAAAAATGAAAATGAATATGTGATAGTAAAAAGACGGTTAGTTGGTTAGTTATAATTGAGTTTTTAATGCTTTGAAAGAGGAACAAAATCGAGGAACATTGGAGTGAAATCTCGATGACACAATGGGCAGACGGCCACCTCGAAATTCCCACAGAATTTGTTGGCCGGCGACGCTCGATGACATTTCGGGCAAGTGTAGGCCAACGATTTGATGCTCTCAGGCAATTTCTCGATCAGAGTGGCTCCAGAGGCCTTCCATTTATTGTAATCAGCTTTTTCTTCTGGAGTCAAATCACACAAAGTCCAAAAGACATCATAGAATTGACAGTCGAGGGTACTAGCGTCTTTGATCCGAAAGTATCCATTATCTGCCCAAGATGGTCCCCAACTGTTCATGAAGACTAAACAATCCGGTTCAACTTTGATCAGAATGACTGCATGACCGCCCTGTTCGCCGCCCTCTGAGCCAAGGCTCTGTTTCGTTAAAATGCCTGAAGGGTTTTGAGTGTAGAACTCGCAGAATTTCGACCACTGTTTTTCCGTGAGCCTAAACGTGGTGACCACCGGGCGCCGTTGTGAAATGGCCACTTTTGCCGCTGATTCATGGATTTTGTTGCATGGTAATCGGTGCTTCTTGCAAAACTCGTCGAGTACGACTTTGGTGACCGCCCCATTCTTTCCAAATCTTTTAATCATTGCCCTGCGGAGCTTCTTAAAAGTTGAGTAACCACCCTTTCGCTGATAAATTCTTTTCTGAGCTAAACGTATCGCCCAAGCTGAAGCAGCAGCATAACAAGTGCCACCAATTTGTTTCGACGCCTTTCCTTTTCTCATTAAGATCTCCGAGTTGATGAATTCATCGAGAGAGGCGCGCGAGATCAAACTCAGAACTGGAGAGACTGAACCGGCAGAAGCTATTTGGCCCACTTCCGAGAGAGTCGACGGATGGTTCGCCTAAATGAAACTGTTGAATTCTTTCTGAAGTGACAGTCAGACTACAACTACTATTTTTTGGTACATTTTCCTTAAATTCACTCGTAATCAACCTGAATGAAAAGCTTGCTTCGTCCCTCCGGCGCCAACTGCCATCCCCTCTCCCATGGAAGACTCATCAACGGATGAAAATTGTCGACATCGCTTGCCAATTCAAATAAGCTCTTTGTTGCGAAGTAAAGAAGCTTTCATTTTCTCTTCGGGTTTTTCATTTTCTTTTTCTGTGCATTTTGTTGCAAGACGAAAATCTCACCTGAAGAGTGTAAACACGGTCTAAATGGTTCGACAACGGAAAAGTACAAACATTTTATCCCAAAAAAGAAATCTTGGGTCAGAAAGGCTCATTCTGGATTTTTATGGAGAGAAATGACGGATGTTGAGTAGATTTCTCTAAAAACAACTCTGATTTCAACTCTAACTTATAATTTCAAGTACTCACCGGTGTATTTGCATTCGCTTTGCACAAAAGCCAAAGATTTCGAGAGTTCTGCAACGGAAAGTCTGAAGATTTAAGCTTCTTGGACATAGAAAGCAAGTAACCAAGTTTTTCAAGTCATCCAAATAAAATGGACCGGAAAAGGTATTTGTTACCACCGATAACAGATTAAAAAACAAACTCTCAACCTTGACAAGAAATATGATGATCATCACGTTGAATATGGGGAACAAGTTCAAGAGAATCGTATTGTATGGACACAGGAAACTCAAGCCTGACGATTTCAATTACTTTATGTCATTTTTTTCTGCAAACCAACAACTCCACCCCAAAGCACCATTGTACGCGGAACGATCTTCGTAAAGGCCGCCACGATTAACTGAAATTGATATTTAACGATAGCACGGCCCGTTTTTTGAGCAAATTGGGTAAGAACATCGTCTTGATTACATGACTCGTTTTCAAACATTTACAGGGTGGCTGAAAAGTTCTGTCTGCATTAAGAGACGTGACTTTATAATAAAACTCCGTCGAGATAGAACAAAATGGAACTCAAATTTTAAAAACTCGACTATTTTGACCTTTTAGATATGTTTTTGCTTTGCCCAAAAGCCCACAGCGCTTAACCCAGATATAAATTTTTTATTTTAACACAAGTGGTCTGGTGGGAAGAGTTCTTTCTGTAGTCAAAAAGTTCTGTTCTGTTATCAGAGTTTTTTCTGTCATCCATTGCCGCTCTTAACGCTCCCTGCACAGCAACGCCTCTAAAAATTCGATAGCTAAACGAAGAAAAGCTGCTTATATTGGTGGAACAAGAAAATTTCTTTTGTTCATATGAAAACGAGCAAAGGATTTTCTGTTTTTTCTCCAAATAATAGTAAAAACTGGTTCCTGTGACTACTTTGCTAGTATCACCTGTTAATTTCTAGCAATTTAGAGATCTCTTGACATGAAGCTACTGTTGACGTTCTTCTTGCTTATTTGCCTATCAAATGGGGAATCGAATGCGGTTTTCACTCTGACAGCCGACAATCCGTCCTTCGCCTTTCATGGAGCTCGTCTTTCTCGCGCAGCGGTACTCATTAGGGACCAGCGGGATTCAGCGATTCCAACCGGTTGCAACTAAGTTGTATTTCCGTCGATTGAATCAATAATAAAGTTTTATGGGTCGAATATGCGACCCAAAGCCCAGCCCAAGCCCAAATTAACTTCAAGTGCCCCATTGAACTCAAAAAAGCCTCAAGAAATAAGTTGTTCATTATACGCTTCGAATCGTAACTCCCAGAACAGAGCCGAGTTTTGGGCAGAAATACTAAAAGTCAGCAGCACAGCAACCTTTCAGAGCATCACCATTGGAACGTCGGCGCGTGCCATATCTATTGTATACTCTCAAAATGGGTGCCTAAAGTTCACCGATAGTAATCAAGTAAGCAAAAAATTTTATTATTTATCTGAATAATTTTGATTGTTTCAGTGCCCGGATGAGAAGCCGTTTTCGATAAACGCCTCACTGTTCATAGGATTGCCATTTAAGATGCAAGGACCCCTTTGAAGAATACCTCAATACCCCCATTTCAGGCAATACAGTATCGAGAGTGAACCGTTGCTTGCTAATTCCATTTATGGATTCTCATGGAATGTGAGCAGCAAGAGTCTACTCTTTAGCAACAATTCGCTGACCAACTCACGAGACTGGGCCATTCTGGTTTACATTCGAGGCTTGCTGGCCGGTATTGTACAGACTTATCGCTGGACCCCAAATGGGTTCTTACCGTAAATACTGTAATAGTACCCCACCCCCTCATACAGTCGCGTAGTCGCAAAAGTTTTTTAGTATTTCATTTTTTTCAAAGCGCCCGTATTTTCAAAAAATGCGTCCTTGGTATGAAAAAAATAGCTGAAATTCAAGGCTATTTTTTGATACCTAAGCGCGCATTGTAGCATAAACCAGTGTTGAGAAAAACACGTTCAAAGCTAGACTACGCAACACTCCGCACCGTCAATATGGGGGCGGGGTACTATTACAGTATTTACGGTAAATATTATACTCATATGATATTTAGAGGATCTTCAAAACGGGAGTCCGATGCCATTTCCTGGATCCGGAAAAGACAAAGCAAAGCAGCCAATTTATCTTAATGCTTTTAATGTGGATTTTGGTTATTGGACGATCATCCCGCATCCGGACACCTACAGGTTTGTTGGGCTCCTCTAATTGCCGGCCCCCTTACTTTTGAGCCATTTTGTGCAGACTCTAGCTCGGCGAGGCCTAATCTTAGAAAGTTTCTTATTGGGTGCATTCAAAAAAATCTGATCAAGCGCCAAATCTTTTCTGATCCTAGAGCGTTAAAAAATTTTTATGTGAACTCAATGATCGGGGCCTAAACTGGCACCGCTTTTTCTGACCTAGGGAGTCAATTTTTGTTTTCTAAAGGATCCAAATTTACCAATAAGGTAGCACCCTCAAATAGAATACGTATAGAATAACATCGAATGATGCAGAATATAGAAAAAAATCATTCATCGTCCACAAATATCCATTACTTTATTCCGAAATCCCATAAACTTGTTACAGTGAAGACGGTCCAGTGACAGTTATCGAGCCACTCTACGGACTCTCTTCTCCCCGTTACTGTCAACTGCCTACAGTAATTTCAGAGGGCAATATCTAACGATAAAGCATTTTCGAATTTCAGCCACCATGCACTGCGAGGACGGTATTTTATGTGTTAGCCGGTGGAACTCCGGGTAAGACGATCAACGATGAAACGATTCTGTACAAAGATCGGTGAGCGTTTTTTGTAGTACCGATTCATTTCTCTCAAAGGGGAAATCGCCCAATTCTATCGAGGAACACAGCGACCACCGTATTCACTCCTATGGCCTGCAGCTATTGCTTGCTTTTTCGAACGTCTCCAATCGGTGGGGAATAGAAATGGGAATCGGGTCCGCTTTTGTCGGATCGGGTCACGTCGGGGCAACCCGAAAACCGGGAGGGTTCGGGTCGGGTCAACCCGAAAATTTAAATTTTTCGGATCGGGTCGGGCCAACTTTTGACCCGGCCTGATCCGATCCGACCCGATTTCCCATGTCTAGTGGGGAACAGGGCTGCCCGGACGTCCAGATCCGGATCCAATTTTTGTAGAATTAGCTAGGAAATGCTTATTGACTTTCGCAAATTATGTTTAGATGAGCCCCTAAAGTCATTCTCAGTCTGGACTCCACCCTATTATCCGTGGATTCATGACAAAGAGCTGCGAAATGAGTTCATTTTGCAAAAGGGCAACTCGATTCAAATGGGAAATCACTTTGGAGATACAGTTTTCTCAGAAACTCTTTGTCGACAAATTTACTTGATTTAGGACGGAGTAGCCAAAACGCGCGCAGTGACGGTCGAAATCAAACAACTTTCCGGCGGAACCCTTCAGTTGTTCGGCGCGGAGCCCGATGGAAATGATTGTTCGTCTCTAAAGCAAATCGATCCTGGCAAGTTGGTGCTTATTCATGTTTTCTGAAATTAAAAATGAGAAATCTTTTATCAGTTTCACAACGCCATCAGCACAGCCCTTTTCTTTTGATGCCTACTGTTTTGAGGTTCATTCTATCGCACAACAGCCAAGTATTAGTACTTTTATTTTTAGCTAAGCTGGAATATCACCGGTTCACCTGACGACGAGATCGGTTTTTTGTTGACTCTGAGAACTGGTAGAATTCACTTAAATGATCTTACATATGTAGTTAGGGGCCACCACTCAAAGGCTTTTCGGGAAGATTCGGGGTCAAAAAAACAAATTTTAAGTGAACAATTTCGAAAACTGCACGTTTTGCGGTCAAAATGTCCTTTAAAAGGGAGGATGGTGGTCCCTACATGTAGAATAGATTTTTCAGAACCAGATCCAAGGGTTTTTGCATTGACCGAAGAGACGCCGTCGTTTGCGATTCACGGGGACCGTTTGCTGGAGTTTGAGGTGATCATTGATGGGAAAACCGTGATCAGTTTTTTGAGAAACTATTTCAGATAATTCGACTGACATTCGACGGGACCAACACCGTAACTGTGGACGTGTCGAGGGAAGAATGCCGGAACGTTAGTCAATTCTTGAACTCATGTCTTGACCCGACCCCATTCTCTAACGACAACCAAACACAAACAGAGTTTGATGAGGATTCGAGTGGAAAAGTGTATGCATAGCTTAGATAACTGAAAATAATTTCCATTAAGACTATGGCTTGTCAAAGATGATCCAGGGTTTAACGGAACACTTTGGACGAATCGCTTCGAGCTGGAAAATATCGATGAATTGCTCGTTCGACCCGTTGATCTGGACGCAGTTTTCGCTGTCTCATTTCGAATTTCGAATGGGATGAACGGTCCAAAATTCGCTGATTACTTTTTTACACTTTGCTTCTTACAGAAACGAAAAAAGTGCTCGTAATACCAGGCAGATTGAGAGAGAACACGAATGGAAAAATGATTGGGGAACGCTATTTGATCGTGGACGAAGATACGATTGTCACGATTGTGCCCAGCACAGCACAATACTTGTCCGTTTGTTTACTTGTGGCTTGATCTTTTCTTGACTCAATACTTGTTTTTCCATGAACTTTTGTTATTGTCCTCCTCTCTTTATAGATGCGTTCGTATATGGTCTATTTTATAGTACCTAGATAACACAAGAATTTTAAGTGCTCGGTAACCCTTGTAGGAGCTATGGTAACACCGACCATTCTTTGGAATTTAGGTGGTACACCCCATGGGTAACGATGCGGCCAGTCGGCAAAATTACCGACGATCCGGGTGATGACTGCCCAATTTTTCGTGTGAATTTTAACACTCGCAGAACCACGAAATTGAAGAGTGTTTAGGAGCAGTTGACTTGCCTTGGCAGCACGACGACTTTCAAAAGCTATGCTGGCGCTGATCCGGGTCCTCGTCCAAACGAGAAGCACCATTTAATTGATGGAAGGTTAACATATTTTTTTAAATGTGTTTACGCTATTGACTCTCATTAAAAAATTTCAAATAATCCCCTTGATTGCTGAGTCCATATTGAAGATAGCTCGTTAACTAATCTCAAAGCAATCCAACTTTCTGCATTAAAAGTCAATCAGTTTTTTGTATATAGATATCCCGATCTTCGTATCGATTCCACATCTACAGCCACTACGATTTTCACCGAACAACAATGCGTGTTCTGTCTTGTATTCGACATATTCTCCAAAGTGATGTCGGGAGGTATTTCTGGGAGTGCAAAACGCTCGATGCGATAATCGATTCCAGCGTATACTATGAACGGGATGTCCCTATGGACGTCGGGATATTATCCGTGGATTTTCGACAAACCGGAACGCCTTGCTCTGGGAGCAGTACCGTCAATTTTTTATTCTGGTTATGTAGTTGATAGTGTAAGTGATTCCAAATGAAAGCCTCTATACCATAGAGCTAAACCATGGTACATACATATAAATGAAACGTAGGTTTATGGTTTATGACTTTTAGGAAGGAGAGCTCTCTCCAGGCGAGTTGCTAGACTTTCAATTCAAACAGATTGGAGGTGGCATCGCCCAGCTCTTAGAAGCAACTCAGAGTCCCATTATAAAAACCGTCTGTGCGACCGGAGAAGATTCGCCGATCGTGCGGCTGAAGTTTGTTCTTCTATACAAACAATAGTCTAGCTTCAATACTTGTTTTTCTTGCAGTTATTTTTTGGACTCTCATCGGTTAACTGGGAGTTTTGGATTGAATGATTGACTTTTTCTGCAATAATTTTTTGATAATCAGAACCTCAATGCAAAAATTAAACCCTTCTATAACAAAATCCTCAATAACTAGGCAGACTCGGTCCCGCCGAACTACTTTATGGTTAAATGTAATGTAAATTTCCTCTTCAGTCTTTTCTTTTGTGTTCTATCGAGATCGATTGTAATGTTTTTTCATTTTTAAATACAATAAAAAAGAGTCGGTCTTTCTTTCAGCATCACTCAGACCAACTTCACGCAACTCGAAAATCACGAACGCATTAATGTCTCATGCATCTATGTAAGACTTTTTAGTTTTTTTCGGGAAGTGCCTAAAATTGAGGCATCAATTTTAGCTAACATTTTTTCCCGATCAGCCTTTGCCCGATGATTACGGTTTTATGGTATTGGTGACGGAGCACAAGACGAACACCTATGTGTTGGATGAGACAAATCCATCATTTGCCGTTCACGGAGCTCGGCTTCGGGGATTAAATGTATGTATTTGCAAAGAAATCGTAAAATTGGAGCCATTTAGTTGTATTCTAGATACCTAAAATGACTGGCAGTACATGTATATGTTGTATCCGATTTGGATTTTTATCCGATTTGGATTGAACTCACCGCGGATATCCGATTTGGATTGAAATCCAAATCGGATATCTGATTTGGATTGAAACATTATTTCACAGTAGGGTGTCATGTTTTTAAAAGGTTTTTAACCATTTCCTAGAAATTTTATAGAGGTTTAACTCTGGCAACCTAGAACAGTCCGTTAGCACCACCTTTGCCCAAAAAAGGCTTTCCTGTATTTTAATGAGAATTCAATTCAAAACCCTTTATTTATTAGGTTGGTGCAGATGAAACTTCCGTTGGAACCATAAACAAAATTTATTATAAAAATCCTAATACAGAACCTCAATCCAAAAGATATTCGCCATCATTTTCAATGACTCTTTGCCATCTTCCACGCAGAGAATGGATGCCCTTTTCGAAGAACTCGGGCAACTGCGACTCGAAGAAGTTGGACACCCAGATTTCAACTTCTTCGCGGTTTTTGAATTTTTTTTCTGCTAGAGAGTGCTGCATCGACCGAAACAAGTGGTAGTCGGATGGGGCCAAATCCGGGCTATATGGCGGATGAGGCAGAACTTCCCAGCCCAATTCCTCGATTTTCTGCTGGGTATCTTTGCGGTGTGGGGTCGAGCGTTATCGTGGAGGAATTTTGTAGTCGCCGTGTTATTGCCTTGACGACGCAATGCCTGGTCCACGCGGCTCAATTGGGCTTTGTAGAGATCCGCCGTGACTCTTTGGCCCGAATCCAGCACCTCAAAATACACGAGACCTTTACTATTCCACCAAATACAAAGCATCACCTTTTTTCCGTGGACATTCGGTTTGGGAGTCGGTTTTGGCGGTTCACCAGCGTCCAACCACTGCCGTTTTCTTGTTGTGTTGTCGTAACATATCCACTTTTCATCTGCCGTAACAATGGAGTCGAGAAAACCGGCGATCTTTGCGCGGCGGACGAGAATTCCAGCCATTGTAGCTCGAGTCGCTTTGTTTGCGTCGCTGAGCTGATGTGGCACCCATTTTCCACACCGATTCGTCTTACCAATTGCGTGCAAATGGCGGAGAATGGTTGTATGGTCGCAGTCAAACAGCTCTGCAAGCTCCCGAGTTGTTTGGCATGGATCCGATTCGATAGCGTTCTTCAACTCATCGTTGTCGACAATTTGAGGTGGACTCCCGCGTTTTTCGTCTTCCAAACTCTCATCACCGTCTCGGAAGCGCTGAAACCAAGTCCGGCATTGACGTTCGGACAACACGTCATCGCCGAATGCTTTGCACAGAGCACGATGAGATTCCGTAGGCGTTCTGCCTTGTTTAAAATCATACAACAAGCAAACCCGCACTCGAAATTTTTCGTCAACCATTTTCTAGAAGCTAAAAATTACTTCAAATTAAGTAAAACGCATAAGTCTTAGATATCAAAAGACGCGCAAAGAGACGCTCTTTCAGATAGACAAATATCTTCAATAAAAACTTTTATTAGGTTCAAAATGTAAACAAACAAGTGTGACGGAAGTTTCATCTGCACCAACCTAATAATTAGCGGCAACTGTATCGTAAATGAAAATAATCATAAACAATAAAATAACTGGTTAAGTAAGCAAATTGATGAAACTACACCGTAAACTTTAAAAACAATGTAACTAAACAAAATGTAATGGTGACAATGTAAAGAAAAACATGGAAAAAGCAACTATTTGTTCTTGCAACTAAGACTGTGATGGCATCTGGAATTGCAGAGGAGACCACTTTTTTTGCAGGCACATCGGTTTGACGAACATCCACCAGTGCATAAGCAGTGTCTGTGACCTATACGTACCCATCAGTTAACCAAATAAAATTTAAAACTACCTTGCTTCCCGTGGACCGAAGATTCACCAACAGCAGCACGAAAAGAAGTCGTTCGATCGGGAACATCAGCGACAGAAATGAATTCCGTTTCACAAGGATGGAGCTGATTTCGTGAAAACATTTGCGGCAGGACTCCATTTGTAGTTCCGATTGAGTAAAGGTCATCGACCACTAAAAACAGTTTAAAGAACTATTTAGCAAAGCTAACCTTTCGTGACGATACCCATGAGATTGCGATGTCCAATTTTCGGACGATCGACCGGATCAATGGTAATTCGCACATTATCTCCCACATTTACAGGATGAAATCTAAAATCGTAGATTAAGCACAAAACAACTAGGTTTAGAACAGATAAAACATGCAAAAAAACAAACCGTTGTTTGGAAGCAAGTAACATCTTTTCAGCTTGTTTTTCTTGACCGGCGCTGGCAGCTTCCCGCTCAAAAGCGATTGTTCTATCATGGTTAACGAAATCAAATTCTTGTGTAACTAAATTAAAATGTAGAAGACAAAAAAATTTAAAATAAACTTGATCCGTTACTGTTCTCGTCCAATGCATTGTCTTCATTCCGAGAAATAATTTCTTCAGCATTTGTTTCAGTCACCTCAAGGCTGTCTGGATTCTCAAAAGCACCACTAAAGAAGACATTTTAAATCAATTATTTATTTAAATAATAGTTTAAAAACCTACCGGCTTTCATTCGCATCGTCGTAATTCTTTCCAAACATAGCGGCGAATGGCGACCTTTTGATTCCATGATGATAACGTCGATTTTTTATTAATTGAATCATCGGAAGAAATTCTGCCCATTTTGAAGTATTCCGGTCTCGCTGGTATGTGCACAAGATATTCCTAAAATTTAAGATTAAAAAAACCTTTAAGAAAGTGGCTACCTCGATGTCGGCGTTAGCTCGTTCTACACTCCCTTGTGATTGAGAATGACGAGGTTGTCCGCGAACAACTTTGCAGTGGCCCTACACATTGACCAACTCGTCGATCCATTTGTTGATAAATTCTCTACCATTATCTAAACTTCTCAAAAATTATAAAAATCTTGCAAAATAAACCAGAATGCAAAATTTTTGGCGGTCCAAAAATTCCAAAGATCATCGCGAGTTGATCGCATACTTCTTTTGCCGTTTTTGTTTTCAACGGCCTCAACGTTACAAATTTTGTCAAATGATCCTAAAGCACAGTTACGAAACGTTACATTTAAATAATACCTGGTATACTAAGATGAACTTGAATTCGCCATCCGGAGTTGATTGAAGGTCAATGAGATCGATTTGACACCTTTCATTCTGTCTTTGTGTCCGTATTGGTTTCACCACGATTGTTCTCTTTGGACTTTGACGCTTCATTTCACATTCTTCGCAGAGATTGACGAATAGAGCAATTATTTCTCTAAAGGAAGGTAAAGCAAAAGCGCAGTCAATTACATACCTTGAAATGCCATAAAATTCTCAGAGTCCTTTCCACATCACGCATATCCCTGCATGTCCAAGTTTAACATGCGTTTTGAAAAGGATGCTGAAGAGTTCTTCTTGTTGAATTACTCGTTGCCTTTCTGGTTTGCTACCGGCTTTCCGTCGTTCGTCTTCGTGATAAAGCGTGACTTCCGTGTTTTCGATTGAAAGAGTGTATCGCTTCAGCAAGTTGGCTTCATGATAGTTCATTTTTGAGGTCTCCAGTGTTGAATCGTTAAAACCTTTAATTTGATCAACCATCAGCTTGTAGATTTCGGCTGTCGGAATTTGGCTCGTCTTTTTTCGCTCCAGGAAGCTGTTGAATTTCTCGTAGAAGCGTGACTCCATCTGTAAAACAACAACGTAAAATAAGGTAAACAGCATAAAGACATAAAAAAATACAGAAGCATGTCAAAACGCGTAAATAAACTACTTTTTTGGGCAAAGGTGGTGCTAACGGACTGTTCTAGGTTGCCAGAGTTAAACCTCTATAAAATTTCTAGGAAATGATTAAAAACCTTTTAAAAACATGACACCCTACTGTGAAATAATGTTTCAATCCAAATCAGATATCCGATTTGGATTTCAATCCAAATCGGATATCCGCGGTGAGTTCAATCCAAATCGGATACAAAATATATACAGTCATACGCAAAAGTCTTGGCGTGTTCAGTGCAGGAAAACACTTTTGAGGTTTTCAGCAAATTTTTTCAAGTAACATAGAAAGTGTTAAAGGGTTTTAGTAAGCCCGAGATCTCTAGTTTTGAGAACAAAATACCCCATTTAGCAACAGTTTATCGTTTTTGAGAAGTCAATGAACAAGTAGCAGCAAGTCGGAAAACAGGCTCGCAAAAGTATTGGTATGTTATACAAAAATTGTCTAATAAAAGTAAAATCACTATTTCGTTGGCCCTCCCCTGGCTGAAATTACTGCCTGAATTCGTCTAGGCATCAAGTCGACCAATTCTTGCTAAATTTGTGAAGAAATTTCGCTCCATTCGTTCCGAATATAGTACCACAGCTCGACCTTCGATCCAAAGCGTTTTCCCTTGAGTTTCAACTTCACGTAGGCCCACAAATGCTCGATAACATTCAAATCGGGACTTTAGGGAAAAGCATTTACTAATTTAATTCGATTTGCAGCAAATCAGCCCGATAGACGAGCTCTTCCTCCATTGGCAAGTCGAACAACGCGTCCCATGAGAAGCTGTGATTTGTGGCATGGGGCGCTATCCTGATAAAGCAGCTATCCCTGTCCTATTTTTGTAGCGGAAAAGGGAAGAAGATCCTTTTCGAAAATTGTCTTGTAGCGTTGGGCGTTCAGGGTTGAGTTCAGAAGCACGAGTGGACCCGGTGAACTTTGTGACATGGCACCCAAGGAAAACAAGATTAGCAAGGATAGAAGCAAGAAAATACCCCACTCCATAGCATAATCGATCCTCCACCAAATTTGACTGTAGGACGCAAGTATTTTGTGTAGTAACGCTTTCCAATTGGCCTCCGAATCAAATGATTACCGTCTGGATTGAAGAGATTGATTTTACTTTCATCGGTGAAAACGACATTTACCCAATCGTTCGAACTTCAACTTTCGTACTTCCTGGCGAACATGAGACGGATCTTTCGATGCTTTGCAACCATTAAAGGTTTCTTGACAGGCCTTCTTGTCATCAGTCCGACACGAATTAGTCGTCTATTCACAGTATCGTGTGATATTTCCTTGTTAAACTGCTGCTTGATTAGAGCGACTCCGTCAGTGGCGTTCATACAGTCATGCACAAAAGTCTTGTAACATCCAGTTTAGCAAATTTCAAAGTGTAATAACTTTTTTTGAAACAGGCGAATTCCCAAACAGTTTTTGGTTTTCAGTTGTCAAAAATTTCAATTTTTATATGCAAGAAAAACTTTATTGAAACGATTAACAAAAATTAAGAAAAACAAATAAAAACAAAAAACGGGCGTATTTTTGATGCTCAAAAGTCTTGTAACATTTGAAATATTTTGCTTTTTTTTTGGTTTTTCTTTTTATTTTCTTTTTATATAACAAAAAATTATTTTTTTAAGATGTCTGGACAATATTTGTCAACTCGGGACAAAGAAAAAATTGTGGAAGCGCGAGAGAAAGGAATTCAGAGGAAAGATGTGGCAGCTCTCTTCAAATGCAGTGAAAAAACGGTATCTATAATTGTCGGGACGTTCAAAACGACTGGATCTGTTCACCGAGCTTCAAAATCAGGCCGTCCACCAATTACAACACCCAGAGAGGATAAAGCGCTCGTCAAAGCTCACAAAAATAACAAGGATCTCAATGCGAGCGATGGAGTCGTCATGATGAAGAGTCAATTCGGCAAGGATATATCACGAATGACAGTGAACCGACGCTTGATTCGTGGTGGGTTGGTGACAAGAAGAGCAGCCAAGAAGCCCTGGATGAATGTTTGGAGTTTGCAAAGAAGCATGACAAAATGATTGGGCAAATTTTTTTTTTTAAATTTTTACTGATGAGTCAAAGGTCAATCTTTTTCGCCCGGATGGCAACCACTTGATCAGAAGACCAATAGGAAAGCGGTAAAACATCAGATATGTGTGACCAACCGTGAAATTTGGCCAAGGATCAATCATGCTTTGGGGTAAGGGCTACTTTCGTGGTGCACACTCTCAACTCTGTCTTTCAGGTGCAATGTCGAGAAATTCACCAGTTCCGCTAGTGCTACTAAACTCAACGCTCAACGCTGAAGGCTACAAATCAGTTCTCCAGAATCATCTTCTGCCATTTTCAATTGCAAAAATGGGCCCTGGATGGCTGCTTTATCAGGATAATGCGCCTTGCGACAAGAGTCAATTGCTAATGGGCCGGGTCGTCACTCTCGCAAATGGTGGAAAAGCTCGTCTTCCAGGATGGTTCAAAGCAAATCGTGTTCAACTTATCTCAGCTCCTCCATACAGCCCAGATTTGAGCATCTTTGGGCTTTTTTTGAAGTCAAAGCTGGAGGGAAAGCGACTCACCTCGAAGATAGAGATTTGGTTCTTCATTCGCCGTACCGGGTCATCCCTGGAAGCCCAAATTCTACGCGATTTAGTTTATTCAATGCCAAAGCGGATCCAGGAAGTCAACAAAGCTAAAGGTGGACCAACGAAGTATTAAAAATTTGATAATTTCTATGTTTTTTTTCAAATGTTACAAGACTTTTGAGCATCAAAAATACGCCCGTTTTTGTTTTTATTTGTTTTTCTTAATTTTTGTTAATCGTTTCAATAAAGTTTTTCTTGCATATAAAAATTGAAATTTTTGACAACTGAAAACCAAAAACTGTTTGGGAATTCGCCTGTTTCAAAAAAAGTTATTACACTTTGAAATTTGCTAAACTGGATGTTACAAGACTTTTGTGCATGACTGTATTAGGGTCCTTTCGATGAGCCAAAACGAGCGCTTTGTCTTCTCTTGGTGTTGTTTCGGGTCGACGCTCTGCTCTTGGTAATCGGTGAAGATTTCCAGTGGCCTTAGACTTAGCAAGCAACCGAGAAACCGTCCTTACGCCACATTTAAACTGCTCAGCGACTTCTTTTTCCGTTTTCTCGTTTTTCCTTGCTTCAACTATCTTTTCCTTGTCCGGGATGCTCAAATACAAACTTCCTGGCATCTAACAGCAAAAATTAATGCAAATTAACAAAGGAGAACACAAAAATATGAAGGAACAAAGTGTAGAATTGAAACACGCCAATACTTTTGTTTTTCTGCTAAAAAAAACTGTTTTTCGACTTGCTGCTACTTGTTCATTGATTTCTCAAAAACGATAAACTCTTGCTAAATGGGGTATTTTGTTCTCAAAACTAGAGATATCGGGCTTACTAAAACCCTTTAACACTTTCCATGTTACTTGAAAAAATTTGCTGAAAACCTCAAAAGTGTTTTCCTGCACTGAACACGCCAAGACTTTTGCGTATGACTGTATAAGCGATTTTAGGGCGGAATATAGTAGAAATATTCACATTCCCAATATACTAGGCAGAATAGAATATATGTACTACTACAGTGAGAGTTTTAAACTGGAGATTTTTGAACTGGAGACTCCGAGCTGTCCAGCATGACATGAGCATGAGCAGACATGTAAACTAAAAAGACCGGTTTATCTCGGTTTTCTAAATTGTGAATAATTGAAAATTATAAAGCAACCACGATTTAGAAAACGGTTTCTTATAAAAGGTTTCAGAAAAAATTCTGGAAACGCTGATACCTGAATGGTTGCAAATTATTAATTAAGACGCTCTTGAAACTGTGGATCGCTAAAATTTTTGAATGAATTGTAAAAAGAAAATAGGCAAAATCCAAGGGTTTTGCTGCTCTAACAGGATGCTCGAAAAAATCATATTTAGGACATTCGGATCGAGGTTTCAGAGGAGGTCGATTTCCTCCTTGATCTGACGCAAATCAAGTTGAACGAGGTCATTCAATTTATAAAAGAATAAAAATAAGAATAGAATACTTTATTTCACATGAAAATAAAAGCATACATTAAACACAGTACATAACCAGCACGAAAAGAGAGAAAAAGTAAAACAAAGAGAAAGAAAAATTGATTTATTTCACAAGTCTAATCAAATCAATTTTTTGCAAAGAACATTTAAAGGAGGAGAGAGATTGAGAGGTTGATTTATGAGATAAGAGAAGATATTCCTTATTCATTGATTCCCCACGATCTTTTAGTCATCAGATGTATGTGCTGGCCCGTTTCCGTTCACAATTTCCGAGCTGCCAACAAATCCCGTAGCGGAGAGTTGTGGGGAAAGGTAATCAATGCATGGTGTCGATAAAGCTAATTTGGCTTCAGCACTTTTGCTTCAATAAACGAAGATCAGCAAATCAAGGGTTATTTTTACACGTCTCACTTCAATTTTGACAATAAAACCGAACTTCGAGTAGCTCATAACTTTCACTTCGGCACCACCGATTATGCGATTTCGATTAGAGTTAGACAGTGGACCGATTGTTTGTTTCGGACTAATAGAAGTCTATATTCTTCTTCATTTAGCAACGAAGAAGATTCTTGTAGTTCCGGGAATGAAAGATCAAGAAGACGTGTATAATGTAATGGTCGGCGAGGATTCCATCACAACTTTTGTCGAACATCCGGATAATTACAAGTAGGCAACTCCCACCTTCGTACAAGCTTTGAGAGTATAATGCGTGTTTTAGCAAACGCCTCTTGTTTATGTCTCAATTTATTATTATATTATAGTATAGATTGGGTTGGTGCATTGAAAACAGCGGGCTATTTCGCGGGACTCGCAAACAAAGAAAACAACAGCATAGAACCAACTGAAAGGGGGTTTGTTTATTTCAAAATTTCCTCTAACTATTCCTCTAATTCCTCTGACAGCACGCGCCCTTATGTTGCAAAGCTGACTCGCTCTAAGATAAACAGCCTTGGTTGGGAACTTTTGGCGCATGCCCATACTATTAATGAGCTTGCGGGAGAACACTTCGATTCGGAAGAAGCAGTCAAAAATTGGCTCCAAAAGTTTTTCGATTCAAAACCAAAATCCTACTACGAAAGAGGAATCCACAAATTGCCTGGAAAATGGGCAGAAGTCGTCAATAATAATGGAAATTATTTGGAATGAATTTATGGCTTTATGTTGAATAAATTTTAGTTCAAAGTCTCGCAGTTTTCAATGCACCAACCCAATATTATATTAATAATTTTATTACGATATTATTATCTAGAGTGAACTCTTGATACATTGTAGTGCAAAAACTTTAGATACACCAATAGTTATTCTGGACCGTTAACGATGCTAACGACAGTTGATCAAAACTCGAACTTCGACCTGTGTCCTCTATTCAAGGTATGGTTTGAACATTCGAAATGGAAACAATTTTTGTTAGTTTTTGGTAAAAGAGCGGTACAGGAGCTATAGTTTTCCACACTCTTTTGCTAAAATTTCTTTTTTTAGGAAAACCTTACCTGCATAAACGGCACCATCTATTCGTATTTTGCGGGCGCCGATCCGGGAATTCAAATGGATACTTGGAATCGATTAATCGATGATACGTCAGTCATACCTGTGCTTAACGCGAATATAAAATGCAATCATGGCTAAAAGTCTTGCCGATGAATTTTCCGTGAATATCAACAGGGTGTCCAAAAAAATCGTTTTTCATAAGTTTTATCATTAAAATGCCTAAAAGCAACCCCAGTGGCATTCTTAGTGATATTGTCTTCTAAGAATTGGTACAAGTCAATTTTCAATGAGATTTGCAATAAAATAAATGCTTGATTTCGTTAGAAAGAGGAGACTTTTAGCATTAAAAGGTATATTACATGTAATATCCGAATAGAACTTAAAACATGTAATTGAATTTTTTCATAAAATCTGTCCCAGAACTTTTCGAACATGTATTAATTCGTTGAGTATTGTGTCAATTACACCATTGTTGCCCTAATATTTTTACATAGTATTTATTGATAGGAATAATGATGTATTACATATGTGTGTATTTGAGAATATGGAAGTGTATTGTAGACCGAAAAATGTTGTACTCTACTCAACCACATCTGCAGCGACTCTGTTCGCAAAAGACTACGCATGCAGCTTTTGTCTTCTATTCGACTCAAGAAACTCTGGTTATCACTACTTAAAATAACAATTTTACTTCAAAACTTTTCGCTTTTAGATTTAGCTGAGACGGCGGCAAATAATTTGATCCCCGATGGTCTCACGGTTTGGACTCACCCATTCTATCCGTGGATGCGTGACTCCGACGAGAAAAGAGCTTACTTTGATGAAGCAAAAACCTTCGGGATACCTGTAGAAGTTTATAAAGGAGTATGTTCTATTTTTTCTATAAGTTCTAAGAGAGGGATTATTACTTCACTATCCACATGTACAGTCAAGCGTGACTAGTATTAAACTCAAGTAATCTTGCCAAACTTGAACCTTAGCGTTGAACTGAGTAGCCAGGCTGAAGATGGGAATCAAAAAAGATGGAATTGAACCTTTTGCTTACCGGGCACTGGCACTAACCGCGACCGCAACGCTGACCTCAGCGCTCCAGAAGAGGGCCTTATGTTATGTCTTACTAATAATATTGAGGTTTCAATACTATCCAAGACTGCTCCAAGATACTACCTTGCTAACGCCATCTTGCTAAAAACAGGACAACAATTTGTTATCTTGTTATTTAAAAAGCCGGCATTAGCAAGGGGATATTCATCTTGACAAATCTTAATCTGACTTGATTGTATTTAGAAGGAATCGACTATGTTCACGGTTCGCGTACAACGAATCGATGGTGTTCGGCTGACGATCGTCACCTATGATTCACAGAATTGTGATGGAAACGGAAATGAGTTACTTAGAAAAATGTATGATAAATGATTCTCAGGGAAAACAAATGAACTCCAAACTTTGAAATCAAGTTCTTTTTAGAATCGACGCTGCTGAACAAGCATGGGTCTTTGACGCCAAGTGCATTTGGGTGAGTTGTGCTGAGTAGCTGTTGTACTGGAAGTAAAGATATACAGGAAAAATCTTTCCCTGTACATGTCTTCCCTACACTAATGTAAGTGAGTCGAATCCTGGTGTCCTAGTTCTAGGCAAGTGCCCTAACCGCTTTACCACAAAGGAAACAAATGGTATATAATAAAAGCTTTGGTTCTTCTCCATTACAGAATCCCTAAAAAGATCGGATCCCTATCGGCAGGGGGTTCCGCGAGTAACATTGAAAGCTTTCAATAAAAATTTTAGTAAATACAGAAAAAACGTACCAATATATCAAGAAAAAAGTAAATTTGCAGTTTTAAAAATTATGCATAAGAACTTTTAGGAAATATGTTTCAAGCATCCGATCTTTTTAGGAATCCTGTGATGGGGAAGAACCAAAGCTTTAAGCTGTCATACTTCTACCTAATTTAGGTGTGGTGGAAGGCCACTGGACTCTACAAGGATAAAAGTGGCTTCGTGTTGACTGTCAAGAAAACCCCAACGTCACTTGGTGCCACTTATCAACTTAATAACTCTATGCCGACCATCGCTTTTCATGCGACTGAAGTTTATGGGCTTGCTGGTTGTTTCTTTTACATACAAAATCACTTTAGAATCATAAGAATCATTTCAGCTAAACAAAAAACAATCATTGTTGAGGCAGTTGAAAACAACACTCTAACGATGGAGTTTGTATATACTTGTGTGAGTCAATCGGAATTTAAAAAATCTTTTAATTTTAAATTAATTAAATAAAAATTTTTAAAAAATCCTGACTTTTGTGCGCTTCACTTTTGGAGACAACAATCGCCTATTCCAAAATAGTCGGTCGTTGCCCTCAAAAAAGCCCTAAATAAGTGCCGAATACCACTCTCTAACACTAATACTGTATGACCATTCTCGTTATTAAATCAAAATTTCAGAGCGATTTGTGCAATTTTACTAGACCCCCCTTTTTTGTCAATCAAGCTAACAACTTCGTTGAGTGCGGTGAAAGGTGCATGTCGATTCGATAGCCATTTACAACGTTGTACTTGTAGCTTTATCGCCACTAGTTCTCGCATTATCAGTTGTAAAATGGCAACCACTGATTCAAACCTTGAACTTTTTTGGGACATTGATGCTCCACAAAATCTATCCTTGACACAAAACGGAGGTTTCCTCGTTTCAGTCCCTCTTCAAATGACAGGTAACTTTTCTTGTCTCTGTCATCGCTGCAAACTCTCAAATTTGGAGAATTTTAGCCAATCAACAGCTAAAAGCTCTTCCGAACGGATTCCAGGGGATTCAGTTTGAAAAGTCGGCTAATCCGCTTTGGATTACGCTGATTCTTGGAGAAAATCCACAACACCTAAGTGCACTCTATTCAGTTAATTTTCTCGAAGTTCTGAATTGTCTGAGTTCTATAGAGACCGAGCAATCCGAAATGCAAATATTCTCTCGAAGTTCAATCATTTCGCCCAGAATCCACTGATATCGATTATCATCTGATGACATTCGAGTTCGTCCATATAAGAATCATTCTTTAGTTGATTCCAGTGTAGACATGTCAAACCAATTCCAATCCAATCCAACATTACCATCCAAAAGGCTAAATTACCATCTGAGATTCTAAATTAGCGTTGGAGGATTAGATTGGGATTGGTTTGACATGTCTATTCCAGTGAGTCGGAGCCATTTTACGAGCAGTACCTCCTCAACAGTGTCTACACTTTGGAGATTCCAGCCGGATGCTCGCCAAAATTGGCCCTTGAGCCGATCGAACCAAATGGTAATAAAGAACATTCTTCTAAATTTCCTCTAAGTGGTACTACCATGTGAGGTTTCTGACAAAATATTTTTCTCATATTTTTGGCTGATTTTTTGAATATTTAATAGAAAAGATGATTCTTAAGATTTCATCTTTTTTTCAAAATCCTTGAAAATCTCAAAATCGAATATCTTTTTTCAATAGTATCTGATATAATATTCCACAATAAGTAACAAGAGCTGTTTTTACACTTCAACATCAACGACGAGGTGTGTAACGGAGCCTTTGGTGAGAAGATGATTGCGACGCCAGGGTATCAAGGTTTACCAGACGATCTGCTCACCAAGGACCATCCGCTCACATATCGCATATTCTGTGGTAGGAATTTGTAGTGTTAAAAGCAGAGTAAACGCTTCATCACACCATATTTTCTCTATTAACGGATCAACGCTAATAATATAGTAGTTAAATTGACATTTATAGTTCTAAAGTTTTTTCCGCTATTCATAAGAGCCTCGTAGGCTTATTAAGCCTTGCTGGCTAGTTATTTTTATGTTTGCGTAATTGGAATTTGAAGGATCAAAGTGGTTCAAAACATGTAGAAAGAAATTATTGGATTTATTATTGTTTTGATGAATTTGAGTAGTTGAAGGGGATTGCGTCACTTCGATCGTCATTATCGATTATTAATATTGAACGTCAGTATTCATATATTGTCTCTAATAGTCAAGTGGTCCAGGGGGTCACGGAAAAATAGTAGATCAATCTATTATTAGCGAGAATACGGTATTTTCGGTACTTTACTGTTGAACTTGGAAGTGGAAGTGAAGAATTTCTATGATGGAGAACTCTCCTATGAATGGACAAAAGATGGGCAGAATCAGACGATGGCTAATGAGAGGTAAGACTCTTTTTACATTCACGAAAGCGGGCACTGGGCCACGTTTTAGCATTGGTTTAATGACTAACTTTACACTGAACGGGATCAGCAATTTTATTGTAAGTGAATTTAATTTGCTTTTCAAATAGATGATTACAGTTGAACTGGGCTCCCAACGAGTCCACTCAGCGGCAGGGTGCCCTCGCGATGGTTCGAATTGAGGAAAACGGTTGGTTCAGCATACAGTCGAACCCCAATATATAGCAATTCGCTAAGCATAAACCTCGATGTAACGTAATAAAGATGCCTAAAACTAGTTACCGTAAATATGTACTGTAGTAGAACGCCCCTCCCCACTCCCTACAGAAAAAAACCCGGGCGTTCTATTATGGTATTTTCGGTATTTATTAGGAATATTATAGTTATATAGACATATGTTGAGTGAGTGTAAATGAATGATTTCAAATAATGTAAGGCGAGCTATCGCAGGAAACCACTTTACTTTTGAAATTACTTTGATACAAATTATGGCTGACCTCTTGTGTTATAAAACATATTTTAGTGCCTACTAAAGATACTGATGGGCCTAAAAGTTCTGCACATTACTCCATATGGATTTGGTTGGGTGTTGGAATATTTGGAGTTCTGGCGATTTCGATTGCAACCGGATGCGTTGTCTGGATAAAAAAACGGTGTAATTTGTATTTTTTTGCACTTATAATGGAAATTTCAGTTATTCTGACAAACTCATGAGGAGCTTCAGACGTTTCCGTGCGACCTCGGGCAGGGTAATAATGGCAGAACAAGCTTTCACTTTCGAGAGACTTGAGCTGTCGAGCCGTTATCGATCCCGAGCCCTTATTGAGCCCGTTCTCAACCCGTTTCTGTTTTCAATTGCTACTTTTTCGTTTCGTTTCTGTTTTCTTATATACAATCAAAATCGGTTTTTATTTAACAAAATCAGTTTTATGTTTCAAAAACAAGTGTTCGGGCTCTATAAGGGCTCAACAGCTCAAGTCTACTTTCGAATTTACGCGTTTAGGGGGTAATAGAGCACATACTCGCTCTTCCGTTTTTCCCACAGCAAAGCGGCGACGTGTGGGAGGTGTCGGCGCGAGAATTGCGGATATTCGAGGAAAGACTCGGAGCTGGAGCTTCAGCGATCGTGCGCCGGGGATACCTTGAAGGGATACCCCCAGTCGCCAGGATTTATCCATCACTACAGGCGAGGCACCGTAGCTATATACATGGTGTCCCAAAATTACCCGGAACGATAAAAGAGCCGGGTTTTAAACAAATTCTTCTTTAAATCAAGAATTGCAGCTTGATTATTTACTCTATGAGAATTAGATACTTTTCTGCTAAGCCGCTCGTTGACTCATTTGCATACAACAGACATCTGGTTTTAGTTTAATTCCATTTTATTTCGCCATTTTGCATTTCCCACATTTGCTCCATGCAGGCGACTAATCATTTAGCTAACGATTTATTGTATTTAAATCCACTCTTATCTAGTAAAGGAAAAGCAAAGGAAAAGCAGCTTCTTTTTGAAAATTTTAAACGACACAACAGGCCTGGGTGCAGAGATGTTTCGCAACTGCAAAGGCGCTGGCAAAAATGTGACCTTTTGGACGTCAAACGGCCGTTCAGATTTCGTTTCTTAATCGTCTGTTTTTTTGCGCTTCTTTTTGTTTGATAGGAGATTAGCAGTATAAGAAATGTACGAGTGTTTCCAAGAACGGCTTTACCGCTGTAATATGGCACTGTTCCGAATAATTCTGAGACACCCAGTAGAAAAGCTCTCCAATGAACATTGGTTCGCACTTTACAGCTTTCCTATTTTCTGGGAAACGATGGTAACGATGTGGCGGTGAAATCTCCGCATGAACAAGCGACACACGCAAACAGGTTTTTTAAAAATGTGTTGTTTATTTTTATTGTGTAAATTTAGAGAAGAGTTCTTGGCGGAGATCGAATTTATGAAACAGTTGCCCTTCCATCCGCATATTCTCTCGCTTGTCGGCTGCTCGACGAATCCCGAATATCCGTTGATTGTGACGGGCATTTGTGAACTCGGCGCTTTACTCTCACTCCTCCGACAAATGGACCCGGAACACCTGAACTATGAAGTGAGGAGCGGGGAGTTTGTTGAACCAAGAATTGGGTACCTTATTAACACGGCATCCATTAGACATGGGATCCGGATCGGATTTCGATCGGCTAACTATCTGATCCAATCTACCACAGACCCGCCAATGGGATCGATCGATCCAATGAAAAATCAGTCCATGCACATATTCATTCCTGGGACTATTTCCTAAACTTTGGGTAGTAATCTGAATAATTTTGTATTTGGTTTTAGTGTGAACATTGATTTTTTGCTATCTTTTCATTGTAAAACTATTTTCTTTCCCAGTAGACATGGGATCCAGATCAGATTCCGATCGGATAACTACCCGATCCGATCCGGCAGATCCGCTAATCGGACAAAGCTGATAGTCGTTTAAATGGAATTATCCCATGTCTAGCACCCATTATATCAAGATCTTGAATCAGTTGTAAGCTTTAGGAAACAGTCTTGAATTTGTAAAAATAATAAAAAGAATCCAAATTTGTGTTGATTGAAAATATTTATCGAAAAAACTCACTTCAATCCTCTTTCCAGGAATCACCACTCGAGTTCGACGATCTTGTCCCGATCGGTTGGCAAATAAGTGACGCGCTGGTTGAATTTTCTTGGAGTTCTCTTTGAATCAGCAAATATTAAGGTTTTCCTTTCTGCAAAAGAAATCGTTCATCGAGATGTGGCTGCCAGGAATGTGCTTGTCACAAAAGACAAAACAGCTAAGGTTTTATTTGAAAGGGGCAAAACCATTGTTGCTCTGAAATCCATTTTCAGCTTTCCGATTTTGGTCTTTGCCGCTTCCAAAAAGATATGGTGGCAGGTGTACGTGACGGGAAATTCCCAATCAAATGGATGGCGCCCGAAGCAATCGAATTCGCGGATTTCTCGCCGGAGTGCGATGTGTAAGTGTGTGAAAGGACACAAAAAATATTGTAACTCGTTATTGTTTTCATGCGAGTGGAAGCTAGACTTTGTTGGAGTGTTTTAAGACTTTACGAATAACCAAATTTTGGGCTATTTTTCACTGAATGTTGGAAATAAAAGGGGCAAAATTCTAAAAGCGGCAACTATAGGAAAGCCCCAGAAGCTCGGTTTCAAAAATTTAAATATTATGCTCTGCTATGAGTCATCGTGTTTCCCCACTCTCATAATAACAACTTGAAAACACAATTGTAAGTTCTCGAAAAGCATCCATCTATAAAAAAGCTCGATATCGAGCCACGAATCTTGTCATCTAGGATTAACCAACATTTGGCTTGAAAAAAAACCCTAGAAGTTACTATGAGGTTTGTTTACTAAAGAGGTTTGACTGGATAGTTAAAATATCGAGATGTTGTATCCAAAGCCATTTAAAGCATACCAATATGTAGATGAAATGCATTATCAGAAGGAAAAACAATCCATAAACTATCAACCGTTTTGCAGTATGCTAGAGGTTGATACTAATTTTTCGCTTTCAGTTGGTCATTTGGGGTGTTACTCTACGAGATGTACAACTACGGGAAATCTCCGTGGTCTGACGTTGAACCCGCCGAATTGTTGCCGCTTTTGAAGGAGGGAAAACGGCTGAAAATCCCATTCACAGCACCCGAATTCATGTTTGTGCTTTTTTTGGATTACCCATTGTTCAGTAGCAAAAGATGATTTCCGATTGTTCTTTTTTTCCATGATTTCATCCATTTTCTTTTGTTTCTGTTCAAGCTAAAGAAAAAACCCCTGGTTTGGTAATTCTACTAAAAAGGGAGTTTGGCTTTAGTCTAAGATGCTTGAAGAGTTTATCCAAGAAATTTTAGCCTTAAAACGTCAGCGACTTGCTGGGAGGAAAACCCCGAAGATCGACCTCGATTCGAAGATATTCGAGAGCGTTTTTATAAAGAAATGGAGGACCACGCAAAGTTGTACGGCTACTTGGATGTCTGGTTGGCTGGCTGGCATCAGGAAGATGTTAAAATGTAAACACTAGAATTTCAGCAAGCGGTACTATACACTTCTGGAGCCGACTTCCGAGGCCACTGAGGATTTCTGGGAGCATGTGGAAGATGAGAAGTTCTAGGTTAATAAAGCTTTTACTGCTTGCTTTTGTTGTTTATCCAAAGTTGTTATTTTATTTCCAACATTCCGTGTTTTCCCACATCACATTTACATAAACTTACTTAATTTAGTAATCGTAAATATCTTAAAAAGATTACCAACTGAACTTAGGCAAATAACAACTTGAAGGGCGTGCATTCTCGATGGAGATTGTTATTGTTAAAAAGTGTTGAGCCCCCAGAATTATCAGAATTGAACAGGGAAACATTCTTGCTTTATAACCATTGAATTTCTATTGAAACTATCAAAGAAATTTCTAAATTTGCCTTCCTTCTAAAGGCAAGCCGAAATTACAATAAAGAAACAAGTTTCTATAGAAGAAACGGAAAGTCGAAAGTGAAGAAAACAAGGATTAGCTCCAGATTCAATGCAGAATACACAAGCTAAAAATCATCTGAAAAGATCATCTAAGAAGAAGTTATTTACTTTAATTAACAATTGATATCATGGCAACCTCGAAACCCTAATCACGTCCAGCATATAGCCTTCGGCGAAGTCGCCCCTGTGCTTTATGTCATTCAATCCCAGACATTCAAATGATCAGAGACCTGAACTGAATCGAGGCTATTCTCGGATATCTCTTCACCATTCAACTCGTTTGCTGAATAGATCAAAAAAGTAATCAAGAGATCGGGATGCATTCGCACGATTTTCGATCGAAAGGTGATCAAAAATTGTGGAAAGCATGGAATTACATTTGAGTACAATTTTTAATTTCTAAGTTCACGGAATGAATCCCTATTTTCAGTTCGTATTCAAGAGATCAAAAAGGTGATCAAAAGGTTGAACAGAAAGGCAGGAGCCACGTTTTGGTTGAAATGTAATCGAAAAATCACAAAATACTGAAACCTTTCACGTTCGGGGTCTTTGGGCTTGAAATCGAGTATAAAAGGGAGGGGAGGTGATGTGGAAAGATATCCCGAAGTCGAGCGCCACAAAGATGTCGATCACACTTCTCTTCCTTACGAGCTCCATCGTCCATCAGGTTTCTTTACATTTTGAATCCAGATTACTCCCCAATTGACCTTTTCTAAGGATCTCTAGAATTTAAAGGAGCGTATGTCAATTGATTGGCCGAGAGGAATGGTAAAGCAAAAACCGTTGAAAGTAGTTAAAACTGTTTCATAAAATCTTTTCAGGCATTGGCGGGGAACTGCCAGGCCGTGCCAGCCAATGTCACCTGGCCGCCAGTCCAAGGTTCGACTTCTTTTACTCACTTGGACTATTTCCTTTTTTTCTGCTAGAATATAGAATATAGCTTATCGAATCCCAACAGAATTTAAAGAACAAATTTGTTCATCGTCCATGGTTTTCACAAAAAACTTTGCAGAAGCGATGGAAAATGACTATGGCGGCTATCGATGTCCCTGCTGTATGCTGAATTGCTACTTTGACGGCACGAAGAATCAATGCTATCCGACCAAGGTTAACTCCACGATATCACCAATTTGTTGTTGAATAGCATAAAATTCTCAGGACTACGAGCCGTTTTGCCCTGATTTACCCGCCACCATCACCTGGGCTCCGGAAGGGCGTTAGTGATTTTTAAGCAAAAAAAAGGCCGATCCCTTTCAGCTGCCTATTACGATGCGTATGGCAGTGTAGCGGGAATCAAGTGTGACACAGGACTCCATTGCTATTATGATGGATCGATGAATCAGTGCTACATGTCGGAGGTTGGATATTCGAATCCGTATACAAAACCTAACAAGAACTAAAAAGCCAAGCAACACTCCTTTCTTTCTTGAATTTGGCTTTGGCGTGACCCAATGTTTGGAAAGGTTTCTGAAGAGTTTTGGATAAAGTTTCGTTGGGTCAGTCTAAGAATAAGTTTAAAAGAGTAAAAAGCAGCTAAATCCACGTTTTATTTCTTAAGGAAGCAATGGCCGATTGTCCCCCGTTGCCGGCGAGTGTCACCTGGCCGCCAAACGGCGGTTAGTTTTACTCTTATATATTTAATTGCGATACCTCTTTTTCATTTATTATCTTTTTACATGTTTGCCAGAATCCGACCTAAACTTACCTATGCCTACTTTGAATGGCTGGTAGGATCTAGTAGATCTCGGCGAGTAGTTTCTTAAAGTGAAACTACATTTGAAAAAACTTGCAGGACGAAGAATTAGGTCGGATTCGGACATATATATGTATAAACTCGTTTCCACTTTTGAATTGCAAAAACTCTCCGCCTTTTTTCTAAATTTTAGTAGTGAACCAAGAAAGCCCCGTTCCTGCACTTAAGCCTCAAAATTTTTTGCAGAGCCTCGCCACGAGCAGTACCACGACAACAAGTTAATGTGCAGCGGGGGCGGCAGCTGCTATTTTGATGGAACGCTCAACAATTGCTATTACACGGAGGGTGAATGTGCACCAAAGCCGGACTATGTCACCGTGTCGCCAACCAGTCGTACGTTTCATTATACGAGTAGGGAGAAAACCTCTGTGAAGTATTGTACTTGATTGAGGATTCTAATTCGAGACTCATGATCTTGTTTCATCGTTTTTCAAAGTTCTTGAATAGCAATTTCTTGGATAGAGATTGCATGATTCTAGAGGGGAAAGCATTTGGGGGCTAGGCGCAGTTCTAGTTCATTTAAAAATACATGGCTTTAGAAAATGAACCACATACAGTGCCTGTATTCTTCTAGTGTATGAATTTTCTAACGGATGCCTCTAAAACCCAAGTATTCTAGATAGAAGTTTCGACCCTTAAAAAGACTAGAACCGTAAACTGTGCCCAGTGCCGGCCTAGAACCTAGAATCCCAGAATCACAAGTATTTTACAGGGTTGCCGATTAGTACTTTGTGAAATCGGTCTATTTAGGTGCAACGGTGGGGCGTTGTCCGGAAGACTATGCTTGCTACCGCGTCGGTGGAGTCAACGAGTGTTATTGCCATGACACCACCAACAAGACCGAGTGAGTGATGGCCACGAAATGGTTCTGATATTTCTTATGACACTCTTCTAGTAGAGTCTCTAAGTAAACAAACCTTGTTACGAGCCGCATATATAAAATTTTTATTTAGTTGCTATCAACACTCTTTGGGTGCCGATACGCCGATCACGTGCTATCATAAGCGCAACCAATGTGCCCGCACCTGTGGCTGGTGCATTTGAGGAAACCAAGAAAATGCGACAAATTAGTCATCAATTAGATACCAACTTCTTTTTTAATAAATCTGTTTGCAAATGCAGGAGTCTTTTACAAGTAAAAGATTGGGCTGTCTCAGTCAAAAGCTCGAAACAAACAAGCAATTGACTAAAGGTCGACAGCAACATGCGACAAGATCTACATGTAACAACAAAAGAAATTGCTATTCAAGAACTTTGAAAAACGATGAAACAAGATCATGAGTCTCGAATTAGAATCCTCAATCAAGTACAATACTTCACAGAGGTTTTCTCCCTACTCGTATAATGAAACGTACGACTGGTTGGCGACACGGTGACATAGTCCGGCTTTGGTGCACATTCACCCTCCGTGTAATAGCAATTGTTGAGCGTTCCATCAAAATAGCAGCTGCCGCCCCCGCTGCACATTAACTTGTTGTCGTGGTACTGCTCGTGGCGAGGCTCTGCAAAAAATTTTGAGGCTTAAGTGCAGGAACGGGGCTTTCTTGGTTCACTACTAAAATTTAGAAAAAAGGCGGAGAGTTTTTGCAATTCAAAAGTGGAAACGAGTTTATACATATATATGTCCGAATCCGACCTAATTCTTCGTCCTGCAAGTTTTTTCAAATGTAGTTTCACTTTAAGAAACTACTCGCCGAGATCTACTAGATCCTACCAGCCATTCAAAGTAGGCATAGGTAAGTTTAGGTCGGATTCTGGCAAACATGTAAAAAGATAATAAATGAAAAAGAGGTATCGCAATTAAATATATAAGAGTAAAACTAACCGCCGTTTGGCGGCCAGGTGACACTCGCCGGCAACGGGGGACAATCGGCCATTGCTTCCTTAAGAAATAAAACGTGGATTTAGCTGCTTTTTACTCTTTTAAACTTATTCTTAGACTGACCCAACGAAACTTTATCCAAAACTCTTCAGAAACCTTTCCAAACATTGGGTCACGCCAAAGCCAAATTCAAGAAAGAAAGGAGTGTTGCTTGGCTTTTTAGTTCTTGTTAGGTTTTGTATACGGATTCGAATATCCAACCTCCGACATGTAGCACTGATTCATCGATCCATCATAATAGCAATGGAGTCCTGTGTCACACTTGATTCCCGCTACACTGCCATACGCATCGTAATAGGCAGCTGAAAGGGATCGGCCTTTTTTTTGCTTAAAAATCACTAACGCCCTTCCGGAGCCCAGGTGATGGTGGCGGGTAAATCAGGGCAAAACGGCTCGTAGTCCTGAGAATTTTATGCTATTCAACAACAAATTGGTGATATCGTGGAGTTAACCTTGGTCGGATAGCATTGATTCTTCGTGCCGTCAAAGTAGCAATTCAGCATACAGCAGGGACATCGATAGCCGCCATAGTCATTTTCCATCGCTTCTGCAAAGTTTTTTGTGAAAACCATGGACGATGAACAAATTTGTTCTTTAAATTCTGTTGGGATTCGATAAGCTATATTCTATATTCTAGCAGAAAAAAAGGAAATAGTCCAAGTGAGTAAAAGAAGTCGAACCTTGGACTGGCGGCCAGGTGACATTGGCTGGCACGGCCTGGCAGTTCCCCGCCAATGCCTGAAAAGATTTTATGAAACAGTTTTAACTACTTTCAACGGTTTTTGCTTTACCATTCCTCTCGGCCAATCAATTGACATACGCTCCTTTAAATTCTAGAGATCCTTAGAAAAGGTCAATTGGGGAGTAATCTGGATTCAAAATGTAAAGAAACCTGATGGACGATGGAGCTCGTAAGGAAGAGAAGTGTGATCGACATCTTTGTGGCGCTCGACTTCGGGATATCTTTCCACATCACCTCCCCTCCCTTTTATACTCGATTTCAAGCCCAAAGACCCCGAACGTGAAAGGTTTCAGTATTTTGTGATTTTTCGATTACATTTCAACCAAAACGTGGCTCCTGCCTTTCTGTTCAACCTTTTGATCACCTTTTTGATCTCTTGAATACGAACTGAAAATAGGGATTCATTCCGTGAACTTAGAAATTAAAAATTGTACTCAAATGTAATTCCATGCTTTCCACAATTTTTGATCACCTTTCGATCGAAAATCGTGCGAATGCATCCCGATCTCTTGATTACTTTTTTTGATCTATTCAGCAAACGAGTTGAATGGTGAAGAGATATCCGAGAATAGCCTCGATTCAGTTCAGGTCTCTGATCATTTGAATGTCTGGGATTGAATGACATAAAGCACAGGGGCGACTTCGCCGAAGGCTATATGCTGGACGTGATTAGGGTTTCGAGGTTGCCATGATATCAATTGTTAATTAAAGTAAATAACTTCTTCTTAGATGATCTTTTCAGATGATTTTTAGCTTGTGTATTCTGCATTGAATCTGGAGCTAATCCTTGTTTTCTTCACTTTCGACTTTCCGTTTCTTCTATAGAAACTTGTTTCTTTATTGTAATTTCGGCTTGCCTTTAGAAGGAAGGCAAATTTAGAAATTTCTTTGATAGTTTCAATAGAAATTCAATGGTTATAAAGCAAGAATGTTTCCCTGTTCAATTCTGATAATTCTGGGGGCTCAACACTTTTTAACAATAACAATCTCCATCGAGAATGCACGCCCTTCAAGTTGTTATTTGCCTAAGTTCAGTTGGTAATCTTTTTAAGATATTTACGATTACTAAATTAAGTAAGTTTATGTAAATGTGATGTGGGAAAACACGGAATGTTGGAAATAAAATAACAACTTTGGATAAACAACAAAAGCAAGCAGTAAAAGCTTTATTAACCTAGAACTTCTCATCTTCCACATGCTCCCAGAAATCCTCAGTGGCCTCGGAAGTCGGCTCCAGAAGTGTATAGTACCGCTTGCTGAAATTCTAGTGTTTACATTTTAACATCTTCCTGATGCCAGCCAGCCAACCAGACATCCAAGTAGCCGTACAACTTTGCGTGGTCCTCCATTTCTTTATAAAAACGCTCTCGAATATCTTCGAATCGAGGTCGATCTTCGGGGTTTTCCTCCCAGCAAGTCGCTGACGTTTTAAGGCTAAAATTTCTTGGATAAACTCTTCAAGCATCTTAGACTAAAGCCAAACTCCCTTTTTAGTAGAATTACCAAACCAGGGGTTTTTTCTTTAGCTTGAACAGAAACAAAAGAAAATGGATGAAATCATGGAAAAAAAGAACAATCGGAAATCATCTTTTGCTACTGAACAATGGGTAATCCAAAAAAAGCACAAACATGAATTCGGGTGCTGTGAATGGGATTTTCAGCCGTTTTCCCTCCTTCAAAAGCGGCAACAATTCGGCGGGTTCAACGTCAGACCACGGAGATTTCCCGTAGTTGTACATCTCGTAGAGTAACACCCCAAATGACCAACTGAAAGCGAAAAATTAGTATCAACCTCTAGCATACTGCAAAACGGTTGATAGTTTATGGATTGTTTTTCCTTCTGATAATGCATTTCATCTACATATTGGTATGCTTTAAATGGCTTTGGATACAACATCTCGATATTTTAACTATCCAGTCAAACCTCTTTAGTAAACAAACCTCATAGTAACTTCTAGGGTTTTTTTTTCAAGCCAAATGTTGGTTAATCCTAGATGACAAGATTCGTGGCTCGATATCGAGCTTTTTTATAGATGGATGCTTTTCGAGAACTTACAATTGTGTTTTCAAGTTGTTATTATGAGAGTGGGGAAACACGATGACTCATAGCAGAGCATAATATTTAAATTTTTTGAAACCGAGCTTCTGGGGCTTTCCTATAGTTGCCGCTTTTAGAATTTTGCCCCTTTTATTTCCAACATTCAGTGAAAAATAGCCCAAAATTTGGTTATTCGTAAAGTCTTAAAACACTCCAACAAAGTCTAGCTTCCACTCGCATGAAAACAATAACGAGTTACAATATTTTTTGTGTCCTTTCACACACTTACACATCGCACTCCGGCGAGAAATCCGCGAATTCGATTGCTTCGGGCGCCATCCATTTGATTGGGAATTTCCCGTCACGTACACCTGCCACCATATCTTTTTGGAAGCGGCAAAGACCAAAATCGGAAAGCTGAAAATGGATTTCAGAGCAACAATGGTTTTGCCCCTTTCAAATAAAACCTTAGCTGTTTTGTCTTTTGTGACAAGCACATTCCTGGCAGCCACATCTCGATGAACGATTTCTTTTGCAGAAAGGAAAACCTTAATATTTGCTGATTCAAAGAGAACTCCAAGAAAATTCAACCAGCGCGTCACTTATTTGCCAACCGATCGGGACAAGATCGTCGAACTCGAGTGGTGATTCCTGGAAAGAGGATTGAAGTGAGTTTTTTCGATAAATATTTTCAATCAACACAAATTTGGATTCTTTTTATTATTTTTACAAATTCAAGACTGTTTCCTAAAGCTTACAACTGATTCAAGATCTTGATATAATGGGTGCTAGACATGGGATAATTCCATTTAAACGACTATCAGCTTTGTCCGATTAGCGGATCTGCCGGATCGGATCGGGTAGTTATCCGATCGGAATCTGATCTGGATCCCATGTCTACTGGGAAAGAAAATAGTTTTACAATGAAAAGATAGCAAAAAATCAATGTTCACACTAAAACCAAATACAAAATTATTCAGATTACTACCCAAAGTTTAGGAAATAGTCCCAGGAATGAATATGTGCATGGACTGATTTTTCATTGGATCGATCGATCCCATTGGCGGGTCTGTGGTAGATTGGATCAGATAGTTAGCCGATCGAAATCCGATCCGGATCCCATGTCTAATGGATGCCGTGTTAATAAGGTACCCAATTCTTGGTTCAACAAACTCCCCGCTCCTCACTTCATAGTTCAGGTGTTCCGGGTCCATTTGTCGGAGGAGTGAGAGTAAAGCGCCGAGTTCACAAATGCCCGTCACAATCAACGGATATTCGGGATTCGTCGAGCAGCCGACAAGCGAGAGAATATGCGGATGGAAGGGCAACTGTTTCATAAATTCGATCTCCGCCAAGAACTCTTCTCTAAATTTACACAATAAAAATAAACAACACATTTTTAAAAAACCTGTTTGCGTGTGTCGCTTGTTCATGCGGAGATTTCACCGCCACATCGTTACCATCGTTTCCCAGAAAATAGGAAAGCTGTAAAGTGCGAACCAATGTTCATTGGAGAGCTTTTCTACTGGGTGTCTCAGAATTATTCGGAACAGTGCCATATTACAGCGGTAAAGCCGTTCTTGGAAACACATCGCACTCCGGCGAGAAATCCGCGAATTCGATTGCTTCGGGCGCCATCCATTTGATTGGGAATTTCCCGTCACGTACACCTGCCACCATATCTTTTTGGAAGCGGCAAAGACCAAAATCGGAAAGGAAATCGGTAATGTAATTGTATATTTCTATTGACTTTAGCTATTGACACCACTTGATTTAATATTATAATAAATCATTCAAAATATTTTCTTTAACTGTAATTATCTTTTAGTGATGTTTTCCTCCTACTCTGACATCACCTCCCCACCGTGATTTTATTGTTACCAAATAGTTGGTGTTAGTATTTGCGAACAAAATCCATAGCAAAGTGATAAATTCTTTTGATAAGATAGCGAAAGCAAACAAAGTTTTAAAAATGTAAGAAAACAACCATTACACAAACAATGAAAACAAACAAAAAGTTTCAATGCCCCTAAAATGTCGCATCATCCGGGCAGGGATCCGACAAATTCTCAATCGGCTCAAAAGTAGTCGTCGGAAGAGGATAGTACCGCTTGCTGTACACGAGTTTTGTTTGAAAAGCTTTTCGAAAACAATCGATCCAAACCTGACATCCAAATAGCCGTACAATTCCGAGTGGCTCTCCATCTCCTTATAAAATTGCCCTCGAATATCTTCGAATTGAGGCCGATCGCTGGTGGACTTCTCCCAACAAGACGCGGACACTTTCTGACTGAAAATTGGGTCAAATTTGGCAGTGTACAGTGTAACGAAGCGTCGTAGTGGAGCACTAATCATATTTATGATCCCATTGCAAAGTAGCGTACTGTCATCTATCACTAAAAGTTTTGACAGTTTGGATTTAAGGTTTGTTTTGTTTCTCTTTCATTTCCTCAAAAAGGAACGACACTTCTTTGTCTTGTATTGTAGAAATAGCAAGAAGTTTGCAGCACAAACATCAAAGCGGGAGCTGTTGATGAAATCGCTAGTCGCTGGCCTCTTTTGAATGCAGGTAATAAGTCTTCTGGTTCCACGTCAGACCACGGCGATTCCCCAAAACTGTACATCTCGTAGAGGAGAACACCAAATGACCAACTGAAAATTCTTCATTTTCAATGGACTTTTTATGTTCTGGCTCTAGGACACTCACACATCGCTCTCCGTCGAGAAATCGGCAGACTCGATTGCTTCGGGCGCCATCCATTTGAGCGGAAACTTTCCATCACGCATTCCTGGTACCAGGTCTTTTTGGAAGCGACAAAGTCCGAAATCGGAGAGCTGAAAGGAATTTGGGAGAGTTTTTTTTGCACTGAAACCTTAGCCGTTTTTGTTTTTGTGACGAGCACATTTCTGGCGGCCACATCTCGATGAACAATCTCTTTGGCTGAGAGGAAGACCTCAAAACATTTTTGGTTTAGAGGAAAAATTCAAGGCATTCACAAACCAGCGCGTCACTGATTTGCCAACCAATTGGGACTAGATCGTCGAATTTGAGAGGCGACTCCTATAAAGCTTAAAGAGATTATTTACTAAACCGTGGGCACTGTATTTCTATTGTTTTCCATAATTAAATAGCTTTACTTGATGTTCCGAATGTTCCGGATCCATTTGTCGGAGGAGTGAGAGTAAAGCGCCGAGTTCACAGATGCCCGTCACAATCAACGGATATTCGGGATTGGTCGAGCAGCCGACAAGCGAGAGAAGATGCGGATGGAAGGGCAACTGTTTCATAAATTCGATCTCCGCCAAGAACTCTTCTCTAAATTTACACAATAAAAATAAAAAACACATTTTTAAAAAACCTGTCTGCGCGTGTCGCTTGTTCATGCGGAGACTTCACCGCCACATCGTTTCCATCGTTTTTAAGGAAGAACGAGACCTCAAAACTTCAGTTTGCGGACGGAATATGCTTACTATTGGTTTACATTTTTATAATTTTTCCCCAGTCATAAGCTTCAAAATTAATTCAAGCTATTATGTGCCATAGTTATTATGTGTGAAAAATCGGGAGAATAAAAACTGCAAAGTCGGGTAAAGTCAAAAAACAAATGGTCAAAAGAATAAAAAAAACCATAAACAGGGTGATAATACCTGCAGTGATGGATAGATCTTGACGACTGGTGGCATCTCTTTGAGGTATCCTCGATAGACGACCGCGTACGCGCCGGTGCCCAGCTTCTCATCGAAAACGAGCAAACTCCTTGCCGATACCTCCCATATCTCGTCGACTTGTGAGGGAGTGTATTCTTGATTCTAAGCAAAAAAAGATTAAAGCTTCTCTGTGCTTCTGTCACTCCATCCATGTTGTCACGAAAGTGTCCAAGGAGCAAGCCATGGTTAAACATTTTACGAAACCTATAAACTTTCATTTTGCCGATAGCGAATACAGATTTCAGCGTGGTACAAATAGGATGACAAGAAATAACGCGGTCAAAATTGTTTTGAACAAGCGCTTAGCTACACAAAAATTTACCTAAAGTTGAAGTGTTATACATCATTTTGAAGCTAAGAATTCCCTCTTTCTAATGAGCCAAAGCATTTGTTTTGAATCCTTATATTCCTCAATTAACAATCATTTTTTGATGAGTCGGTCGACACACTTCAGTATTCAGCACAAATGCTTTGCCTCATTAGAAGGAGGGAATGTTTAGCTTCAAAATGATGTATAACACTTGAACCTTGGGGACTTTTTGTGCGAGGAAGAATCGAAAAAAGTTTGTTCATGTTATTTCTGGTCATCATCTACGTATAAGCACTGCCTATAGCTTCCAAAACTTTACGCTTTTCTTATTCTGATAAAACAACCAATTCCAGCTACGACTGCCAAGAGGACAAATACGCCAAAGCCCAACAAAATCCACTTGACGAATTGTTTAGAGCTTCCTCTTTCCACAACATTTCCATCGGACGCTAAATGTTGTTACAATTAGTAATATAAGCCTTAAGCAGCGCGCCTTTCTCAATTTGAATCATAACAAGAGCGCCTTGATGTTGAGTGACGTTGTACGGAGTCCAGCTCAGCTGAAACTATTTATTCGAAAGACAAACAAGCCTTGTACTGACGTTAAAATTAGTGATATTGGCCAGTGTCATGTTAGACGAGTTATCAATTCTAAAATAAGGTCTATTACGGAGCGGTATGAAGAATGATTCATACCTCTCATTGACTATTATTAGGTTTTGGTAATCCCTTGCTTCAATGGTAAGGTTTCCGTCGATAAAATTCATCACTTCGGCTTTCACATTCAACAAAGAACCATCCAAAATATTCCGAAAAGTTCTTTCTTTAAGCCTTCCAACTCTTACTGCATGATAGCCGATACGTGAGGGTGTGACCCTTCTCGAACGGATCACCAGAGACCATGTAGCCGGGCGTGGCAATTATTCTTTCCCCCTCACATTTATCTACCTCATCGTCAATGTTGAAATCTGTAAAAGAACTTTTGCTAGATTGTAGGGGATCCCCTTAGGGCGCCGAGATGAGACTCCAACACGTCCAGAGGAAAGGAGAGCCCTTTTGACTAGACCCTGCTTAGATCAGTCTGATGCTCCGTCACCCTTCGGGACGCTCGCTGAGTTATGTCTTCCCCCGACTCTTTCCTAATATTTTTTGGAGGTACTTTCATATCTCAATATAATAAAAGGTACTAAGCCGGCAACTTCTGAGTAATATGCAGATCTAAAGAAACAGTCTTCTCCATAATGTTTCAGATACTTTAGGTCTACTTATCCTAAACATCCAATCCGAGGATATCATAAGCGTTTATTCTGTTATTTAAATAAAGTTGTTTAGTGCTTGTCACTACACCAGGGGCTATGTTTATCACCTAGTAGTGAAACTCGGCACAACCTAAATAATAACAAGATGAAGACTAAAAAACAAAACAAATGCCTTTCTCAATCCTCTGCGCTACGGCTAATCTCGGTGAGCAGCCGACCGGGATTTTCACAGTGTAGACCCTGTTGAGGAGGTATTGTTCGTAAAATGGCACCGATTCACTGAATATGTGTCATAAGTTGTGCACACGCTCACACCCGACCTGAACGTCATCAGATGATAGGCGGGATCAGTGGGCTTCGGACGATATGATAGAAGCATAAGATCATATTGGCATGCAGTTTTGATCGGTTCCTGAATAAATGATCAATTTTGGTGCTCTTGCAAGCAAAACTACCGAGTAGAGTTTTGTCAAAATTTGTGGATTGCCATCAAAAATTAAAGTGATCCATATCGGAGTTTTGGTAGCATTTACGCGAATCTCTTCAAATCCACCCGGCAGAGTTATTATCTGTTGATCCGCTAAAAAACACGAAAGTTGACCTGGAGAATAAGGGAACAAGGAACTTTTGGAAACTCGCCTATATATTGAGTGATTGAGACGAGAAATGCTCCGCTAGTCCCAAAGAAAAGTGGTTGCTCTACTCCGATGTCCCAAAGGAGCTCCAAACTCGAACCAATAGTATCCGTTTTACAGCTCATGATGTGACCGGAAGTGATGGAAAAACTATAGGTGACAAGCGATTAGCTTGATTGTAACGGTTGGTCAACAACCTTTCGTTGCACACAATAACGGCGTTCTCCTGATTCAAATAAAAAGGCAGACTATGTATACACATTCCTGTCTGAACACTCCATATTTGATAGGGTATTGTTTTGGCATTTCTTAAGACCTCACCTCTTCTTTCATGCAGGCATACACAAACTCCAAACTCAGTGAAGAATTCTCCGCAGCCTCGACGTAAACTGACTTTGATTTTGCTAAAAGACAGCATGATCAGAGCTTTAAGTTGAGCTATCTACAAGTCTGATATGTTTTCTTTTCAAAATCGCCGAATATCAGGCTCCAAAGTATACCTAAGTTTTTACCCTCCCCTCAATTGCCACAAAAAAATAGAAAAAACCAGAAAGTTCATAAACGTCAGCGGCATGAAAAGCAACGGTCGGTTCCGAGATGCCGAGGTAATAGATGGCACCGGGAGTTTTTGAAGAATCTTCCTCGATAGTCAGCAAGAAACCGCTCTCATCCGTGTAGGACCCAATCGCATTCCACCACAACTAAAGTGCTGATGTATCCCTCGGCTTCTAGTTGTTTCAGAGGCAGTTTTTAGAGTGAAAAGTCTTTGTTGATTTCGAAAATACTTAAAAATTATAGATATAAACTTGTCCTCTGCACATGAATCTCGGCTGATGCTCACCCAAATACATTTGGCGCTGAAGCTCCAGGTTGTGCCAGTAGCATTAGTGCTGAAGAAATTGCATTAGGTTGGAAACTAGCTCGTGATGGTGTCTATTTTTGAGTATCTCTAGAAACTGATAAATTTTCATGGAAATGAGCACAACAGCATTTATGTACATCTATTGAAATTGGCACAAATGCTGAAGGCAGCTTTTTGATCCCTACATAACCCAAGCTTATTCCTCGGTTCGATTAAGACCACCGAAAAACGAGGATATGGCCATCAAACTTGGAACAGGCGAATCCCCGGCGAATTTTTGAAGATATTTTCTTTCTGGTCATTTTAAGACCAAAAACGTCAAAAACCATTGATTTTGAGGTCAGATAAATCGTTTTGAAAATCGCAATGGATAACCTACCGTAACCCGCGCGCAATAGCTTAAGGGTCGAATTCTAAAATGCAATCAATTCCAAATTTGCGTTTGAATTTTTTTTAAACTTTTGTATAGCTTTTTCAAGAGTTTTGTCCATTTTACTATTTTAGATTTATTCTTTTTCATATTTCCCTTTTTAAGTTTCCTGTATATTACTTATTCTACTCAAAACATAAATTTCAATTGACATTCTATGAACACATTCTACAACACCGACGCGTCGGTGTTGTAGAGTGTAAAACATGTGTTTTAATAGCTTGAAGGGGTTTCAGCAGGGTAAATGAGTAAAATACTCTACCCGTTTGGACTTTTCACACGAAATTTTTCAAGCGTTTCGTGTTCATTTTCATTTTTTTGTTTTCTCTTTTGTTTTATTTTTCTGCTGTCTGCAAAAATTTTGTCTGCAGGATGCAGGATGTCTGCAAGTTGCTGTCTGCTGTCTACAGAAAGGGTCTACAGACGTCTGCGTTCCAAGCTTGATGGCTATTACGTGGCAGCTCATTTTAAAAAGATCAAATTTCTTCGCAATTTGGTCGAATCCCTTACTTTAAACAGCCAATACACTCAAACCTCTTTAGTAAATTATCGAAGGGACCGACAAAAACCGGTATTTTCTTAGTTGGGAGCTTTTAAACACCGATCACCACAGAGGTTGGTTTATTAAAGAGACTATGCATGAGAGTGATTTTAAATGAAATTTCAGATTCTATTGGGCCGTTGATTATGCTTCATGAATTCTCACACGGCAAATTACTTTCTCGCTTCTATTATAAATGATGCGTGATTATTGGATTACATACATAAAGCGAGAGGAGACTTTTTTGTTATCTTAAATTTCGATTCAAACTGAGTGTTCAAACATTTAAAGTAAGAGACTCGACCCGTGAAGCACAGTCCATGAAAAGTTTCCGTTTCATGTTTTTTTAGTTTCATGGAATTACGGAAGTTTCGAATACTATCAAGAAGCGTAATGAGTTACCAATCCAACAAATCCAAAGTTTGGCATCAATTAATCTCTTTAGATTTGTTTTTTTTATTTAACTCACTCCTTTTGAAACGTTGCTTTCCCATTTCCGTCACAATTTTCCGAATCATAAGCGGTGATCTCCACTCGAACTCCAGCAATTCGTTGCATGCGCACCGTGAAGCCCACACTCCACGATTTGTTCTAAAAACGTTTGTTGTTTTATTTGCTTCTACCGCTCCCTTTCTGAACAAACTCTCATCGTTCTCATTTTTTTACTTACTCCTCTATAAATTTCTCCGGGTATCCCGGACATTTTCCCCTCATCAAAGCTCTCTTTTCTCTCGCTTGAGTCACGTATCCACGGATAGAAGGGATGCATCCAGATGGTGAAGCCTTCGAGGTCCAAAATGGAATCCGATGACCCTACATTTAAAAGTAAGCTGCTTTGAAGAAGTTGAGGTTCCGCGATAAAAAACACTTTTTGCTCCCTAACTTTTTATAGAGGCAATATTTTTGAAACCTGATTTCGATTTCAGCATTAAATTTTACATCTGGTTAAAAATTTTAAAGCTGAATGGATTATTTTATAAAAAGTTATAAAGCCATCAATAGAAATTCCCCATTTTTTTACTTTTTTAATGCCTAACCTTATGACCCTTCATAAATTGATCCATTCAGCTCCAAAAGTTCCTACCGGATGCAAAATCTAATCCTGAATCCAGCTTTTAAAAATATTGTTTCTATAAAGGGTTGTGAGCAGAAAATGAGATTTTGTTGAGTGACGCTGCTGAGTATTCTAAACAATGACAACCTGGACTTCTCATGTCGAATTGAAGGCAAAAGCTACATGCATTGTCTTTCGTGAAAAGCGTCGCCGCAGTCGAGGTCGAGTACACAGCAAGGCTCTGTGATCTGAAACATTTTATTTTCAATTATTCATTGAAGCATTTAACGTGTCGTTGATTAATTGATGAAAAGAATTCGTTTGGATCCCAGGATCGGCACCAGCAAAGTACGAGAAAACGGTATCATTTGTGCACGTGATGCTTTTCTGAATAGAAGCGTTGAAAAGTGTTTTTGAAGTGTATTCCTTGCGCGTCAAAAATTCGTCAGGACAATTCAAAAATTTTTTAGATATAGTCTCTTTGACCATATAAAACTATAATTTTGTACTTATTAGTAAACACCACATTTATATTTTTTAAAAAGAATACCTCTGCTTAAATTTCTTGAAATTTGTTTAATAGATTTTTGACGAGCAAGGGATACCATCAGAAATTTTAGCAAATCTCAAAAATTGTACTTTTAAACACGTGTAACCTTGGGGAAACAAGACTTCGAACCCTATCGACTGTTATAGGTCTTCTATGGAAATCCCACGGTCATCCAATGTTTTTTACTCGTTAGTTATTTCGGCAATCAAAAATAAAATACCTGAAAATGGGGGCACAGTTTCGAGGCTGGATCAACAACCTGCATTGTCATAAGTGGTCCATAGAATGTGTCGGTCCGTCTAGATTTATCAAGGGTTAGTGATTTATAGTGATTTATTCAGTGATTTATTAAGTTTAGCCGCAGTTTGAAGGTAAAAAAATTGCAGGATGCTTGCACTTTGCCCAAAAACCCACAGAATGCGGTTTCAAAAATAGTGCATTTTATAATTTTATAATGCACTATAAGCAGGACTGCCAGAAAAAGCCAAGAGTCAAGCCAAGGCCAAAGCCAAAAGCCTAAGTGCATTTTTATGCCTTTTTCTTTGTTTCTAAAATGTTTCCTTAAAAATAAAAATGGTTTTGGAGTGTAGAAAAACTATATAAATAGCTAGATTTTGAAAAAGATTCACGTTCAGAAATTTAGACTCTTTTTGCTTTTTTTTGCTGGCTTTGACTTCGCTTGGCCCGAAAATTTTCCAAAAACGACATCCCAATAAGTACCGTATCCTAATTTGGCCCCCTAAAGGAAGTCTTTTCAAGCAAAATCACTTCACTTTTTCACTTTTCAGTCATTTTTGCTTTCGTACTAGAGACCAAGTTAGAATCTGTGGCATTCTTAGCTAATTTGTTGGCCAAGGTTTTGACGTGTTTAGAGCAATTCACTGAAACCATTATTACTTGTAATTATCTGGATGAACGACGAGCGTCGCAATCAAACCCTCTTCCACCAACACATTGTACAAAGCATCTTGCTCTTTCATCCCCGGAATGACGAGGATCTTTTTTGTCGCTAAATGGAGGGAATACATTCTTGGCAAATTTGTCTCAAACGATCAGTCCATTGAGCGACTCTAATCGAAACCGCGTAATCGGTGGTATCCGCGTCGATGATATGAGAGATTCGGAGCTGCGTTATATTAGTGAAATTGAAGAGGGTCGTGTAGAAATAGCTCGACGGTCCGTCGTCATTAATCGGAGCAAATTCACTGAAGCAAATTCAAGGAAATTAATTTTTTTAATTCGATAAGAAATAATTAACAATACATTCTTCGACTATCCATAGCCATTAAATTCGTAGAATTTGAGTCCCCAGACAGCCAAAGATTGAATGGGAACGGATCGGAACAGACCTTTGACATCTAAAATTAATGGATAATAGATCTAACAAAGTTATTTATCCAAAAACCTCATCCAATTTGCAATTGATTTGTGTGAGATCGACAAGAAAATCGACATTCTCGGATGAGTCCACCAGAATGGCCTAAATACGACATTTTCCAACTAAAAAATGAAAAGAAACAGATTCAAAAGATTAGTCAACTCTCGATTTAACGATAGTTAATATTAACGTAAATGTATTCGATTTAACGATGGGTTTCCCCTGTCCTTTGAGCATCGTTAAATTGAGAGTCGATAGTACATCTAATCCTCGAAGTCGTGCTCCATGGATGGCGAATGATGGATTCGTCTCGTTCAATTCATAGCTGTTTAATTTCAGTTCCTTCACCACCATCATAAAGCCATAATCCTCTGCAAGCGGCTGATCGGGGGAAAAGTATAACTAAAATTTTGTTGCTTGTTAGTACCTTTAGTTATAAATTTATTTAAAAGATCTAATTGCAATGTTTTACTCTGATACACTGGAGCTCGACGCGTTCGAAGCTGCCAAGTTGAGTGAAATTCGTTTGAGTGACACTAAACGGAAAAGGATCGATCGCGAAAGAGAGAATCAAAATATGCATACTCGACTCTCGATCTAACGCTAACGATTAAACTTAAACGATTAAATCTATCTAAATGGAATTACCGTTAGACGAATGATGTTAATCGAGCGAAAAGACGAACTTTTTACAAACTTATCGTTAAATCGAGTTTTTATCGAAATAAGGCATTGTTTGCAGCTACTTCTTGATCACGAACCGCTTTTTATAAATTCCTTACCAAATAACAATAACAGATTTAACAATTAGCCTAGAAAATTAGCCTGAATTAACATAGAAACTTGAGATATTCAGCTAGAAATATTCGTTGAATAGTACATTTAAGGCGAAAATCGCTAAATCGAACACTAATTTTCCCAATTTATGCAAAAATTTCATCGTTAAATCAAATATACACTACTGGACAATGAAATATCATATTTGAAAAACGATCGTCACTTTCGCACGTCTGTAACTCCCTTGTCTTTACCGTATTTCTAAATATTAATATTACCATTGTGTAGCCCTTGAAGAGAGCTTTCAGAAAATGTATAACACTAATAGTTTAAACTCAAAGACAAGGGAGTTACAGACGCGCGAAAGTGACGATCGTTTTTCAAATATGATATTTCATTGTCCAGTACTGTATCACCAAAACAAAATCGTTGGATCGAATACCTTATGTATAGAAAACAATGGAGCTGTGGCCGGGATCAAATCATATTAAATCGAACGTCGTTAAATCGAGAGTCAACTGTAGTCTATTGTTAAAAGAACAAACTTCATAATCTGGATCGGTGGTTTTATTTCGTAATCCCGAAGCATACAATCTAGGGTCGGCTCAGATCTGAAGCCCATCACTTGGGCAACACCACCTTCGACTTGTTTGAATTGCAAGTCGAGCGATTTGGCTTTCTAAAGGGCACAAGCCACAGCTCAATATTTAATTTGGTATCACTTACATCACTGTTCAGAGAGTCATAAGATACTAATGGCAATGAGCTCAAAGCGATTCGTTCCGGTTTGTCGAAAATCCACGGGAAATAGGCCGATGTCCATAGGGACATCTCGTCTACAATATAATCTAAAGTCGCTTGGGCATTGCCCAGCTTTCTTAGTAGAATACTTAGTAGAGGGTTTTTCTGGAACTCGAGGCAAAACGCGCATTGTTGCTCGGTGAAAAGAGTGGTGGCGGTAGATGTGGAATCGATGAGAAGTGAAGGATATCTGTGCAAAGATAGGTGGTTGTTTGTTGTTTTAAGGTCATTGATAAGCATGGGATCCGGATCGTATTCACTGGATTCCAATCCCGCTTCATCTCATAGATCGGCCATCGGGAATCCGACCCGACCTAAGTGAATCCTATCCGATGGACTCCCCTATTGAATTAGGGTAAATATGTATTTAAATGTAATCTTAATTTACGTTTTTAAATAAAAAATTTTAATAAAAAAATTTGAACAAAAATTTCCTATTGTAATTCTATATTTAGACCTTTGAAGAATTAACATCCATTTATACCGGGTTATCCGGATCGGATCTGATCCAAGCCGATCCGACAAACCCTTCTGTCAGATCGGATTGGATGCATCCGATCCGGCCCGATGAAAAACCGATCGGATCCCATATCTAGTACCTGAGCACCAGGGCTGTGCTGAGACCGTGTTCACCGACCGAGTCACTGAGTCGGTTCAAGCTGAATATCTTTACTTCAAACTGCAAAGCCCATAATTAGACTCTTTTTTAGTTTGAATCAAAGATCTTCAGCTTGAGCCGAGCCAGTGACTCGGTTGATGAACTCGGCCTCTGAACACCATCTTCAGGACCATGTCAGGCAACATCTAAGCCAAAAAGCCAAACCACTAATTTTGGTCGTTTTCTAGGAGCATTTTCTTGACATGTACTGTCATCAGAAATCCGTCAAACATTAGGCCAAGCAAAAGAACCAGGCCTTTTTGCTGAGTACCCCTAAGCCTTAAAGGTCTCCCTTGAGAGTCTTTTTAAAAGGTTAATTGTAAGTTAGAAACCTTCCATCAATCAAATGATGTTTCTCGGCTGGATGAAGCCCCGGATCGGCCCCTGCATACGTTTTAAAGGTCGTTGTGCTGCCGAAGCAGTTCAGTTGTTTCTGAACGCCAAGATATTCCATGACTATGCTTATTAAAATCCCACCTGAAAAACTACGCAATCATCTGAATTAGAAACTCTGCCGATTGGTCGCATCGCTACCCGTGGAGTGTTCCAACTGAATAGTGGAGTTTCGCAATTCAGATTCAGCATCAAATTCGATTATAAAATCGAGCTTTTTTTTAAAATAGGGTGATGTTTGCAGCTACTTCTTGATCACCGCTTTTTATAAATTCCTTACCAAATAACAATAAAAGATTTAACAATTAGCCTAGAAAATTAGCCTGAATTAACATAGAAACTTGAGATATTCAGCTAGAAATATTCTTTAAATATTTAAGGCGTTAAGGCGTTTAAATATTCAGCTAGAAATATTTAAGTTATCGCATAACATTTGGCTGTTGAATGCTTCACAAATAACAAACAAATATTGCGTTGCAGGATCTGCCACAATCGTTGCGACAACATTCTCCTCCACGACGACAAGATAGCGTATTGCGCCTGATGGGGTGTCTATCTTTCTGTTGAAAATTAGAAGCACTTTTCTTGTTTCTAAAATGAAAAATTTTAAAAAAATGCAAAGAATCACTCGCCGTCCACCCAACTGGAGACTCGAAAAGAAACAGCATATTCAGCTTCTAAATCGACGGATCGAACGAACAGCTCATCCACGCCTTTCAACACGAAGCGATTTGTCCAAAGGCTTCCTTGGACTTGGTGGAGGTCATCATCTGCATAGGCCCATGGTCTTAAGCTATTGGGTTAGCGAGCATGAAATGTCCGGATTTCAAAAACCCGTAAATCCTCTATTAGAACAACACCCTAGGGGTATCGGAAAATAGAGCGACATTCTCCAATGGAACGACATTCTGATTAAAATATCTATGTTTGTTTGCGTAGCATGTTAGCATTCATTCCAACTCAAACGTTGTCGATTTGTTGAATTCTAAACTAACAAAGAGTTTCTTTGGCATCCAAGCATCTACTACGGAAAATGCGCTATTTCCTTAAAAGTGTAATAATCTGTCCTAAGTACGGGGGGGGGGCGCTTCATGGACACATGTTTTAGGAACCCCGAAATCCGTTATTGTATTGCAAAAAACTAACTACACCATCTTGTGGGGACGTGATCTCAGCTCTCAGAAAACATCTGACACTTCTATTTAATACTCAAAATTATAAAACACGCCCATGAAGCCCTTCCTCGCACTAAGATATTACCAAATGCTTTCATTCTTTTTTGCACTACCATAAATTGTTTACGTTCGTTTTTCTCAATATGAAGAGCTGAAGCACTTTATTATTAACTAAATAAAAAATAACTTTAGCGTGAGGTGACTACGAATTATTGTTCGGATTGGCTTGCCGGCTCAGATACTCACGTTTAAGGTTAGAATAGGACTTCTTTAAAAATCGTTTTCGCCTCGGTTTCATCACGATTTTACTGAAATTTTGGGCCTTGAGACGAGTGAAATTTTTTGTGATCTGCATGGTCTGCCTTTAGACATGCTCCATATTTTGGACAACAGTTCACAGACATCTCACCATAGAATTCTTTTTTTTCACCAAAGAACAGTAAAAGAGCTTTTTTATTAGACAAAAGAAGAAGGAAAGAGATTTAGGGTGGGGAAAAAATTGATCATTTTCAAGAGCAATTGTGAAAATTGGGCCATTTCACCAATTCTACATTTTTCTACACATTTCCCAATTCTACATTTTTGGGTTTACTTGCATTGTGCACATACACATTTCCGCTCAAATCGCGATCATATTCTGTTCGTATCTCTTTGTTGATCGAAAATGGAGGCGGGTCGAGGCACGAATTCGAGGAGTTATCAACATTTAAGCAATCATGTCTCGTAAAATCCACTATAATGCTGCTACTCGCGTTGAATGTTATTTTGATTATCTGAATTGATAGGATTGAGCTGACGGCTTTCGATTAATGATCACCGTAAACGTTAGTAAACGTTTCCCGTGAATCGCAAACGACGGCGTTTCTTCGGTCAACGCAAAAACTCTTGGTTCTGGTTCTGGAAGATTTACATAGTAGATTATATGTTATTGATTAAAATTAACTACCGTAAATACTCGAAATAAAACCAGTTTACGATAGCCAGCCAACCGCCAGCCGAATATCTTTAACTTCAAACCAAAAGTTATGATTAGAGATCCTCCCAACCAATACCCATTCTATTAATATCCCCATTGAAAGTGCCCGTGTGGAAGAAATACCATAAGCGCCGTAATTACACGTTAGTTTATTGAATGCGAATTATTTACATGCACTTTTAATTTGATTTATTTATTTTCATTTATTTTATTTTTACATTTATTTTCATACCTTTAATTTGCATTTAAATTCCTACATATTAACATTTCCGACAAGTGAAAAATAAGAAAATGCTAGGTTAGGAAGCGATCGTGGTTTTCGATTCCCATTCTTAAATCTTAAAGTTTCTAATTTTCTTTATCAAACAAGGGTGTTAGAAAAACGCCTTCACTTTCTTGGTTCTTACCTGTTTCTAAAGCCATCAAGAAGCCGATCTGCTCGTTGGGTGGATTGCTGACATTCCAGATTAACTGAATAAATGGATATTGGGATTTGATAATGAAACGGCAAAAATAAACCTCAATACAGTAGGCGTCAAAAGAAAAGGGATCTGCCGGCGGTGCTGTGAAACTTAATAGAGGCTTTATTAAAAAAGACCTTTTCTAGATAGTTTTTCACAATTTAAAACTTAAATATAATTTGTTTCATTTTGATTAATTGATTGATTTTACAGACCTTCCATTTTCGAGTTCTCTTGTTGAGGCACAGCCACTTCCGATTGATTCTGCGACGAATAACTGAAGAGTCCCACCAGAAAGTTGACTGATTTCTGCCTTCACTTCTCGGAATTTGCCTCCTTCATCCTGGAATTGAAGTTAAAATTCACCGTCAAAATGTTTTTAGGGAAACCGTATCCACGAAGTGGCCTCCCATCCGAATCAGATTTCTCTTTTGTGTGTTGAACTCATTTCGGAGCTCTCTGTCATGGATCCATGGATAGTAAGGCGGAGTCCAAACGGAGAAAGAACCCAGTGGCTCATCTAGCAAATGCAAAAACAAAAAATTGAACAGTTAAGAATAGGTGAGCTTGCAATACTTCAAAATAACGACTTCGATGCCTTGTACATCTCAGTTAGTTATCCATTAAAAATTATCCATTAAAGTTCAAAAACCCTAGCAAAAGATTTCCTACAACATATAATTGAAATAACTAGTATAACAAAAATGGATATCTCATTGTTGAACTTTGTGATAAACATTGTATTTTGTCAGCAAAAAACATAAGCTTTAGTAGCTTGAGTTTGAATTGACTAAACCCGAACCGATTGATGAGGTCCGAAAAGAAAAACAATAAATGCAATTGTTTGGCCATGTCGCAGAGCAGTCCAAATTTTCTCTGAAGAATGTAACTGCCGTGTTCTTCGATAAAATAGGACGACCACCGCTTAAAAAAAGTTCTTTGGAGATGCCTGTCTGTCAACCATTACCTCCCCTTGTACAGGACCGTGTCACTATTATCCAGTTGATTTAGAGTCCCACCGGCTACCACATAAAACGTAACGCTTGAATCACACGACTGCTGAAATCTTTAAAATCTTTTGGCTCCAGAATCTCTCAAATCACTTGAGACTTTTGACAGTACTGAAGAGAGACCCCCTCTACAATGGGCTCGATGAGTGTCCTTGGACCGTCTTCACTGAATAAAATACACGGTTGATGAGATTTGAGATGCAGTCGAGTCTCGATATATTGGGTTGATGCATTAAAAACTGCGGGCTATTTCGCGGGACTCGCAGATAAAGAAAACAACAGCATAGAACCAGCTGAAGGGTTTTTTACTTCAATATTTCCTCTAATTATTGCCAAAAAAATTATGCTTCCAGCTTTTTATTTCTTGGTATTTTTCTTCACTTCTTCTATTGCACTCGACAATCTGCCACCGGGACATATTCGTCATGGCATGCTTCATGAGTTCCTACAAGAGCACAGTGCAGGCTTGGCAGCTGCTAATATTAAAAAGATATATGGGGAGGACTCACCTTCCGAAAGAACGTGTCGAGTATGGTTTTCCAAGTTTCGATCTGGGGACAAATCTTTGAAAGATGCAGAGGGCCCTGGAGCGACACCCCAACTGGATGATTCCAAATTACTAGAACTCATTACCAACGAACATCGGGTGTCATCGCGTGAATTGGGAGAAGAGTTAGGGGTTGATCATGCTACAGTGCTAAGGCATCTTCATATCCTTGGATTTAAATGGAAACTTGAGGCTTGGGTGCCCCATGGCCTCACTGACCCCCAAAAGTGGCAGTGTGCCTCGATCAGTGCCGCCCATCTCTCACGATACAAAAGGAAATCCTTTCTTCCTCGAATTGTGACAGGAGATGAGAAATGGGTTTTATCTGTGAACTTTGGAGGAAGCGGCAATGGGTGGAGCCAGGCGAGAAACCCGAAAGTGACCCTAAGCCCTATTTGCACCAAAAGAAGTTTATCCTCTGCGTTTTCTGGGACATGGATGGAGTAGTGTACTGGGAGTTGCTGGATAGTAAGACGACCCTTAATACAATCAAATACAGTGAACAGTTGGAAAAGGTGAATGAGTCCCTGAAGAAGAGTCGGCCCTCCAAGTCCAAGATCGTTCTCCTCCACGACGCGCTCTCATGTTGCAAAACTGACTCGCTCTAAACAGCCTTGTTTGAGGCTTTTATCCCCATACAGTTTGGACCTTGCCCCTTCTGATTACTATTTATTCCGAACCATGAGTAATGAGCTTACGGGAGAACACTTCGATTCGGATTCGAATCGGAGTCAAAATTGGCTCCAAAAAGTTTTTCGATGGAAAAACCAAAAACCTACTACGAAAGAGGAATCCGTAAATTGCCTTTAAAATGGGCAGAAGTCGTCAATAATAATGGAAATTATATGGAATGAATTTATGGTTTTATTTTCAATAAATTTTAGTTCAAATTCCCGCAGTTTTCAATGCACCACCCAATACAATGAGCTCTTATCAGTTATCCAGGACTCAAGGAATTAAAGAAGGATTCTCAAATAAGGATTTGTGCCTACTGTGCTTGTTTTTTTATTATGGTTTCGCAACTACAACAAAAATTTATAATCTACACGACAACAACGACTGCGGCTGCGTCTGCAGCCGCAGCCGATTTAGAACCGTGATTGTAAATATATTTGGCTATTGAATGTAAAAAAATATTTTTAGTCATTCTAAAGTAGGAAGTTCTTTTCGTAAAAAGAAAACAAACGTATAGGTATCCGGATGAGGAACAATCGTCCAGTAACCGCAATCCCCCCATACAGGAACATTCACAAAGGAAGCCTTCGAAATGTAAATGTCAAGATTTGCGTTGTCTTTACCGAGACCAGGAAAAGTCAAACCTGAAATAGTCATGGTTTTTTAAATGATTTTTATGAAATGACACTCTTGCGAAATGATTCTTTATGAAATGATTTTACGAAAGATGCGCCAGATGGCCGACCGGTTAGGAGTCTTGTCTCTTAAGCGGAAGGTCGAGGGTTCAATCACTCTGGCAAGATAAAAATGTTTCTTTTTCCCACCAAGTGGGTTTTTTCTTTCACAACTTTTGGGTAATAGGGGTAAATAGGGGTGAGAACGGCCGCAGTGCCATAAAATTGTGTGTTTAACCTTTATGTCTTATTATGTACCCTTTGTTTGTATCACATTATTGGTTTTCAATAAATGTATTTTTTTTAAAAGAAATGGTATAGAACCAGTAATGCGATTCGCAATGGAGACCAAAACGGCCCAATCTCTCGAGTTGCTCAGCGAGCTGTTTTCAAAGGTCAACGTGATCGACCGACGACCGTTTATGTCCCAAAAAAACCCATATAACTTTCTAACGGTCGAAAAGTTTTGCTCATCCACGCTGATGTACGGTCTGAAATGGGTGTTGGTATTCAGAAAGGAGCACTTGCATGTCAAATGGCCATCCATCGATCAGTTGGCCGCCCTTCATCGAAAATGGCTTTTCGTCCTGGCACTGAATGGAAAAGGCGATACCAATACGCAATTTTTCGTCTTACCTGTTTATCCTCATATTTTAAGCACCCTTGTTGCGAGTAGACCACGCTGATTCTCGTAAATTTTGTGCTAACAATGATGCTCTGAAGGATCACTATTATATTGATATATAAGGTGAAACAAAAATGGACTATCGACTTGAACAACTCGCGTTTATCAAATGCTCCAAAGCTGTTCCCAAAACAGAACAGAATTTTCGTGATATGACAGGTCGGCCTATAATATATTATTTTCAAATGTCTACGGCCGATATCCCGAAAATTCTATCTATCCAAAAAGCCCGCACTAGCCGTCGACACCCAATAGTAGAAATACCCTGTAATATGTATAGCACATATACATATCTTATATTTCTAACGGGCCACCGGGTAAAGTTTTTTTGCATGATCTTTGTTATTTTGCCTAAACATACATCACTTTCGATACGCACTCAAAATACTCTTTTGAAACTTTACTAAAGAGGTTTACGTGGATGTATTTTCAAATGTCTATGGCCAATATTCTGAAAATTCTAGACTTGTGGACAGACTTGGGTCTTTTTTGCATTTAATGAACGAGGTCGTTCCGAGTTCAAGTTTAACTTGAATCATTTTACTCCAGGAAGTAACATGCCCCGACACGTGCCAGCCGGGCTCCATGGAAGGCAAAAGATGGATTGTCGTCCGTCAGATTGAAGACCAAACCCTCATTGGAGTCTAGCATCAACAGAAAGAGCGTCAGCAATAACATCACAGAGTTCCTGTAAATTTCTGCAAAAAACTGATAAAATGGAAAAGTTTGAATAAAACTACCCTTTATGTAGGCTATCAAGATTTCCTAAAAAAAAAATATTTTGCCCATTTTTGTCACGTAAACCCGGTGCTCTGAAGTTCTTTCGCCATCATTGATCTGTGCTTTTTGGAGAAATCCCCTATTCTCTTCTCTATTTCCTTATTTTGCCAGCTTTTCTTCTATAGAGCCTTGCACTCTGTGCCTTGAGGGCCGTTGTGGGCATTAACGGAACTCACACCGCTGATAACGATTAAGCTCTTCCCTATGCTTTGCTAAAAGCTGAGACGTTATGTTAAAACTTTTTCCTCTGTGATTAGAACGCGGAAGAATAATCGGAAACACAAAAATAAAAAGAATAGAGCTCTTTCCTTTTCTAAAACCGAAAAGAATGAAAGTTTCAAAGTCTCGATGTATTTTGGCAATACAGCCAAATCGCTGAACGAATACTTTGAGTGTGCATTTATTGAGATTCGATTCTTTTGCAGCTTTGACTAAAGCAAAAGCAAAAAGTTATTAGGTTGAGGAAAAAGTAATGTCGGTTTTTGTCACAAAACTGTTTATTGCTAAAAACATAAACAAACGCACATCAATCAATGAGATATTCTCTATTATGATTGATGACTTGTTCCCATCTTCGTCGCAAGTCCCTGATCCCATCCTCTAAAAAATGGGGAGTTTTCGAGCCAAAATAAGTGTCGACTGCTTTTTTTGATCTGTGCATGATTCTCGAACTTTTCTCCCATAAGAAAACTATTGAACTAACGACCGAAACAAAAAATAATCTGGTGGGACCAGGTCCGGACTATAAGGTGCGTGAGGCAGAAGTTTCCAACCAAGCTCGTCGATCTTTTGGTGAGTGATTTTTGCAGTGTGAGGTTTTGCATTATCATGCAAAAATAGCACTTCTGATGTTTCAACGCCCAATTTCTTTAAAGCCTCGTTAACTCTCATCAAATGTTTTGAATAAAGATCAGCGGTGGCAGTTTTGAGTGGTAAGGGTTGTATTGAGTTCAATGGCATTTCAATGGTTCAATGGCATGGCAATCCTCATCTGAAATCTCTTGGGGTCGTCCAGACCGTCTATCTCATCCTGAAGGTATCACCGAAAACGATGGTATCCTATAAGTTTTGTTGACTCTATTGGCTCTTGTTTGAGTAGAAGAAATAACAGAGATAAAAACAAAAATTTTGCGTAAGTCAAATTCAGAAAATGGGTATTCACAAGTGTTTCATCGACATACATGTAAGAAAATCATCTAACATCACAGAAAATTGTGCAAATTGCATTAAACAGTCAATCAGACAGCCAGAGATATTATCATTTCATTCAAGGAGATTCACATTCATTGCTTAGTCGACGGTGGTCAGAGGTCAACGATTCTCGAATTTCTCGAATCACACTTTCATCCTCGAATTCTATTTTCCAATCATTGCGATCAAACAAGATGGTTTATTGGGTAATCTTTTCGGAATTGATCTTCAATTAGGTCTGGTGAGTAAAGTAAATCGAAATTGAATTGTTTGAATCGATACTCTGTTTCTTTGCTGGAATCAACGTTGATTTCTCTGCCATTCAATGTACAGTCATGGACAAAAGTCTTGGCTCCTGGGTGGCAACTTTCAAACGCAAATTTAGGAACTTTTCCGAGGGGCTATAAAAAAGTTGTCACAAGTATTTTTGAGCATTTTTACTCTACTTTTAGCTATGACCAAGCATTGAACTCGAAAGTTTATTTTAAACAACAAAAATAAGCGTAAACGACAAAAAGGTCACAAAAATAATGGACAAAAGTCTTGGCGGCACAGACATAGAGACGAAAAATTCAATATTTTGTAGGTCCGCCTTTAGCTGCAATGACCGCTTGGAGCCTCCGGGGCATACTGTCAACTAGGTCGCGTAAAATTTGTGGCGCAATTATCGCCCAAACCCGCCGTACGAAGTACCAAAGATCCGCCTTAGAGCTAAACCGTCTTCCCTTGAGACCGCCAAGACTTTTGTCCATTCTCTATCGACATCGACAAGTTTTTACCCTTTGATCATGTTTTTAGGTTTGTTAATAGAAGACAGAAGCCAAGTTTTTTTGTATTCAAATTGGTCCAAAATTTGATTTCAAGTTGGCCCTGTTTCATTTAGTGAAATCAGTCCCTTGTGAGTTTTTATAGCCACCTCAGGGCTGTTCCTAGATCCGATTTTCCAGGCCTGGCCAAGCCAATTGCAGGCTTTCGGCATGGCTTGGCCATGGCTTTTGGGTTTTCAGGCCAATTGGCCAATCAGTCCTGAGCCACCTTGCCAATGGCAATTTTTTTATTTTTTTAAACCTATTCCAGTAGAACTCAAGTTAATCCGTTTATCCTAGTCCTTCTTTGATATAGTTGTAGATTTAGAAGAGGCAGTTGTCTTTTATTGTCCTGGCTACATGTCTTGGGTGCTGCTAAACTCAACTGGCGAGGCTAAAGTGTAGCACTTTATTCTTTCAAACATGGTCATCACGGCTTCTTTCTTAACTCTGATTTAGAGATGTTTCTGAGACAATGCACTAGTACTTTTTTGGGCATGAACCGAAAACCGACAAAAACCCTTCAAAAAAAAAACTAAAAGTCGGATTTAATTTTCCCGTTTTTCAAACCGTGCTATTACACCTCACTAACATGTAACAATAGGATGTAAAACTGTAACTTACAAAATGCTTCAGTAAAAACACTGCAAAAAGCAAGGTCAAGTTGCGTTAACGGGAGGTTTCCGTCGGGAGCTGAGGTAACCCGCTAACTTCGGACCATTACTTGGGAGAGTGAACGGGTAACTCTCGCTTATTTACCCCCATCTTTGTCGTGTGCCAGAAAGTGAGCGAATGAGTCATTCGAAATGATCGGGGGAAATGGACTGGATGAGGAAGATCGAGAGGGAAGAGAAACGGAGAAGCAAAGGCGCTCAATGCTGTTCATTTGTATGTTCTCTTCGCTTCCCATTACTTTCCCATCATCAAATTCATTCTTCCTTCACCAGTGGATATTTTCTCTTATTCAACTCCTCATCATTGTCCGTAGTTAGTAGGGCTATCACTTCAAATGAATCCCCACAATGAGTCGAATGAGTCTGAATGCAAATGAGTTCACAGCGTGAAAAAAACTCTATTGAAAAAAGATGAAATCTTGACAATAAACACATTAATCTGATGAAATCTATCAAAACAGGCTTCAGTCCGATTACTAACACTTTTTGTGTATTTATTTTTTACTTTCATGTTTTTTTAAGATGAAAACACACACACACTACCGGAAAAAAAAAGCTTTTTTATTAGCTTCATGCTGCAATAAACCAAACAACGAACTGCCTGTTTAGCCAAGAAATTTCTTATCACTTATCACCGTCATTCTTTTGAAACAAAAAAGGCATGGATTTCATTCTCCTGAACAAGTTTTGAAATGGAAAAACGAATGTTGTTCTCGTTTTCCTTCTCATTTCCATTCTATTTCTTTTTCGTTGTACACACTGAAGGTGGTTCAGTTGACAATTAAAGAGTGAATGAATGTGAAATTTAGTGAAATTAACTCCGACTGAAGAGTGCTGTGGCTTCAGAAAACGAGAATGATGATTAGAAATATTTTCTCTTCAGACTACTCATTTTTTTGTTGTTTTGATAACTTTACGATTATTTTCAAAACACCATAAAGGAACGCGGTGCTAAATATTACGGGAGGAATCTGATTGACGCACAAGTTTGAACATCTCGGTCGTGAATTCTCTTTTGTCATTTAGAGATCATTTGAATGTTTTATTGCATCTCAATGTTTACTGTGCATAATTTTAAATACTAAACTCTTGTCCAGAGTTTCGGTCTTTTTTGTCTTTCTTGCATTCAGATTCTTGCAAAAAGCAAAGCAAAAGGCTTTGTTGCAAACAAATAATGATTCCAAAGAATGTGTTGTCAAAATGCATAAAAGATCTTAGTGATGGAAATTATAAAAAGAAAATGCAAACGAAAAAAAATTTTATTTTAAAACCATAACTCTCCGCAGACAGGCTTGAAGCCCAAGGCAATCGATTTTTCAATGGTGATTGGTCGTCGAGCAAGGAGATTCATGAGCTGAAAGAGAACTCTAGGAAGCTTTGAATTGAAACAAGATTTGCATTACTATTTTACATGACAACTACTTAGCGGTTTATAATGTAAATGTTTTGCAGAGTATAATAATAAAATTTTTAGCTTTGACTCACATGCTCATTCAACTGAACCCTAGCTGAGCCCCCATCGATTCTCATGCGAAGTTTCGACAGCTCCTCTTCGTCAATAGCCGCTAGGAATGAGAGGAATCAATACTTAGACGACAGCAGTCTCACCAAACAACACATTTCGACAAGCTTGTGCCATCGTGGCGACAGCGTCATTGGCTGCAGCGTCACTCATTCCATTGTAATGTCTCTGACCCTATAGGTAAATAGACCAAAAGTGAATGTGTTTTCGAAACAGACCATCTCAAATATCTTTTCCATACGGAAGACTGGCAGAGGCCTTGAGAATAGCCATGTGGCAAGCGGTGATAAAATCTCCCTTGTCGTCGAAAGAGATACAATGCCGATTCGAGGTGATGGCGATGGAATCAGTGATCTGTGATTTTATTTGAAACGGTCTAAAAGAATAACCATAACTAACGTTTAGTTTATATAGACGTTAATTTTGCATTAAACTAGTTGTTTAGTTAAAGTTTACATTCAAAACTTTGGTTGATGAGCTTGACCGAGCTGGTTAAGCTTTAACTGAATTAACGTTTAACTGACTCGATTCGTCGTTGAGCTGGCAGAACAAGACCTGGATATTGGGCTCTGAGAAGGGGAGAACTGAGTAACAAGGCAACAAGAAGTCGCATTGGTTGAATGGAGTGAACAAGCAATGAACGATTACGAAAGGGGAGAGAGTTTAAGCTGATGTAGGAACACGGGTAAACTCTGTTCATCAGTGTGACCACCTCTTTGTTGACCCATCAAATAGGACAACAACAGAGAAGCGCTTCTCTGATCAAAATAGACAGAGAAGCTGAAATCTTCTTAGAATTGAAAATCAGAAAATTTCTCCTTATTACTCAAAAAGAATAGAAATTGAATGCAAAACTATTCTATTAGTAGCACTTACAAAACTAACAGTGCATAGCTCCATCGACATTCTGTTCACAAAAAAAATTGCTCTTTTCTTTTCTTTTGAAATAAAGACAACTTCAAAAGAACCAGAAATTTCTTGGAACACAAAATTTTTGGAACCAACAAAAGAGAGATAAGAGATCATATGAAGGTCATTTCTTGATTTGGAAACGGTTCCCGGAAAGGGATCCTTTACGGTAAAGAAAGCAACAAATCTGAAATCATTAGTAAACTAGCTAAATCATTAGTAAGCAAATTGGAATGAACAGATTGGAGGAATAAATATCCCTCAATCTGCTCATTCCAATGGTTTCACTTTTGTGCAATGGCCGTTGAGAGGTTTCAATTGATTTCCGAATCACAGTTGGTTTTTAAAATTTGAATCTTTATAATGTTTAACATTTAGACCTAAACCTTCATCAAAATCACATCATTTTGGCGTGTTTCTATTGGGTTTATTAATTGGTCTTCTTTTAGGAATCGGAGGCACGTTGCTGATGATAAAGTGAGTATCAGAAAGAGACTCTTACTCAATTAATTTACTAGTCTCACTTTATTGTATATCCTCACTTTAGTTTACTAGTCTTACTAGTTTATTACTAGTCAGTTTAAGAAAATTCTCAATTTTTTATCTAAGCTATACAAAAAGCCATATATTCTCAATCAAATCTCATTCTAATGGAGCCCTTTAGAGCTTCCCAAAACGATCAATCCAATGCGCCACGAAGTCGAGCGATCAGAAATTTGTCAGCGCTTTTCGAAACATTTTCCTTTTCTAGACAGTCATTGACTTTCTGAGAAAAATTGTATTGTTTTCAGGCAATCATTTGATGACGAAAGAGATGCTTCACTACTGACGATTTGTCGAGCACAATTGTGAGTCTTGTAGTTAGTGGGTGGGGGTATACTTGAAAGTTTAAGTTTGATTCTACTAACGGAATCGTCCCAACAAAGTTCATAATTTTTAAAATTTAGAAAATGAGTTATTTAGTAAAAGATACCTTGCATTTGCATCGATCCAGTTAAGAAATTATTTCTTACCATTCATTCTCTTAATAACATTCAATCTCGCATTTTAGGGCGTCAACCCAAACGAAATTGAAAGATGAGAAGTGAGATCAAAAAGTATTTTTAAAGTGACTCGCATTTTAGAGGTATTTCTCAGAGTCTGAAAGGAAATCTGAACGAGTGTGAAGCCGAGAGGACGGTGTTACGAGGGGCGAAGTGGGTGAAGGAATGCTTTAAAGTGCTTTTTATACTTTATCACTTTGATAGTTGTTTTCTAGTAATTGTATTTTTTCAGAATTTCATCAGATAAAGAGCTTCGAGAGATCTCAGCCATCGAATCGAAATGTCCTTTTACATGGAGATATTACAACGAAACGAACTCCTGCTATTATTATCAAGTTTTTACTATTTAAGATTTAAAAATAAAATTTTTTTTAGGGATTCAGCAAAGATGGTCAGGGAAAGATGATCACATACGATTGGGAGACAGCCGAAGCGAATTGTGTGTTGATGGGAGGGCATCTGGTGTCGATTCACTCGACGAATGAGAAGAATTTCGTGAAAAGTGAGTTGGTAAAAGTGAATGGAAACGTGTTAGACTTATGTTTCACACTTCCAAACTAGGCAAAATAGTTAAATTATAAAAATTTTAGTTCTAACTTTCGATAAATTCACTTGAATAAAAGCAAGAGCAATTCGTTACTTTTCCTTTATTACAAATATTCCTTTATTACAAACATGCCGCACGGTCCCTTAAAATTATTCTTACGGCAATTAATGCCGCCATCATCGATTCGTTGTTTATAAGTTTCAATGTCAAATTTAAACAAGGTGGAACTACTCTCTACATAATGGACTACTATATAGAGTTTTCCACTATAGAGGAAGTCCATCATATAGAGTGTCGACTGTAATATCCTACACTAAAGCCATAGATTACTTTTCAGAACTGATTGCCTTCAATGTCAAAGGACTAAACCCGTCGGCCACCTCTCCAAATCCTTGTGCTTATTCGGAGTTCTATGTTTGGAATGGTCTTCGTATCACGAATGGAAAGAGAAAATGGATTGATGGAACAAATGATGACTATTATAGCAAGAATGATGATTACAAAGCAGCTCACGACTATTTGGTTCCAGTTTTCAAAGTTTAAAAGCGTAGCAAATTTTTAGCAAAACCTTGATTAGCAACGAAAATGAATAACTTTTAGATGTGTAACGATGAGGCGAACGAGAACAACTATCACTATTATGGACCGATTCGTTTAAATGCGAGATATGTTTGCAAAAAGGCTGCAATTAACTGAAAATTTATTGGAGGAGAAAATAAACCTTTTTTTGAAGCAAAATGGCTCCTTCATTTTAATGTTAATTTTGGGTAATGAAAATTGAGCTCCAAAAGCGCATTGTTATAAATTCGACCAAAGTGCCCTTATTGTTTGCCATCTTTTTCCTCGATATGTGATATCCAGTCATCAAAAAAAGGTTTGACCCATTGCCTCCCAAATGATTAAAACAAAAATTTTTTAGGAAAAATTACTGTTTCAGAGAAAAGCTTTTTGGCGAATAATCTAGCCAATGTGCTCTAGTTTTCGAATTAAGCAGCTGATTCATTTTAGCACAAAAAAGTTTTTTACTAAAGATATCATTTTTGAGCCGCAAAAAGTCTTGACCCATTGGTATATTGCTTTGAAAACTTTATTGTTGATACATCATTCTGATTTTTCTGAATTAATTTATTATTTTTCGATGGCGTGGAAGCAATATCTGGATACTCCGACGAAGGAGAATATTGTTTGAGCTCTTCAACAAGGGACCAAAGTGGCAAGTGTCTGTGAATTGTCTCCGTTTCGTGAAAAACCGTTCCTCAACTTTGCAAACATCAAAAATTGGAAGGGGAAGTGCACCGACATTTCGTGAAGGACTCAAACAGGACGAGTTGATGGAGTCAAGATGATTCAGGCGGGTCTCGGGCTAATGTGATGAGACAAACGAATCGGAATCGACACAAATCGGCTCGATTGTTTACCCGCCGACCAGCACGAAAGCCGCTGATAGTTTTGAAGCATCTGCATTAATTTTGCATTAATCTAGTTGTTTAGTTAAAGTTTAGATTCAAAACTTTGGTTGATGAGCTTGACCGAGCTGGTTAAGCTTTAACTGACTTAACGTTTAACTGACTCGATTCGTCGTTGAGCTGGCAGAACAAGACCTGGATATTGGGCTCTAAGAAGGGGAGAACTGAGTAACAAGGCAACAACAACAACAAGGCACGCATTGGTTGAATGGAGTGAACAAGCAATGAACGATTACGAAAGGGGAGGATGTTTGAGCTGATGTAGGAACACGGTTAATCTCTGTTCATCAGTGTGACCACCTCTTTGTTGACCCATCAAATAGGACAACAACAGAGAAGTGCTTCTCTGATCAAAATAGACAGACAAACTGAAATCTTCTTCGAATTGAAACTCAGAAAACTCCTCCTTATTACTCAAAAAGAATAGAAATTGAATGCAAAACTTTTCTATTAGTAGCACTTACAAAACTAACAGTGCATAGCTCCATCGACATTCTGTTCACAAAAAAAATTGCTCTTTTCTTTTCTTTTGAAATAAAGACAACTTCAAAAGAACCAGAAATTTCTTGGAACACAAAATTTTTGGAAGCAACAAGCCCAGTAGGAGGCCTTAGGTTCCTCTAACCCCGGCTTCACAGATAATCAATATCAACCACCAAAAGGAGGCCAAGGTGAGCAATCGGCTCACCGATTGCTTGTCGTCATCGGAAAAGAGGCTTCTCGAGGGGAATCGGCTCTAACATCAATGTAAAGCAATTACAGTCCCCAAAAGATTTTCAGGTGATCATGCTCGAGTGTTTTTTGTCTATGCTGTGCATGGTTATGTTTTGACTTGTATCTACAAGATTGGCTTGTATCCATAAAACTTTTCAACAAGTTGATTCATTTCAAAAATCCGACACAATACAGAACTAAACGAGCACAATTGGGCAATTTCTTTGATAGCGCAGAAGTTCTTTGTTTTTCAGTTCCCTCTCAATTTTCGATGGTTTTTGTTTTGAACAAGCACAGAGACAAATCACAAAGAGTGAAAGGAAGAAAAAAACTATGGAGATGAGAAGATATTTGGGGATCTGTTCGATTTCAGCTGAAAAGTGATCGAAGTTTCTCCAGAAAGCCTCGTCATCGACACCGCGCTATCACCATTTTCGTCGACATCTTCATCTGCCCATTCTAAATGTATGTAAAATCAAAGTTGTAGTTGAAGATCATGCTGATAAAGGTCGAGATACCCCATTTTTTTGTGGAATCTCGGGATTTCTGAAAACAAGCGGTGGATTTTTTGATGATATTAGATGCAAGAGGTTTGAAAATCTAGATGTATACAACTTCTATGTTTTTTATGTTTGAATCTTCAGTTGAAGACTTGAAGAAATGTTTGAGTTTGTGAATGAATGGAAAAATAGGGTTTTGTTTATGTTAAAGGTGAAAATAGAATAATATTCAAAAAAGATGGACTCTTCCATAAAATGGTAAAATTCAAGCATGCATCTAGTTCTACAATCCGTTCACATAAAATATAAAAAACTACAAACTCAGAATTTGAGAAAGCTGAATATAATCTGTAGTGTAGCATTTCTAATTTCTGTGAGTGAGCTTTAGCAATCTTAAATTTTTATGACCCTTTTATTTTAGTCTAGTTGTTCCTTCTGACACGACATTGTGCTAAAATTGTTGGTCAATCTTATCACAAACTTTTCCCAAGACCAATCGTGTGCAAAATTGATGAATCGCCCCGTATCTTGCGTCTTTCTGATAAAGTCGCATTCGTTTTTTTTCAGAGATTCAAACTTTTGCCTGAACAAAACTTTTCTTTCATACTTTGCAACCAATTTTGCAAAATATTCAAAAAACTATTGATTTTTAACAACAAATAACGTCATGGGAGATTGTTTTAAATCGAGATGGTAAAAATTAAAGCATTGAAAGCTTTTTAGCATTTCTATGCGTCATAACTATATCCACGCTTTTTCTTTCAGGGAAGATTTTCAAGATGTCTCACTTTTTTTTGACGGAGGCTCCACTATGATTTATCAAGCAAAAAACAAAATCGATGGGTGCAAATATGCGATAAAGAGAGTGAATCCCCACAAAAGTGATTTTGAAAGTTCATTAAGAGAGGTATAAGTAGAGAGTATAAGTCAAATTGATAAAAAATTCTTTTCAGGCAAGAGCACTCGCATCCCTGAGCCACCCACACATCATCAAATATTTTACAACTTGGATTGAAACCAATGACCGAAGAATAGTGGTATTGTTTTTATTAAAGTTGACCAATTTCATGAAATTACAGGATGGTTTTTTGCAAGAGCTAGAAGATGCGGAGAAACAAACAAAAAAAGCTTCATGGCAGCAGAAAACACGGGAAAGACCTGTTGAACTTGAATTGAGGTAAGCGATCAATTCATCTTCTCAAAGTTTATTAGATCTGCAAATGATGGGTTGAAAGGAGACAATGCCGTCAGTAGAGGAGCGTCAGAGATTTCTTCACAGGCTGCCTTGCTCGACGATTTGTGCATCGATACGGAGAGCGAAGACTCCAATGATGACGAGGAGCTTCAAGACAATGAACTGTGTGAACAGACGGACGTGACTTCTACTGATTACTGATTTACAAGATCTAGAAATTTTTATTTATATACAAATGGAGGTGAGAAACATCTTGTCAGCAAAAATCTCTTGCTTTCAGCTTTGTCTTCCGAATGATTCTGGTCATTTGGATTTGGCACGTTGGCTTCGAGAAAATAACCAAATTGAGAGAAGGAATTATATGAAAATATGGAGATGGTTTCGGCAACTGATCAAAGCTGTTACCTATATGCACAGGAAAAAATTGATTCATCGAGACATAAAAGTTCTCTACATTGAGTTTTTTCAAAAAACAACAATTTCAGCCAGCAAATATTTTCCTCTCCTCCGAAAGTCTTTTGAAAATTGGCGATTTGGGTTTGAGTCGACCGTTGGGTTCAAAAGTCGAAGCTCGAAAAGGTTTGTTTTCTACGCTCACATTGAAATCAAAATCGATGTTAGACAACCAAGATGTTGGTCCATCAGACTTAACCGATTATGTGGGCACACAATTCTATATGTCCCCGAGCAGGTTTAACAAAATAAGATTGCGTTAATATATAAGCGTTAATTTAGAGAAGTTGCAAGCAATAGAATGCAAAGATCGATGTTTATGCTCTGGGCGTGGTTTTCCTAGAGTTAATCTTTCCATTCGAAAATGATACAGAAAGACAGGAAACACTTTCAAAGCTACCAGAGAGCTTTCCAGATATGGACTTTTACTGCAAAATAAAAAGCCAGACGCAAAAAAGCTTTCCAAGTCAACGGTATGTTTTTGAAAGTAACCAGATGGATGCTATTATATTAATGAGTTTAGTTCTATTCGTCTGGATTTTCTTTTGCCAAATGGATGTGCAATGAAGATTCGAAGAGCCGTCCCAACAGCTGGGAAGTCGAGAAAATTCGATGGAACTTTAGAAAAAAAGGAATTTTGTTATATTGAAAGTCAGCCGATTCCGTTTCTCGGCTCGACTCAAAATGAGCAAACAACTAAAGCCGCGGGAACAAAAAGCGGAGAATGGGGAAAAAATCATCGAATACCAAAAATGATTCCCTAGTTTGTGTTTTTACTGCCGTAATAAATTCTTCTACAGCAATTTTTTCAGTTTATTTACTCTAAAAAACATGGGCATTTTTTGAAACACTCAGGGCACTCATTTTTGGATCTCAACAAAAAGTGGGCTCTCTAAT